AAAAAAACATGATGGAGTATTTCCGGTTAATTTGCGTACTAAAATTAAAAGCAGTCCTTTCGTACTAACTTTACTCGTATAACGATAAAAGATAGGAACCGATCATATCAAATTCTGGAATCATTTTTTGGCATATTGCTAAACGATCTACGTCACTTAAAGGGAACCGTGAATAAGTTCCTTAGAACATATTGTTTAGGTATAACACTGAGTTGGTATAAAGGTCGTAAACCGCCGACTTCCGTTTTTACGGGATCCTAAACTTGCGGACACCCCAAATGTCTCCCTTCCCTTTGTTGTGGACCCCTTAAATTTTGCCGCCAGAATATTATTTGGGGGTTGGGAAGCGTTACGGTAAGCGTTTCCTGTTAAAGATGAATTTGATTGTTAGTAGCAGAGTTGTTAAAGGATCTAGATACAAGTATCTAGATCCTGTATCTAGATATATAAATGTGGTATCTGTATCTAGATAGATTTTTGAATAAAATATCGGTATCTAGATATTATTTTATACGATGTATCTGTATCTAGATCCATTTAAAAAGTATCTTTTAACAACTCTGGTTAGTAGGAAGCACGGAAAATGATCTGATGGCTCAATACATGGGGAATGGGAATGAAATTTGTGCGCATAGAATTAGGTCTCGTTTGCTCGCGGTTAAAATGGCCCTGGGATTCGTATTCCTCAATTTTTAATTTAAAAATAAAAATTTATCAACCTTCATTCAAATCTTCCACTGATAATAATCGAATACTTTAATAAAACTATTCGTAATGTATCGGATACGAACATTGTTATTATTCGATACGGATATCGAATTATTCGAACAATAATTTGAATTATTCGTAAATAATGAATTTAAATGTCGATATTTCACTTTTCTAAAACAGACAAATAAATATTTTTTGATTTTCCAAATGGTAGGTTATCAAAAATTTAGGTCAAAGAATTTTATATGCAACAACAACAATAATATTTACAATTACTATCTATACAATGGACTACATTACAAAATTACAAAAAATCGCTTTTTATGATGAATTACATAGTTATAATTTCATTTTAAAATCGTTCAATTATATTAGATGTTAAAATATAGGTGTCTAAAATATTTTTGTCAATAACAAAATAATTTATTCTGTTTTTACAAATTTAAAACGCGACGCAAAAAAAAACGGAAAGACACTTATATGACACGTGTTTCGACCTTTCATTTTTTTGTATACGATAGCGTCAAGCGTGTTATTTTTTTTTCCGACTTTCGAATCATTTTTTTAGGCGCGTTTTTTTTAAAATCTGATTTTAGACCTGAAATGTATTTCAAACATGTTTCCTATTTCCCGTATTTAACTTTGGAGTAAAAAATCTTTGAATATTAATTATATTTGAAATCCATAGGTTAGATATTCAAAACATGATGGAATAAATTCCCGCTAATTTTTTTAACAGTTATCCTAAATAACAACCAGAGTAGGTAGATCGAAATGGTCAATAGCTAGTTTTCTTCTTCCATTCAATTTTATCTTATGAACTTGAAATTATTATATAACGGCTATTTTTGGTTGTGGGGCTGAGCAATGAGCACACCAACCATTCCAAATAGGAATCAAGGAATCAATGTTTTATGTGGAACAATTCCTACTGGTCTCTAAATGTCGCTTATCGTTTAATATGATCGTCCAATCAGACCTGACGCTTTTTTTGGCAATGTGACCTTTATCATTAAGTCTCTTCATATTGTGAATGTTATTTATTTTTTAGGGGACAATTGTCCATTCAAGATCCTTGTGGAAGTATCTCCAAACTAATTTTTAAAAGTTATATGGCTCTACTTTTGCCAACGCCTCCGAGAACATGATTTTTGAGGGACTAGTGTTAAAAATTCCAATAAGATAGTAATCAAAGTAACATTATGTTAGCCTTAGAGATTTAGTTCATAGATGCCAGAATATTTGCTAAAATCTCGCATTATTATTTTGGCTAGGATATTAATCGGGACTTTTAACAACACTAAGTGTGGACAAGATCCCTTAAATATATCCAAATATCACTTACTACTCCTATCTAAAAATAATTTACCCAATCAGCCAAACCGCTTTTTTAGCTTTTTGGCACCAATTGGCGCCATTTTCTTTAGAACAGGACCTGATTTAGCGCATTTTTTTTTTTTTGAAAAATAAAAATTTCTTTCGATATTTTTAATTTTACGTAAAAAATATTGTTTTTCAATTATTTAAGCTTCGTTTTTATTTATAAACTCTCACGCAATTTTTTGTGTAAATATTGGTTATTGCGTTTTATGCGTACATTTTTGTTTTTAAATAAAAAAAATTTTTAGAGATAAAGATGGAAGGGGGGGGGGGAGTACATATTTTTTTTAAAAAAATAGCATATGTTGAAGCATTCGACTTGATTTTGGAGCGTTGCGTGAATCGCTTCATTTTCGAACGATGTTTCAACTCACTACTCTGAAATGACTTTAAATTTCGAGTAGAGAGATAAATTGAGACACTAAACCTAGAGACGGCCAAAAAAATCGGAGAACGAAGTTGCGACCCGAATTCGTTATAGGGTTCGGTGTCGTTAACCGGCTCGATTTTAGCCGATTTTTAAAAATCGGGTCAAATGAGTCGTTTAACAACACTAACCGGGCTCACCCGATAGAATTGGCCGATTTTGCTACGCTGTTATCTAATTTGATTTGGCCAAAAGCAACCCCGCACTATTTACGAACTCAATGTGTTAACCTCGATGTTTGGATAAGTTTTTGATCGGCTTGTGTACTCGTAACCGAAACTCAACCCGACCATATCCGTTATTAATGTTAGCAACCTGTCCGGTACGTGGATCCCTAAGGTTAATGCTATATGAAGGAGGGAGGGGGTGGAATGGATCCGATGACACTAAGGAATCGTTAAATTCAAATCATTTATAGGGCCATTTTATTTAAAATGATTCGAAAAAACGTATGCGTTATTTTTGACCGAGTCGTTTTTCGCATCATGGAATAGTTGAGGTCGGGTTAGACCGGTTATTTTTGAAAAGGTTTTTCGGGCAGACCCTAAAATAATTATTTGTCCGGTCAAGCCCAAAGATACTTTTTCGGGCTGACCTGAGACCTACCTACACCACTCTTTTTCACAATATTTATCTCCATTTGTTTAGGTTGGTTAACTATTTTATTTATTATTTTTTTCATGAAAATTTCATTGATTTGTTGTTAAAAACAAAAATAAAACATTTGAAAACAAATATATATATTTTTTTTTTGAAAAAAAATTATATGAAAATGCTGAAAGATTTGTGGAAAATATTGATTTTATAATTATCTGAGCGATCTTAAATTTTATTGGGTAGTTAAATATACGCTGTCAGTAATCGTATTTACCAGAGTTGTTAAAAGATACTTTTTAAATGGATCTAGATGCAGATACATCGTCTAAAATAATATCTAGATACAGATACAGATACCACATTTTTATATCTAGATCCTTTAACAACTCTGGTATTTACACACTCTCAAATAAGAATTCCGGCATGATGGAGTCTTTATAAAAGTTAAATTTCAAGCAAATCTATTGGACTCGTTCCTTACCCTCCTACTACGATAGTGTTGTTGAAGAACGACTCATTTTGAGCCTAATTTTTTAGAGCGACTAACCCAAATATTTTAGCCAGAAAAGTATTGCCTAAGCCTCGAGATGTCGATAATAAGAAGTCCAGGAACTTCGTGTTCCTCCTATGAGCGAAATCTTCAGGTTCGCGCAATAAATTTTCTGGATGAAATGATCGAGGTTAGCCGTTTTTAGAAATCGGCTCAAAACGAGCCGGTTAGCAACACTATCCGGCGATATAACATTGCACAGATCAATCATTTATTCGGTTTCATTCGATGACCTTTTTCAAAATAACTAATAGCTCGAAAAAAAAATATATAGTATACTTTTATTATTAATGAAAAATATATTTTTTGTATACCATATATTTATATAAAAACATTTATTTCAGAAATCGGTATTATTTTTTTTTTCTCTTATTTTTTCGCAATTATATACAAAATCGATATTTTTATATCCCCAAGGAAAATGAGTAAAAAAAACACGTGATTAATAGGGGGGGGGAGGGTTTTTAATTAATCTAATCAACTCCACTTCTCCTACAGGGGTTAGAGTTGTACACTGATTTCTCGCCATTTTTATAAGGAACAAGAACAGAATCTGGAATAACCATCTCGAGTTCAATTTCTTTTTAAAAATTACATTCAAATACGAAAACATTTTTTCGGTTTCGATATTCGACTTCTTGCTAATTCGCTTTACCGGACCGGGGCGTTATAATTATATGCGAGGCGTTGGCCTCTAAATAAATAAGGGGAAATCCGATATACTAGGAATCGACGTTTTGTCCCCTTGGCGCTTGCGGTTAGTTCGGACCTAAGACCGATCGCTAAACGACAAGAGGATTCCTGGGTCGTTCCTAAGGTCCGCTACAATTTTTTTTTTCCTGACTGAACAGCTGATTTTATCCTAAATAGCAAAAATTATATGTTATATATTTTTTTTCCCCCCGTGCAACTTTTAAAGCAGTTTACTTTTCACTAAGGAAAGCTGCGTTGAGTCACGTGACGAAATGATAATATTTGAAGGAAGGAATGTGAATTAAATAATTTTGGCAATTTTACCTACTAACACGCACGAGATGAGATGTGTGTCATAAGACTTTCTAGCGAAAATGTCAAATGATTTTATATTATTTTATATATAAAAATATATTTAATTTCCATTGCCATATTTTCTTAATATCTTCTAATCTATGCCTTCATTTATTTTTACTACTGCTTTTTTACTGGACAGGGCAAAAATAAAAAACAATTATGCCTTGTTATTTGTTTTGTTTTTTTGGAAATCGAAAAATACGAACGGGAGATTTTATATACCTCGTGGATGGGAGTGTTTTTTATTTTCAAATTTTTTTTTTACACTCTCTATTTTTATTTTAGTTTGCGAAATTTATTCATTCGGACGAAGCTGAGATCAACAAACAGTTACCCAGGGAACTCTTGTTGAGGTTAGAGTCAGAACATCAAATATTATTTTAGCATTGTTTCCATTATAGCGTTTAGGCAGGCTTGCTTATTTAGGGAAAGCAGAGACCTGTAAATGTACCATAAAAAATATCCGGCTTGACCCGGCCCGGTCCGGTCCGGGTATATTTTAAAATAAATTGAGATACGGCCCGGCAGGTCTCCGAAGAAAGGAAAGAATTAATCTTTTTTTAAAAATTGATCACTTCCTTCGCTACATTTTCTCTATTCCTTGCGGATTTATCCCCAAACAATTTAAGTCCTCTCAAGTAATTTTAAGGGGACCGGGCCTTGTAAATGGTACCTCTGTAGGTAGACCTGTGCGCCGACGAAACTATCGGCGCAGGCGCAATTTTCAAAAATCTAACCAACGGCTGGCGGCGCGGCGATTTTTAGCCGCCGTCAATAAAATCGGCGGAAATCCGCGCAGTACAGATACCTCTCAGCATATTTTTAATATTCATTTAATAGAAAACTTATTATATCCAAGATCGATTATCGTAATTTTATAATTATCATGTATAAAAATTATTTTATTTTAAATTTTCGGGACATAATGAGGATCTCCTTGAATTTAACGTCAATCCAGCGGTAGAGAAAACTCTTTCGACTAGGTGTGCTAGTCGCCGGAATGCAAAGATTTTTTTTTGTCGAGCCTGGAAAGATTGGGAAGTTTACTCTTAAATTTCTCTCCAAAAATTTAGAACGTCCATATTTTGAGAATGTCGTTTTCCAAGAAAACTGTGGCATTCTTGTTCTAAGTCACCTAACTTGGAATCATAATTTATAATTTGTTGAAGGTTCATTTGCCAATTTTGTCAAATATTGAATTTAATAATTCATCTTCATCCTCATTAGCTGCTATATTTACTACCTGATTATCATCATTCTATAAGTTTAAGATGTTTTATTATAAATTCTGAACTGAGCAATTTTGCTTTGACACAATTGTCAATTTTAAAAATCTTGGATATAAAAGAGAAGCCAATACCTAGATAATTTTAAATAAAAAATGAAAGAATATACTTAATATTATTTGCAGATTACAAACCGGAAATCGTAACGCAAGTTTTTAAAATATATTTTCCTTATGTGAAATAAGAACTATCACTATCATTTACTATTAAATGTGTTTCAGTGTCACTTCTAAAAAGTAACGTCAAGTTTAAAGTAGGCCCTTTTTGTACTGAAAGAAATTCGACAGCTTCTTAAATTTTGAAAGTAATGCTAATAGTTCTTCTACCAGATCAGATTCATAATTTGAGAAAGTGCTTCTTAATTAAATCCTTATTTAATCCAGATATGCTTTCTAGCATAATTAATATACTATGCCAACGTGTTGGGCTTAGGACATTTAATTTTAAGGTTTTCATATACGTGGAATTATTGTTATTATTATCATTGGAATTGCCAATATGAAAACTGGATCAATGCTGCCAAGACCTAAGATGTCTCATGTTAAATCCATTGTACTTAGACATTTTCTTTGATATTCCTCGAATTCAAAATCAACTTCTGCAAGTTTTATATCTTAGAGCAGTAATAATTTCTCTAATTCTTTTGCAAAAAATTTCCAGAATATGGATTTTTTTATTAGCCAGAGTTGGGAGACTAAAATTATTTGTAGAATTATTAAATGTAGATACGTCCATTTTAAAAAATATGTAAAATTATGGTAACTTTTGGAATTTTAGATTTTTGATTGATTGAATTCTACAATGACGTCAATTATAATTATGATTTTAAAATAGTAGAAAATAAAAATTCATCAAAATCCTGATTGACATTAAAAAAATTACAAGAGTGATGTTGACCAATTATTAGAATAAACAGGTATAAAATATGAAAGAAATTTCTGCGCCTGCGTGATTTTCTTAAACGGCAGCATTTTCGGCGTAATCAAAAAGCCGGCCGGCGCACAGGTCTATCTGTAGGTATCTGATAAATATGAAATGTTACAAAAAGGGTTGTAATTGTTAAGAACTTTTTTTTCCTTCTGGAAGATTCTAGAATAGTATTCCTGAATGATGGAGTGGGAAGAGTAAGTAGAAAGGCTCTTATATAATTTTTTTTTTGTAATATTTTATATATATATATACTTTTTATTTATATTGGGCAGAATATTTTCTTACCTAGATGTCGTTTCCCTCTGTCGATGTGCTCGAATTTCGAAGGTTCGAAAAATATTGCTATATACTTATTAATTATTATAATAATTTTCAAATATAATACCGACCCAAGGTTTATATTTTAGCGCTCAGGTTAAACAAGTAGCATTATGTATCTGTGTCTGAAAAGAGTTACTTCTTTTCGAGACTGATATTTATTTAGACGATAAAGATCGGGATCGATGCTTCCTGCATAGCATTTCCCAAAATTTTATTTCAAAGTTTTAAAAAATGTATATATTGTATCGTCGATACATTTGTTGTGTTGCATAAACGCGTGTGTTTATCGGGAGTACTTTTAATGTTAATGTACCAAAATCTCTAATGTTTGTGGCGCCATCATAGAAGAAGATATAGCTTAGAATAAAAAAGATATTCTTGCGAGAGAGAGACATAAGCCCTCCCCCCCCCCCTGCAATCAATTTTACAATTTAGATATTTTTGTAATCCACTAATAACCTCCGCCGGAAATTGAAAGATCTAATTATCATCGCTGACATCATTTTCAGATGAATAAGCTAACAGAATCTATACCATCAGAGTTGGATAGCAAGAACACGAAAACATAAAAACCCCCAATTTAACTAACAATTCCACCAATTAGATTCTCTTTTTTTTTTAGAATTTCATCATCCAAAAATTAGGTTGTTTTACGATCTGCTCCATTTTCTTTGATTGGTTTAACTTGGCTTCCTTTACAGATGTTTTATGTCTATCTCCGCTGTAATGGTCACTTTAGATACTTTTTTTTACCCGCACCTTATTGACGTAATTTTCTGCGTCGAACGGAATAGCATAATAATCAAATATTACCGTCTTTAATTATTACAACATATTATATCTTCTCTTCTCTTCTCTTCTCTTCTCTTCTCTTCTCTTCTCTTCTCTCTCTCTTCTCTTCTCTTCTTCTTCTCTTCTCTTCTCTTCTCTTCTCTTCTCTTCTCTTCTCTTCTCTTCTCTTCTCTTCTCTTCTCTTCTCTCTTCTCTTCTCTTCTCTTCTTCTTCTCTTCTCTTCTCTTCTCTTCTCTTCTCTTCTCTTCTCTTCACTTCACTTAATTTTTATTTATTTATATTTTACTTTTTCAAATAAACAGGCATGGAATATCTTAGCACTAGATGGCAGTAATTGGCAGAGGGTGGATCTGTTCGATTTCCAAACCGATGTGGATGTAATTAATTTTCATTTTTAATGTTTTTTTTTTATTTCATTCTTTTCCTTTCATTTCGCGGCCTATTTAAAAAAAAAAAAGGTTTATAAATTCTATCCGTAATATATTGTTAAAGTTATTAAAAATTGGATTATAATTCTTCAGAATGTAAACGAAGAAGGTATGAAAGAACTTAAGAGGTGCGCAGGCCAGGAACATGTTGTAAAATGAATGGTATGATTTTAAAAATCCGGGTCGTGTTTTAAAAGTTTATGAAACCGGTGCCGGACCGGTTCGAATTTCCTTTCGAAGTCGTTTATAAAATGTGCCCTAAATTATTTCGAATTACCACTTTTTCGGAGAAGCATTCGAAGTTATAAAAATCAAGACTAACCGTATCCCGGAAGAAGAATTTTTAAAGTCTCCGAAAAGTGACATCTTTAAAAAATCATCTTTATCAAGATGTCAATCTACATTTTTTTTTTTGGTATATTATTATAGTTAGATAATTCGTGACAAATAAATTTTCTTTTTTTAGTTTCATTTAAAAACCTTATTTTAATAAAAAATAATTTATCAGTGCCATCTAGATAAGAGAAAAATATTTTTTTTTTTGGATTTTTTATAATACTGTGTCGCGTAGGGGTATGGGAAAATCTTTAAAATTTAGATCATTTATAGGAGTTGAAAACAGCCATTTTCATATGATTTTTGCTAAACGGAAAACCATATGTTAAAAAGGTTTAAAAAAACCCTGAATATTAATCTCAACGTAGTCATTTAAAATGTGTCATCTCTCGAAAATTAAATCGATGCCTTGTAGATGGATTCTTTTAATTCTAAACGAACTTTCGATATTCTATATAATATAGAGAAGAAGAAACTATTTATATATATATAATTTATTTGTAACTTGATGATTTTATTATTGTTATTATCATAGGGCAACGTGGTGGAAAATATATCCAGGAGGTGTGGCGGTTTTCTGAAATACCTGAGTCTTAGGGGATGTCAAAGCATTTCCGATCCTGCTTTAAAGTAATGTTTAATATATCAAAGCTTGATCTATCATATTTGAGTGAAGATAATAATAACGGTTTTAAAAATGGTGTCGAGTTAGGTCCAACCATCACCCATGTTTTTTTTTATGCAACATGTCACTCAAATGTTGAAATATATATGACAACTTTTCGAATTATTCCTTCTAGAACATTCTCGGAACAGTGCAATAATATCGAAGAACTCATCCTCAATGGGTGCAAGAAAATTACCGACGAGTAAAAAAAAGAGATCATTTTTCTTAAATTTATGAATTATACTTTCCTAACCATTAAATTGCAAACATTAAAATTTCATATCCGGCCGGATAAAGTTCGAATCCGAATTTTTTAGCCGCCCACCCACCCGTTCGCTCATGGTTTATGGTTTAACCCATCCCAACCTACGTTTAAAAAATTATTTTGTGAAATTTTTGAACACTTATATAAAAAAACAAAATGCCATATTGTGAAATAAACAATCGGGTGATATTTCACACAACTCGAGAAAATATTTTAACTACCCTAAAATTATGTTTCAAGATATGAAAATGTGGTATCTGTATGTAGATAGATTTTTTTTTAAAGTATCTGTATCTAGATAACTTTTTAGATGATGTATCTGTATCTAGATCTATTTAAAAAGTATCTGTTAACAACTCTGTCGACCATTATAAAATCTAATTTATAATAATATATAAAAAAAATATATTTGTTTTTAACATTTCTATCGATCTAGTCGTAATATTTGCATAGGAAATTAAGATAAATTTTTTTTTGTAAAAAAAAATGTCATATTTAAAAATAGATCAGCTGATATAACGACCATTTCGATTTTCCCGAAACTTAAAATGTTTCATTTTATATCTCATATGACACGATTTATTCATTCAATATTAATCAAATAAATTACAATTTTTTTAAAATAGTTTATTATATACACATGACAGAGTTTTTAAAAGATACTTGTCAAATGGATCTAGATATCGACAATTTTGTATCCAGATACTTTAACAGCACTGACGCGTACCGTATTATAAATTAATGTGATCGATTTTGCTTTCAAAGTTATTCGCCTATAATTTATATCTCGCGAAACGCTGAAATTTATGAGCAGTTCAATATAGTTTTTTTTCTCCGTCTCGGTCCGTTGTTCGATATCGTTGCGGCCCCTAAAATTAACTAGACTCCCCGTAATATCGTAATTCCTGTCCTATTTGGTCACCGGAAGTTATCGATAAGTTTAACTTAGGGGGTGCTCGAACCATAAACAATTATTATTTTTTTTTTAATATTTAAAAAAAAACAAACAAATTATAATTAAACCACAAACCACGTCACCGGTGTAAAGCGTATCACTCTGGCTGAAGCTATTTTTCCCGCTCTCCGACCGAGACCCATTCTCCCTTGCTATTGGCTAGGGATGAAACTCCTGGTCACTTTAGAATAAATCATTTTTTTTAAATTTAAAATAGAACGTGCAAAAGTTTGAGCCAGAATTGTCCGAAGCTCAAGGTTTTGGATATAGGTTCTTGCTCTCAGATGACGGACATTTCGCTCAAAGCCATCAGGTAATTTATATATGTATGTGCGCATGCGCAATGTTGCGGGTAGTGTTGTTAAACGGCCAGCCGGTTTTTAAAAACGGCTAACTCAATATTCTAGCCGGGAAAATATTGCCTGAACCTCGTGATTTCGCCAATGGATGTCCTGAACGTTGTGCTATCTATGACCGAAATCTTTCTGATTGCGTAATATATTTCTGGATAAAATATCGAGTTAACCGTTTTTAAAAACCGGCTCAAATTGAGCCGGTTAACGACACTGATTTGCGGGCAACGTACCTAATCAGGAAATGCGTTTATCGTCTGATTAATATTTCATTTATTCCTCGCACTTCCATAAGTTCTTGACACCAAATTGTCAAACTTGTGGGGTAAGTATTCTAAATATATCATGATACATTTTTGAATCAGATTTTCAAATTTAAAAAAAAAATGGCGCTCAAAAAGATTGCCCAGTTACGTATTTTTTTTTAAATTTAAAAAAAATTAAATTTTCGGATAATTTTCTAAGATATTCGTATAACAACACATCGAATATTTTATCCTATTTTCTTTTAAGGTTCTGATAGCCAGATCTACCATGGTGGGGGGGGGGGTGTATTGGTGGGTAGGGAACTGTGATGTTATGTCACTATCGTTAATAAAATAAAATGTATGGGGGGGGGATGTGGCCACACTCCCTTAAAAGATAATATTGAGGAACCTCGGCAGCAGAATTGATGACGTTTATAGTTGTTAAACTGCTAACTCAATATTTTAGATTTTTAGCCAGAAAAATATTGCCTAAGCTTCGAGATTTTGCTGATAGAATGTTCAAACCTTTGTTCCTTCTGCTAACAAAATCTTCAGGGCTCTCGTAATCATTATTCTAGATGAAATATATGAGTTAGCCGTTTTTAAAAGTCGGCTCAAACTATCGATGTTAAATAGGAAAAAAATTCCTAGACTAAAATATATCGAACTTAATCGAGTCACAATTTATAACCCTCCTTACCATAAAATTAATGATCAAAATTATTCCGAGCATCATAATTTAGGATAGGAAGAACGGATGAATCGCCTGCCTAGAAATTGGAGTGCTCCACTTGCGCGAATGTTCAAGTTTAAAATCAAATTTAGGAAAACCATATTATTCGATTTTGACAGAGCTAATAACTTTGGCAAAAAATTGAGATATTTTTTTTAATCTAATTTTTTATTTTTATATATAAAGGGAATAAATGAGTTATTAATCCATTTCTAACAATTTTGAGAATATCCATCGGGGCACTCCAATTCTAGACCGATGAAATGTTGGCTGGCGATAATTAACTATTGGCGGTTACCAACCGTAATCTATAAATTAGACCCGAACGGGTATAAGGTCACAAACTGCGTCGAAATGTTATTTTAAATGAAGGATTCGAAATTTAATTCGGCATTCAAATTGAAATAAGTATCTACCAATAAATTAGAATCTTTCGCCAATTATTTTTCCCTTAATCTACGTTTATTTCCTACTATGCCTTGCACTCATTATATGCACATTTCCTCTATCCCCTTTTTAAAAAAAATAAGAGGCAAATGTTTCTTACTCCCTAAAAATTAAAAGGCTTCCGGTTCTTATATTTTCGAAGGGCAGTTCTTGTTCGGTTCTTAAAACTTTTTAGGAAGAGGTCCTTCCTGGCTCCGACCTTCTTACATTTGGTCGGGTTCTGGTTCTGATTCAAAACTGCCTAAAATTCCCTAGAATCCACTTAAGAGCTATAGAACAGGAAGTACAGTCTTCAGATCCGACCTGAGGACAAAATTTTTAAAAATTTGTCCAATCTTCGCGAGCCGACCGAGTACAATCAGAATGTCAATTTTACTTGAATCGGATACCCCCCCCCCTCCCCAATCCAATCACGTAGAATCCTCTATGACTGCAATATAAAATGGATTCTGGGCTATGTATGTTGACCGAGGTACCCTTACCCCCTCAGATTCGGGGCCCTGCTAATATTTGACTAGGGTGCATTTGCGGGGCTCTAGTAGGCCGCCACTATCCTCTACCATTTTTATTATCGATTCATTTAAATCGGTTTGATAGAGTAGTAATCCTTGTCAGAAGAGAGGATCGCATTCACACCTTATTTCTAAGTGATAAGATTTTCTAACAAATTTTTTTTTACTTTTTTTTTTAAATTGGACACTCGAAAACAAAAAGTGACAAATGTTTCACCCTCTTACACATAAACATATCCTGGTGCGATCAATACACCGAAAATGGTATCCAAGCGCTCGTTAATGGCTGCCCCGGCATCAAGGTCTTTATATGCAAGGGCTGTTCCCAGGTTAACAATATTACCTCCCATTTTTTTTGAGCTGTGAGATTAATCTTTGTTTAATTTGATTTTTTTCCCCCTTTCTTTTCGAAGAAGATATACCCCCAATGAGATAACAAAGATTTTTTTTAAAAATTTATATTTAAAGATTTCTCGTTTAAATTTGCTCCTCCAGGAAAAAAAATTTTTAATAACAATACTATTAAAATGGCTGATTTTGTCATTCCAGATTGTCTTGTTAAACGGCTCCATTTTAGCCTATTTTGAAAAACGGCTTAAACTCAATATTTTATCCAGATGAATATTACTCAATTCCTGAATATTTCTTTCTTTCTTTCTTTCTTTCTTTCTTTCTTTCTTTCTTTCTTTCTTTCTTTCTTTCTTTCTTTCTTTCTTTCTTTCTTTCTTTCTTTCTTTCTTTCTTTCTTTCTTTCTTTCTTTCTTTCTTTGTTTCTTTCTTTCTAACTCAATATTTTATTCAGATGAATATCACTCAATTCCTGAAGATTTCGTTCATAGATGGCTCCAAGATCCGAACATCTTTTAGCGCAAATCTCGAAGGCTTAGGCGATATTTTTTTCTGGCTAAAATATCGAGTTAGCTGTTATTTTAAAAGTCGGCTCAAAACGAACCGTTTAACAACACCAATTTCGGATACTGATATCCGTATATTTATATTTAGTTAGGGAACTCGGCCATAGCGCATATCGGACGTCACTGCCTGAATCTACAAACCTTGAACCTCAACAACTGCATAGTACGTTCGCAAAAAAAACTTTTAATAATCCTCATATATATTTTTGCTTTATCGCTTTATTCGTATCAGAGACCTGTAGAGGTGCCATTTGCACGGCCGGCCCGGATTTTGGCCCGGCACGACCCAGACCGGGTTTTATATTTGAAGGCCCGGATCGGTTATTTTTTAAAAAAAAATTTCAGGTCCGGCCCGGGTATATTTAAAAAAAAATTTAAATACGACCTGGCCCTAAAATGGATTCTGCAGAAACTAAATTAAAAATGACTTTTTAGGGGATATAAGGCAATAATACTATTTAGATGGAAATTCTGGAAATATAGGAAATTCGAATGTAAAGGTGATCCTATCCAAAAAAAAAAATTGGAAATAAAGAACCTATTTTGATTGACGTGCATGCCCATCCTTTTTTTTGGTTTTTATGATATTATCTTATATTTAAAGGTGATCGGAAAAATCGAAAACCAGAAAAATCTATGCGACTTTCTTTTTCTTCCTCTCAGGTGATTAATGATCTTCTTTCTGGAGACAGAATTATATTTTTGGGAGCAGATTAATTTGTCTAAAATCGAATTGGAAACCGTATCCTATATGTTGGGCGAAAATTATAAGAAACTTTCAAGATGATGCTAGAGATTATTCTAACTAAGCGTCATCGACGATATTATTTATCCAGATCTTTCTATCTAGAACATTTTTAACGATATTCCTGCTTATTTTGGTAAGAAAATTTATATACCGAATTATTGAAAAGAGACCCTAATTTTTTGTGCATCGTATTGAGTCGAGTTATCCATCTGAAAAATGGAATTACGTTGTGATAAGACGAAAATGAGGCAATAGTAGCTAAGGTTGGAACGATCAATTTTTCCAATCTTGGGAGCTCAAACATCCTTCTAATTCTAAGGAACTCATTCAAAAAAAATAGGAATTTAAATTGGAATGGATATGTGTACATGAGGCTAGTAAGATGAGATCAAACTGTGAAGAATTTACCATATAGGATTCCCAACTTGGCTAATTTTCTGAGCCATCCGTTTTTAATCAGGACCTGCAGGCCAGCCCAAAACCTAATCAAGCCCGTAAAGATCCATATTTCTAAACATCATGACCTGTATCTGTATCCTGTATTATAAACTATAAGCCCGGGGTAGGTGTAGCCCAATTTTTTTATACTGATTAATCAGTTGGAATCTATGACGGATCACGTAACATTCATTTCACCGCTTATATTTTTTTGATTTCCCTTTATAATGATTTGCAAAATGGAGTCGTAATTATATAAGGAAACTTGATAAATCCTGGAGGCGCTTAAAAATAAGAATCTCGAAATACTTTCCTCTTTCTGGGACACGTGACTTTAAAGAAAAATATATATATGCATGCCATTCATTTTTTTTTAAAAAAATGCTCATCTAACTTGATAGAAAAAAAAAAGGAGTATGGACTCTATGTTAATAACCAAAGAAAAACAATTTAAATGTCAGTTGTATTATAAAGTGTGATAAAAATAAAATGGTTTTTTTTTGTCATGGTGGTTTAATTGTTCCCATTCTTCCTTTTACTTTAATTGAATAAAATGAAGCAGTTGGAACATTTTAATACGGGCAATATTTTCTAGGGCCAATTTTCCAGCAAGCTATTTATGTTGTTATTGAATAAAAAGAAATATTTTTGACGATAATTAGTTAGTGCTCCTGCATAGCATCTGTCAAAGTAGTTATTTACTATATAGCTAGATTAATCCAGTGAGAAAGTGTGGTTCGACTTTTATCTCAGATTCATACCCAAATCTGGGCACAAGCGAATTTGATGTTAGAATCGATTCATAGGAAGGGGGGGGGGGGTGAAGTACTTCTCGTCGAATATCAAATTCGTTGAAATATTTGAAATGTTATTGGCAGACGCCGTTCTTGAGAATTTCTAACAGTAGGTATACTCGAAAATTATTAGTTCACGAAACTGTCTTAGATTTTTTATAAATAATTTTTTTTTAATCCGAGTCCATGTTCCCAATATTTAAAAATTTAAAAGAAGAAAAATTGTTTACTCATTTTTATTCTTTTTTTATAACTAAAACTTTCTTTCTCTCATCCAATCATAATTAAGAACATAACAGACGAATCAGTTGCCACAATATCAGAAGGCTGCAAACAAATTCAGCACTTGTGCCTCTCGGGCTGTTCTCTACTGACGGATTCCTCTCTCATTTCTTTGGGAACCAACTGTCACCATTTAAAGTTTCACAAAATTATGCGATAAGAAAGGATTGGCACAGATGAATACGAGGGGGGAAATTAAGTAAGGAATGAATAAATTCGGAAAGACTATCGTGCTTTTAAGCAAGCAACTCTACTCTAAGTCATTGAGTATTTATTTTTTTTAATGAAGAACTACATTTTTATATTTTGTATCTAAAATTCTTAGAACCTTAGAAGTGTCGAGCTGCGTTTTATTGACCGATAACGGATTCCAGAATCTTCTGAGAGTAAAAAAAAAATTCTAATAAAAATTATACGAATTATTTTTCTTATCCATTTTGTCCGATTCAGTAAGATCAATTAGTGAACCCTTCCCTGTTCTCCATTTTTCATGAATTTTTTTATTATACCCAGTTTGTCTAGCGAGGGTTTAAACCTGAATTAGATGTAATTAGGTTTAAACTGATTATAAAATTTACTTTAAAAACATGTGATATATTAATCAAATTGTTTTGCGAAGAACATCAAACTTACACGCTATAACTTAAACTGTTGTGTTTAATTGAATATTAACTCGCAATTGCCCATGAATGATTAGCTCTTCTCGTGAGAAATATATAATTCTAATTCTTAAAAAAATGTAACTCAGTTACATATGATGTAACTTGTAAACAGTAATAAATAAATAACGTTAACAAGAACGAATTATAAATCATAAATTTTACAATTTGTAATTTCAAATCATTTTCAAATTAGAATAGCCATGAGCTCGAGAAAATGGATTTGGAAGAATGCGTTCTGGTAAGCTGCCATTTTATATATTATACAATGCATATTGAATCATTATAATAATTTGTCGTCTGGAATGCGTTATCTTCAGGGTTGACCAAGCGATTCTAATAGTGCACACATATTGAGCGTTTACCTTTTGCCGTAGTTTTTTTAATAAAAGAAAACGTAACGCGTCCCCTTGTTTAAATTGAGGGTGCTTTTTTATTAATATCGTCGATTTAAAATTTTAAATAAGTTTTTTAAAAAAAAAGGATTTGTATTCGAAAATTAGATTATCGTCTGCCTCCTTATTTCTTTAAATTTCGAAATATTCCTATTTTTAGGATTATAAGTAAGTTATTTGTATTATATTTTTCATATAATATTGCGAAAGCGAAAGTAAATGGAAAAGCAAACCTATTTGCGTTTTTTTTTAAAATGGTCGTTGACGCCAAACGGTAATTTTACCGATTTGCGCCAGGCCATTTAAAATGCATTGTTAGCGCTTGCAACGCAGTGTTTGACTCAATTTGTGCGCACTATAATACAGATGCGAATACTTTGGAAAACATCTGCGATACTATACTGTTCACCATTTTTAATTATTATAAGTTACTTTTCCTCGTTTGTACCATTTTCTAAATTTATTATAAAAAAAATAAATACGATTCAGGTCACGGATCACACTCTACAATTCATATCCATGCATTGCCCCAAATTACAGAAACTAGTAAAATTTATTTTTTTTTGAAAAAAATGTTCGATTGTTATCATTTCTTTTTGCGAGTTAAATTGGCGATATTATTAATTTCAGAAGGTATTCGAATGGATTATTGAGTATAATTAATCTGAAAGCCGTCTTTTTAAATACCTCGCCGTCACTCACTTCTATATAAGTTTATTATACATTCATCTTATTTTTCTTTATTATATAATTACCTTCCCCTTATTCCGCTAAAAATATTTGAAATTAATCAAGAATTAACGCACCACTCTTTATTACCTAGTTGTGATATGACATAGGTATTAAAATCAGCTGATAATATGCTTAATTTCTTGTTAATCGTGTGTCATTTGTTTATGTACCTAATCCTTGACAGGTGTCTTAATATGCCACGACAATATTATAAAAAATAATGTTCCACGAGGTCTTTTTATATAATTCAGTGCTTAGAGCAATGTTTTATTTATTTTTCTGAAAGTGCGAAATATGGATGCTAAATTAGCAATCTAATATTCGAAGCTACTTGTTATAAAGAAATAAATTATTATTCTGTATTTTTTTTTAAACAGAACCTTTCCCATTGCGAGTTGATAACGGACGAGGGCATAAAACATCTGACCACGGAACCGCGATTTCAAGAACTCGTAAACGCCCTGGAGCTCGATAATTGTCCGCTAATAACGGACACCTCTCTGGATAGGTTGGTCCATTGCGTCGCTCTCAGACGTTTAGAGCTGTACGATTGCCAGTTGGTGACCCGAGCTGGCATTCGTAGACTCAAAGTAATTAGCGAATATTTTTATCCGATAAATGTTTCTAGTATTGTTAAACGGCTGACTCAAAATTGTATCCAGAAAAATGTTGAGCAATGAAAATTTTGCTCATAGATGGCTCAGTTTGGACATCTATTGTTTAAATCTTGAGGTTAAGGCAATATATTTCTAGCTAAAATTTATAATCTGCCGTTTAAAAAGCAGACTAAAATCTAGCCATTCAATAACACCGAATGTCCCTTTGATTATTATTAGCATTGAAGGGGCACTCTATACCCAGTCTTAGAGATATCAAAAAAGTATCGACTTTGTGAATAGAAATGAATGAAGGGAAAGATTGTATTCCAATTTTAGACGATGTAGATTATGCCTTCATTTATCATAATTATTACAAGATTAAAAACTAAAATCTACATTGTGACTAGGTATTTTGTTAACATAAAATAGTGGCTTTATTATAATCCAGATATTGGTCTTCAATGAATGAGCATAAAATAATTTATATTTTTACTATCTACTTGCATGGTTAAATATCTTAATCTCTATTAGCCTTCCACTCTATATACACTTCCATCTTTCCATCATAATTAATTTTACTTTACGGCATCAATTCTACTACTGCTTTATGGGTTAAATATTTTAATCTAGAATAGCCTTCCATCATCCCGAAAATCTCCAAGAGTAAGACCACCCCCCCCCACCACCACTTTCGCCTACGCTTCTTCGGTTTGTACCTTGTCCTCATTACTTATATCAAGACGCATATCTTTACCCAATCGTTTATGGCCTTTTTTTCTTCAAAATTCTTAACCGCGTTCGACTTGTTTCTACTTATTACGCTACCCGTCACCTCTATCCGAATTTTTCAATTCTGCATTGGTCTTGCTCTCGCTCGAGACACGAAACATTTACAACCCATTCTAATATTCAGCTCTATTTGTCATCTTTAACTACCATGTTTCATGTCAGTGACTCCAATTCCTTGCAAAGTTTTACTAAATTTTGGGAATTCCCACATCTCATCCTTTTTTTAGCACCTTCGAAAGAGGGATTTCTTAAATAATACCACTTTTCTCAAAGCAATCATTAACACCTCCAGCATTCTGCTCTCATGCCACACCTTTACCCCCCCCCCTTCCCTCTCTTGAATTTTGAATTCCTCGCGATACTGTTGTCGCTTTATACACAATTTGGCCATGCTTGCATCTAGTGATGCAAAATCGCTTCATTTGAGCCGTTCCTTCAAAACGGCTAACTCATCATTTTATCCAAAAAAAATACTACGTGTGCCCGATGATTTTGCTCAAAGGTGGCGCAAAGGGTTGGACATTTTATAAGTAAAATGTCGAGGCTTGGGAAATTTTTGCCGCTAAAATATTGAGTTATCCGTTTTTAAGAATCAGCTCAAGTTGAGCGATTTAGCATCATGACTCGTATGTCTCTTTCCCATTTCCTATCCCAACCTTCTGGCCATGAGCTCAGTTTTTCCGCCGGTTAATTTGAAACCTTTGGCTTCCGTGCTCCTTTTCTATTATAAGATATCGATTGCGTTTCACTTTTTACCGTCAACTCAATAGCCTCCGCGATTTTTATATATACCTTGAAAAAAAAAGAAAATCTTAGATGATTTTATAAGAAATAGAAGCAGAAAAATGAAAGTGGGGTTTTAGGGGGGGGGAAGGTTTCAACCCCAAAACTACTCGCCGTTGTTTATGTCATTGATCGCCTTAGCATATTTTTAAACGCCATTTTTATTTTTTACGCGTCCGTCCTTTAGGCCAGACTACCCAACATCAAAATTCACGCGTATTTCGCTCCGCTCACGCCCCCAACATCGTCCCCTCCTACACGACAAGGCTATTGCAGATGCTGTAACATCATATAACACAAAAAACAAGAATCGAAAATAAAATAAAAATTGTATTATGCCAATTATTCGGACCAAATTATATACTCCTCCTGAATAACCCAAACCGGAAAGATTCCCCTTCCTAGAGGCGCAGACGATTATATATAGCATTTTTTAAAAAATCCTTTAATAAATATACCGTCGTATATATGCAATACGAAGAAACGATATTCTTTCGAAAATTAAAACTTATATTTATTATTATAATTAGTATTTTTTTGAAATATCAAAATGATTTGATAAGACAACAAGTCATTTATTAACATTCGCTCAGTAACCCCCTTCCCTATTATATATAGGAATATGTTTTTTTTATACAATAATATTGCATTTCTTACCAGATTTTTTTTTTGGTTTATTTTTTTAAAGGAAAAATAATTACTCTAGAAACAAATGAATGAATGGATAAATTGATATTTATTTTTTTAAATTTAATTGATGTTTTTCATCATTATTATTATCAGCTTTCAAATATTTTTTTACTTCATTTAACCTTTGGCAACTCCCAATTCTCGATACAATTAGAAATCATTTGAATTATGATTTTTTTTTTTAAAAAAAGAAAGATATACAGAATTTTTTTGTAGGAAACCCCATGACTCTTATTGTGATGGAACAAGTTATCATTCAAGATGACACACTTCCTTCTTGTGTAAATATGAAATACAAATTTCTTTTTTTTAAGATATCTTTTTATAATTACAGGAATCAAAAAAAATCTTCTTCATGATCCTAACCCCATTCAAATTAATTTTAACATCCCTCGACAAATATTGCAGATAGAAATCCTGAAATCCCTATTTCCCAATCTCATAGGATTTTCCATCCTATGTTTATCATTCTTTTAACGTATTTTTTTCTTATTTTTTTTTTGCAATTAGGAATTTATTTTATTTTTTTTAAAAAGAAAGTTTCATATTTTTATTTTATTTTTGTCAACTTTTATGCAATTATATAAATTATTTATTGTTATTTATTGTTGTTTGAAGAACATACCATTCAAATACTATATATTATTTTTAATATATTCCGAACATTATATTTTTTTAATGTTTTTTTATATACATACATATATAATATATTTAATATATAACTTTATATAATTTTAAAAATAATAATACATTACATATACTTTTATTATATTGTAATTTTTTTTTCCTCCTATTTTTTTGTATTTATGCACGTATTAGAACTCAATAAAATATACTGTTTTAATATGGTAGAAGTTATCGGACCCGAAGGCAGTTTTTTTATAACCGGTCTTCGGTTATCCGGTAAATTACGATACTTACGTGAATACATGATGGTTAATATTGTCGAGTTCCTAAATAATATTAAGCATTTTTTTAACATGTGGGGTTAAAGGACCCCCTCCTCCCCCAACATGCTAAATTCATATTACTTGTAACTGGTAACATATTCTTCCTTTGATATTGTGCATCTATTTACAGAATTAAAACTAAGGCGCTTTTCAAAATTGAACATTAAAATTGGATAATATATACAACTTTTTGTACACTCAAAATCAGCTCAGCCCCAAAAATGATTATCAACCTTGAGGTATTTTATAAATTAAATATTAATTATTATCGATTCTTATATAAGCTTTATTTGGAAAAAATTGTACTTTCCTTGAAGTAAGTTTGCTCAGCGAAAATTAGACCCTACCCGAATATATCTCTCAGCGTGATTGCGTTTTTTTTCCCGGTAAATGTGTTATTTTTTTCAACTTTGAATAACTATCGGAGCAAGTTTTTTTCTAAAACTTAAAAATTTGATTTTACCGAAAATATATTCTATCATGTTCGGACATACCTCGTCTATAATTTTCAGACAATTTCGCAATAAATCTTTGAACTTGATATTTATTTAGGCTGCATTCAAAATGGTGACGGATGATCCTTTTTTTTACATCCGTTCCGTCAAAAGTCAATCTCATTAAAAATGATATATTGTTCCGATACCTTCCGTCTTGATAAATGAGATTGACTTTTGACGGAACGGATGTAGAAAACAGATCCGTCTCCACTTTGAATGCAGACTTATATTAGTTTTTCCGTAGATTTTTTATATAGATTATGAATGAATGGCTCAAAGGTTAACGGCAAAATTGCCTACATTCCATTTCCGGTAAAATTGGATTTTTAAATTTAAAAAAAAACAGCTGAAAAAAATGACACGTTGCCGATAACATATACCTAAACAAATTATTCAAAAAATATAAATTTTTTACGATCTGGAGCAAGCATAAACTGTACAAAATAAAATTTTATTTTCTTACTATCCTGTTTCTTGCTCGAGGCAAAAGAAAAGGAAATTGTGATAAATGGATTTAATAATGACACGGGGAAAATCATTTATTTAAAATAAGCCAAATTTCACATGGAGGCGATTCAAATAAAATATTATGTATTTTGTAAAATGGGTGCTGATTATAAAAATGTAATCCATATTTCAAAATTGGCGCTAATTTTTGAAAAGTGAGGGAGGGGGAGGTGTTTTAGCGCCCTAACTAGAGACGCCCCCCCCCCGCTCTATAATCGTCAGTTGTGTTAAAGGATAAGTAACCGTATAGTTCTAGTCCTTCTGTAAGTTAGTGTGGTTCCAGGTATCTGTATGATCGTCATAATCATTTATGGTTAAATCGTAAGTAGGTTCATATATTTCCAGTTCTTCTAAAACCAATTTTTATCATCCTGGTAGATTTAGTTCTAATCCCCAAATTAATAATTCCCTGTGATTTTTATTTGTATGGTCTAGTTAAAACTCTATTACTTACATACATCATATTCTATCAGGTAAAAATATGACATATTACATTCTATATTTAGCCAACATAGTACTCGGAATATTAATCTAATAATTGTAAAATATTTTCATTTGATAATGTTGTTAAACCGTAACTAGTTATATCTAAAAAATTGTAACTAGTAACTGTGACTAGTTACGTTTCAACTAAAACCTAAAGGCCTCCAATTAAATTTATGGCGGAAAACTCCGTCTAATAGTGTTCCACCTATTTTAACTTCGACATTAAAAATATTACATTTCATATGCTTCGTTGGTTTAAATTCGAAACTTGCCATTTTACTCCAAAAGCTTTTCATTTAATCTAGAGTAGTTGACGATAGCAAAAAAAAGTGTGACTTCTTACAATCCTGGATGGCATCTAATCTTTTAAAGGCAGGAAGCTCGTTCTAAAAATTTTAAGTAAAATGATGAAGCTATCTCCAATCATAAAATCCATTGATTGATGATAGGATTCACAAGCTCAAATCTAGTGGGTTCGAAGGTGCAGCCTAAGGAAATTGGATTGAATTTAAGGAAGATTTTTTTTCCCCATTCTTCTAGATTTTAAGTTACAATCACTTTTGTAATATTCTAACGTTTTATTTATTAATCTTACCTTCATACAATCATTAAAAAAACCTACTTAAACATTTGGTTCGCTAGCCATGCACCCTCCTTCCTCGAGGAAAAATGGCATCGAATAATTTTTAAAAAAGGAATTCATCCAAAATGTGACCTTGATTGGATGTATATTAACTTGACCGAATCGAAACGTTGGATATACGGCAATTCCAATATATATGAAAAGAACCGCCAAATGTTTCAGCGCGACTTTTTGAGCAAGATAATTCTCATTTTTGTTAGTTTCAGTATTATGAGTTTTAGCTTGAGAGTTTTAAGGTTTAGATTATCTCTTTTATAAGGATACACTTTCTCTTGACACCGACACCTTTATCACGTGATAATTTTTATGATTTTTCTTTTGTATCTAACGAAATCTTTAATAATAATAAAAAAAATATCTTCTATTCCAACCATATTCCTTCCTTGAAGATTTTCTCACTTGTATTGGATTTCGTTTTATCGAATGAGAATAATCTTGTAAAATTCAATTTAACATAAAAGCAAAAGCACTAAGTAACTAGGGGGAAATGTAGAGGCTTCGCAGAGTGACATTTCTAATATAAATTTAATATAAAATAAACATTTTATTGGTATTCTTCCTTATAAAAACCAATACTAATAGCTTGATAAAATCAATCGAATAGCACTGATATATTAATATTGTTGTTATGTAGCATAACTTTAGCCTCCAACAAAGCTTAGCCAAGCTTTTAGCCTAAAAATTAGGACCGAAACCTCTAAGTACCACCTAAACTTAACTATTGGAACTAAATCTTTAGGATAAAAACTTGACAGACTCATTTTGGAATTGGTCAAAGTTAGATGATTTAACAACACTAGGTTTAAAATTAATTAATACAAATTAACAGAGTTGTTATCTAGATATAAAAATGTGGTTCTGTATCTGTATCTAGATCCATTTAAAAAGTATCTTTTAACAACTCTGCAAATTAAGCTCAGTTCTAGTTATCTCAAAATTAAGGTGGTTTTTCTTGTTGGCTAGGTCATTCAAGTTTTCATCTTTTAAGATTGAAAATGTGCTTCGTTTTCTATTACCTTCAAATTTTCTTTATTCAAAAACATTTTCGCGACGGCGTATTGAATGAGAAACTTGTTTCTGAACCTCAGGTTCATTTTCCTCTTTTCCTTTCATGCGGAACAAACTGTTGGTTCCTTGGAATGTATTTGAATTTCTCTTACTTAAAAAGAAAAATGTAATCCTTTAAATAGAATTAAATTCCTTATATACAAACCAATTATTTTCTAATTCATACTATATTACTATATTATTATTATTATTTTATATATATTTTTTTACAAAATTTTATAAAAATTAACATAAAGTTAATAAATTTGTTTAGTAAAGTAAAAATGTTAAATATTGTAAGAATAAATACAAACTTACGTTTATAAAGAAGTCAGGTGATAAAAAAATTTACTATCCATATTTATTTTTGCTATAAGTTTATTTACATTATTTTTGTTTTACCGTGCAAGGCGCCAAAAATTTCCAAAGATTTAAAATCCTCTAATGAATAGCAATTAAATCCACCTTATTTTTTTTGTTCAAATTAATTTTATTTTTCCGGCATAACAATGACAAAATAAAAATTATAATTTAAATTATTTTAAATTAAAAGTAAAATTTTTGGACATCGGTCAAAAAAAAATTTTTTCCTTTTAAATTTGAATTCTCTAAAAAAAAAAAATTAAAAAAAGTTTTTTAAATGATCCGTATCCTCGCGGAAAATAAAATTTTCCCACAGTTTTGAAAATTTTTTTTTGTTTTTTCAAAAAAAAAATTGACAAAATGTTATACAACCAATCAAAACAGTTCGATTTCCCGGGTTCGGTTAAATTTGAAAAATTCGATTCATTCACGCCGTGGTTAAAAAGATTTATTAAAAGCAAGACATCATATTTCGAAATAAAAATATTTCTTCAAAAGTTATGTTGAGCTGTGTATGCATTATAATATTATCGCCACAGATTTGCCATATTCTGACCAAATTATTATTCTCGGATATTGACAAGGATCGCAAAATTATAGCACCACCCCCAAAGTTTAGCGGCCTTTTATGGTTTTTATTGGTGTTAGCGTTTTTCGGTGGCGGTTTGATCGTGCCGGCAATAAGCGCGGAAGATTCTAATCATTCTTTCGTAACTACCCAGAAAGACGATAACGATTTGAAGGTTGGCAAACGGTCATCGTCATCCCTTTTCGACTTGGGTTTGAGACAGGAAATAATGAAGAATTTGTCCAAAAACTTGACTAAAATCTCTCCCAATATCGCAACCACTGAGGGAATGGTAAGGAAAGATGTCAATATGAGGTTAGTAGACGAAGTTCCTCCATTCATGCTTCTGCTTTACAGTGAGGAATATAAAGGTGATTCAGATCACCTGAAAACCACGAAATCTAGCGACTTATTTGACGATATTCCGAACGATACCCATGAAAATCGTCACGTGATCACTCCTTCGGACCCCCTATTTTTCGACAGATTATTACTACTCGATGAGGGTTACCGTAAAAAGAACTCGAGCTACATGGAAAGTAAATACTTTTCTCTCCTAAAAGCGGAAAACGAGTTTCGGCGGCGGGGTGGAAATTACGAGCAACCGGAACTGATTGATCGGCATGGAAAATATGATTTCGAATCCATAGTAGCGACCAAGCCGGATAGAATCGTGATAAGTTTTAGCCTTCCTCTTTTTTCTAAGATAAATTGTATATTTTTTTTTCCTTTAAAGTATAATTAGAAGAGTTTCATATTCCATTTAACAAAATGCGTTTTATTTTTTGACAAATCCGATCCATAATTTTTGGGGTAGTTTTGGTTTTTATGAATGCCCGCCCCCTTATAGTGCACAAATTGAGCGTTTCATAAGATGCGTTGCAAGCACAAAGAATTCATTTATGGGCCCGTGCAAATTGGTAAAATTACCGTTTGGTTTTAGCAACCATTTTTAAAAAAAACGCAAATAGGTTTGCTTTTTCATTTACTCTTTTTTATTCTTCGTTTCGTAATATTATATAAAAAATGAAATATAAATAACTTACTTATAATCCGAAAAATAGGAATATTTCGAAATTTAAAGAAATAAGAAGGCAGACGATAATATAATTTTCAAAGATAAATCTCTTCTTTTTTTTAGAACTTTTTTAAAATTTTGAATCGACGGATATTACGTTACGTTTTATTTAAAAAATTACGGCAAAACGTAAAACGCTCAATTTATGCGCACTATTACTCAGAGACCTAAAAACCCGCAACCCAGGCTTTTTAAATAGCGCGATTGAAAAAAAAAAGACAAACCCTGGCCGTCTATATATATATTTTTTTTAAAAAATCAATTTGTAAAATATATTCCAGTATTTAACATTTATTTTATTGGTTCATATTTTACATTTTCCTTTTGAAACAATTTACACAGGTTTTTAGTTAAAATGATTCATTCATTCACTTACCACGCCAGCAATGGCGCTAAGTTGTATTTTCACTGGTGTATACATCCTATACATGATGGTCTACCCGTTTTATACTAGTGGACGGTACCACTATGTAAAAGTTAAAATTATTACAATTAAGGAAATTTTTTTAAAAAAAATTTGGACCGAACCTCAAAAATGAATAATTTATAAAATCTCAACCTGGTTTGAAAAATAAGGTGGCGTGCAACCAGGTCGTAATTTCAAAATAATTATGAAACAACAACACGTGATAAAATATGGTAAGTTATGACGTCATTTGTTACTATAACATTTTTCCTCGAATTCGACGTTTAAAAAAATCAGACGATTTTTTTTTTAATAAAAAAAATAATTGAATATCACATATTTTATATTTAAAATTTAAAACTCATTCATAGATGAAAAATTCGCTTGGCATTTTGCCAAAAAAAGTAAATTTTATTTTAATTCTTTTCAAAAAGTGTTTTTTTATTACAAACATTCATTCCTTTGTGTCATTAACCTTAAACTATTATTCCAATTTTAAATGATTATCTCATTTAAGCCTGGCCTCCATGTTTATTTTTTTGGTCCCTGAAATGACCTCCAAAAATCCACTAGTTATTTAAGTTTTTATTCGCTATTGACCGTCAAATATAGACGAAATAAACAGCAAAAGATCTTAGAAAAATATGGCTATTAAAGACATGAAACCTTCAAAGGATGTTTAGATAAGACTTGATAGAAATCGTAATATGAAGTAGGATACAGAAATATCAATTATTTGATTTGTTAGGGCTCTCTTTTTATTCTGGTTTTACTACAAACAGGCAGATGAAGATATAATTTATTCTTCAGATTAGTTTTCATACACCTGCCAAAGAGATGAAAGATTAAAAAACATAAAATCGATATCAAGAAAATGCCCAGTGCACATCACCCAGAATTCAAAATAAAGTGATATCTATGCAGAAATGTCATTGGAATCCCATCTCAACAAAGTGATAACAAAAAGTGAGATGACTAAATGAGACAAAAGATTCAATAGCTTTTGAAAATTCAGGTGTATTTTTAAGAAAATTTAATAGGAATAATTGATTAGAATACAATTGTGTGACAGGACGATACTCCCTAGAAACCGATGGCGACTTTCATTCCTGAAAGAGGTTGCCAAGGTTACAACCATGGAGTTAATCTAATTATTCATGACCGCCAATTCTGTCTTCTGGTTAGTGGGAAAGTTGGATACAGTTCAAAGGTAGATTGATTGATAATTTATGTTAAAATTTAATTTAAAAAAAATTGTGGTATTATACAATGTATTGCAATTGAACTGATGCCTTTATTTGTTTTAGCCATAAATCCGTCAATTCTAAGAATAATTCAATAAAATTTTTTAGATTAATGAGGGATAATTTATCTATGTTTCCCGCAAATTTTATCAAATTCTATAAACTGGGTTCCAAAGTTATGCATATTCAAAGTTGGACAAACAAAATTCCAACTTTCCAACATGTAAAAATTCATTTTTTTAAAAAAATTAAACTTTTCAATCCCATAGAAACATGAAAACATTAACATTTAAAATTATCTTGAGTCAAATGTACTTCAAATCTGATTTTCAAAATTCCCACCATTAGCTCGAATACATGCTCTAAAGATGTCTCACTATTATACGAGCAACAATTATCTGATCAAAATAAATTCCACCACAAGTCGCTGTTTGAGATGGTCAACGTCGCGTATGTGGGTTTGATAAACATGTTCTTGAATGAGACTCCATATAAGTCGGCCATTAAAATCAGAGCTATTAGGGGGGGGGGTGTAAAGAGTGGGTGAAATATAATATGGAATTTCTCTTGAAAGTCCACAATTTACTGCCCTACTATTCTTTTTAATAGTCAACAATAAGTGGTCACCCTGTAAAACGTAGGCATATGCACCATTAATTTTGACCCCTGGATCGATGAGCTCTGTGCAGCCAAAAGCTTGATACCTGAATGAAACAATGACAGATTTAGATAAATGACATATTTTTTCTTCATTGAAACTGTAACGGGGACCCTATCTTTTGGAGATTTACCGGTGCAGTTATTGTAAACAGCTTCTCACCCGTGAGCCATATGAAATGAACTAACCTCTGAGGGTATTTTCGTAGAAGTTGTTTGTTACATTAGAGGGGGGCGTCAATCTTATTTTTATAGGTTAGTTCCCGGGCCTGTTTCTTTTTTAACCATTTCAGACGCCATTGTGGTAAATCCGTTGCACTGAAGTTTGCGAAATACCGGTTTTCTCGGATTACTCGACGAATTATTCTGTAGGTGCCAAGTCGGTCTTCTTGGCTCGATACAGTGTTTCGATAGAATCAAAATTTTCCATTGCACAAGCTGTGAGTGATCTACCTCCGCTACCGATTTTTTACTGTATTGTATTGTAAAATCGATTCAAGCAGAGGTCCAGTTTCTGTTAGATTCCTTCAAAAATTTTTGGCTACATAACATAATGTATTTATTGTCTTAAACAAAAAATTATAGAATGCGGGCCTGTAAAACGTTTTAAGAATTTATTAGACACGTGATTATTAATTAAGAATATATTTAAAAGGGAATGGGAAAAATAATATAGAATGGAAAAGAGTTATTAAGGAATTCTTTTCCGTGGAATTAGAAGGGATGAATAGTACGATAGTTCCACAGCAGATTTCATAGAAATTGTATCGAATATTTAAATATTCAATTTGTTACCCTTCCAGTCACATATTATTGAGTGAGTTATGTAATTCATTTTTTAGGCTTATTAGCAAGAAAGAGGGGCTTCATCCGACTCACAAACTATTAGAGTAAGGCCACTCAGAAAGACTCCTATGCTTATTAGATTTAGGGGGTCTAAACAATTTTATCATAAATGCAGCATTATTAATTAATTCACCTTCAATAGAAGATAATACAAAAAGACTATGAGTTTCTAATAGACAGTATAATATTAAACCAGAAAATGTCATATAAGCTAATTAAAAATAATTTGTAATAAAAAAAATGATTATTCGAATAGTTTGAAACCGAATTTATTATTCGTATTCGAATATCAATACAACATTATTCGTATTCGACGAATTCGAATATTCGTTATCCTGTCTTTTTTAATAAATTGAGGCAGCATATTCATACTTATTTTTGCATATCAATCCGCCACTTATAATATTATTTATAATATATACATCTAAATTTAACCTTACATATATATAATATAAGGATCCCCTCTGAACATCGAAATTCACTTCAACACTACCAAATCCTTGACGCCCAACACGGCATTCAACGAATTAATTTTGTACGGAGAAAGACTTTATAATCAGAGCAATTTAACCCGATCGATCATCCCGAGCGAGGAGAATCATTTCATTAAAGTGTGCTTGAAGTTGAGTCGAGATGATTTCTCACTCCGAGGTTCATGCACCTACCAAACACTTTCGTCTAAATCTAAATACGACATAATTGTCGTTAACATCTCTTCCAATTTTATGAAAGAGGCGCGAAACACTGGTTTCTTGATTTTGACCGTCGAACTATCCAGGAATGACTCCGAACCTCCTTCCATGAATCTCGATCAAATTTACAACACTAATATATCTTCTAAATATGGGCCCTTTTTGATAACTTATCAAAATTACGACGATGAAACGAGGTTAGGCAAAAAAAAAACGAATATTGTGTGGATATAAATCTAATCAAAAATTTTTCTAAAAATATAAGGGTTTTTACTTAGACATTTTATAGTTCACCCTGTCTTTATAATGTATCAGATTTAAACGAAAGAATAACGTTATCCTCAATCACTCCAGGATTAAAAGACACATCTCCTCCGATTACAAATATTGCCAATTGCGTGAATGGTATATCGACTTTTCGACTCTCGGTTGGAAAGATTGGCTCATTAAACCCGACGGATATTACATCAACTATTGCACCGGTATATGTTTAAAATCCGATTCGATAGATTATATGGCTTTGAATGAATTTTAAAGATCAAAATTTTTTTTTATATGTGTCTACTTTCATCATTTAAAAACAAATTAATTGTGAAGGAATCATTTTTTTTTTGATATAAAATAGTTTTAATATAATTTTATATTTTAAATCGTCTACGCAAAGGAATATGCGTATCACCTCTTCTCAACGAAAATTACAACGCTAGCATGCATGCCTTTATTAAAGATTTGTGGCTTATAGCCACCAAGTCCCATCCTAACCATGACCAGGGAAACAGGAACACATCTATGAAAGGTATAAATAAACTATTATTCTGGAAAAAAAAATCGAATTTATTTTTTATTTCCAATTGTCATATCATGGAAAGATAAGAAAAATAGGGAAGATCTGCCACCTTTGGCTTCTTGCGTTCCTATAGAATACGAACCATTGAGTGTTTTGTACATTGAGGAGTCTAATATAATTCTCAAGCATTTATTCGATATGTCGGCATCGAGATGTGGATGCCATTGATGTATTTTAATAATTTATAACGTATATATTATATATATCCTAATTTATTGTAAATGATAGTAACAAAAAAAAATATAGAAAATTTGTTTTTTTGGTTAGTTTCAAAACAAACATGATTATTTATGCTAATAGACAACAATTGTTGCCTATATTAATTAAATAGAAATAACATTTTTTCCATTTTCTAAATGACAGGGTTGATTCAGAGGTAAAGATCTGAACGAAGCTTAGCAAATTAAAATTAGATCTTAAAATTTCTCTTGTTGAAGCGAACTCTCCAGTGAAATCAAAGCGGGAATGGTTTAGTGTTACTTACTCTTACTTGCTGCCTGTCGCATTGCATATAATTTGTATTAATTATTAATCCATCATCTTTGTCTATTTTTATTACCATAATTCCATTGTAAAAATATTTTGTTATTATGTCAATCAATTGTTGGATATTTTAGTTACTTCGAACAAAATTATATTAACCCCCCCCCCCCAAAACAAATTTAACTTTATACAAAAATTCCTAAGAGAACAACATTTATCCCAATATAAACAGTATGATGCTAAGTCATAATATGCAATAATATATATAATGTATCGTTTACCATGATAAAAGATGGCAATTAATGGGACGATTCTTATTAATCGGCTTTAAGTAGTGATGTAATCGATGAAATAGACGACATTACAGAGATCGTTCTTTTTGGTGGGGAAGGGATACGCACCATTAGTTACTTGTTTCAAAATGTAACGATTTTGAGTAAGGGTGAGGCAAGACATTACTCGTTAGAAAATATATATTTTATTATATTATACTTTTAAAGCCGAGTTTTTTTTATATTCAGAATCAGATCAACCACCCGAAGTTATATTTTGTATTTTATTTAATACACATTTCTTATATAATTTAATATTTAATTTATAAAGAATATATGTTCAATAGGATTTATTTCTTCAGATGAAGATGCTTAAATTGTGCCCTGGCTCCAGTAGGAATTGAGTCTACACTTTGTATGTTTAATTGTGCCCTAATTTAAATATTTCAAACTCGATGCCCAAGCAAGCTTAAACAAAAAAATATGAAAGCAATAATAATGAATTTCGATTAAATTCTGACAAAGATAAAAAAAAAATTGATGAGGATCCGTATGAAGATTTTTGTGAAGATGATCTAAATAATCATTCTTTAAATATTTTTTAAGAAATTCCCCCAAATAAAATTTTATTTATTTAATATTACGCGACTCTCCCCTCCTCTACGCTATTTGAAAATGTGTTTGGGGAGCGAAAGCTGTGTTAAGTATTCCCGTTCTTAAAAAAACCAGTGGCGTAAATGAGGGTGTTTCGAGGTTTGGACCACTCCCAGAGGAACAGTTCATCATACGTTGCAAAGCTTTAAAAATTATTTTATATTCGAGTAATACCTCAAGGAAAATGATATTTTAAATATTAGATTTGGTATAATATTTTTAATAATAAGTTTTCTGATGTTTATATATTTCTGGAAATATATCATTTACATACTTATTTTCTATACTAAAGTAGATATCTTCAACAAAAATCTAAATGACGTTGAAGTAATGAATGACGCTAAAACGCTTCTTAGATTATTTGACTAAGCTGGAGCAAGTGCCATACACATTTTTCAGATCAACTTTAGTATTTTTTAAATTTGAATGAAAAACTAAATTCTAAATTTAATAAACTTAGGCTTATCATCAATATCATGTTTTCTTAAATTATAATATAATATAGAAATATAGATATAGAGATTGATAAAGGATAAAGTCTCTACTGTTATTATGTAAGTTTACTATAAGTAGTCTATCACAGTTTTCTGTTATTCGATATATTAGCAACACTTGTCAGCCCATGGAGTATTTTTGAATGTATAAAGAAATGTAGTCAAACTACTTTCTAAACTTTATTTGAACTGTGATAAATTATTTTAATAATCTATCTTCATTTTCATTCATTTATGGATGATAAGGATTGCCATATAAATACATTTCTTTTCGATAACAATGATTCGGCCATATTGGCAAAATTTTGAATTAATTTTGAATAATATTTTGTCAAACCTAAAAAAAGATTACATCATAACCATATTTGTCGTGATTCCATTTTTTGAAATATTTTGACATAAATATCAAACATTCTGAATTATCAATACTCTACTGCGAACTATCAAATATTGTGAATATAAAAGAGCTATAATTTAGAATATGAATAAAATTAAAAACCTTCCCATCATTTACGAAGAATTTATTATTTATTTGACATGAATATGAGTGTTCTGAAAGTGTTTAACCCTTTTAAATTTACATTTTAAGTGTAACAGAGAATTATACATAAATAAGCTTTATTCGAATTATAATGACTATGATTATGTGCAATATATAGATTTAGTCGATATTTAGTAAGATATGTATATTAAATACCTACAACTTACACCCTTGATGGAGAAATGTTCCTACCCCCCCCCCCCCCATCTTCTTTCCCCCGGCTCATTTAGACGCCGCGTCTTGAAAACAGGCTACTCTCTCAAAACTTTAATAAACATAATTGCTTATTGAAATATGGCGGAAAATGAAGCTTTTATAAAAAGGAAGACATGTATATTAAAATAAACAGATGTGTCTCAAATCCGAAAGATAAAGAAAATGAAAACTAACCCTTTGATAATAGTAACCCTAAAACCTATATACCAAAATATTAAGTATGATTATCAATACCTTTTATTTTTCTAAACTATATGTTAGATGGTTTAAAGGAAAAAAGATATTGATAACATAAAAAAATAATTGGTAATAGAAGTTATATATATTTATTTAAACTATAATTTAGAGCCACAAAATATTTCTTAATTAATTTCGCTATTCATAAAAAGTAAACTATATTATCACGCCTAACTTTAAATTTTGGTTTAATAATTCAATCCATTTGATAGAGAGAAGTTATTAGCAGAAAAATGACATTCGTAAAATTGTTATCAAGATTATGGCGGAAAGAAAATTCTTTGACTCCAACTTTGATTATATTTCCTAGAATTCAAATACACTTGATGCATCTTTAAGTAATGTCATTCCAAAATAAGAAAAGTTTGTTATGGTGAAATTTAAAATAATTACAATTAATGATTATTTACCCTTAAGGACTAAGCATTCAATAAAAATGAATTTTATTATATATTTTATTAAATTTACATTGGTGTTTAGAACAATTTATCCGTCCATTTAAGATAAATTTTACTGAATGTGTGGTGTTTGTGTCTAATTAGGTATAGTATTTATCAAAATCTAATATAACCATTAACCACTAACGCAGTTCTCTAGTTTGGCATTATGACTTAACCTGCAATAAGCAGTCAATGCATCTTTTAGTTTTTACCAAACGTAATGGGTCGGTTGTTACTATTACTCTTCTAACATAAACCTTTTACTTTGTTGCTTAGCCCTATGCTAACCCCTAATATGGTCCAAAAGCTTAAGAAAATTCCTTTAATAGAATCTTATACTTCGCGCTGCTCAGTTGCTCTAAGTTTCATTTAGATTTTACCAAATGTTAAGGGTTGTCTAATAAAATGAGTATTTATACATAACCTAAACCGTGTAGCTGGTGTCTAGTAAATTATTGAATTTCTCATAATTTTATACTAACTTTAGCCTTTAACTTTATTGCATAGCCCTAAGCTTATGCCCTATGAGTTTTGTATAAAGTAAATATTAAAATATCAACAAATATCCACATTTGTTTATGATAAAAAATAATATCAAGCGAGTATAACTCAGGCTAAATTTTCTAGCTTAATGCCTTATTTACTTTTCATTCAATTAGAATTAAACTTAAACCAAAAAATTTCTACTAAGCCTGGATTGAATTTGGATCAAAATGGTCTTCTTACAATAATTAGTTAAAAAAAACTCATATACCTATAATAATGAACTCACATAAGTTTTTGGTTATAACCACTTAATTTAGTAAAAATAAATAGGTATGCAGCCAGCGTCTACATGAATGGGGGGGGGGAACAGTTTGCATCCAGCTTTAACTGAGGGAGGTAGGGGATAGACACCTTTAAGGGGGGTAAGATAAATTTATTGGGAGGATATCTTTTAATTTTTTAGATGAAATAGGAAAAATATATTGCTGTATAATACTTTTATTATAGACCTATTATAATATAATGATCATCGACTAAATATATATTGCAAACAATCATAGACATTAAAGTTTTCGTGAGGGGAGTTATTGCCTTATTTCATAATTATAAGATTATGAATGGTTGGACGTTCTCAGCAAACTCATATTCATGCAAATATGCTATAATAATGCATTCATTGTAAATGAAGGGGTTTTTAATTGAATCCATAATCCAAAAAATTAATCTTTTATATTCTTCATATTTTGATAGTTGGTAGTAGAGTTAAAATAATTTAATTTATTCTTTTTTAAATTTATGAAAATTCAAAAATTGTAATTAATAATGTGACAAATAAATTTTTTAAAGGTAGATAGGCATAGGTTTTTGAGGGGGGGGGGGGTTGCATCTAGTGAAATTTGTTGATACATATTCCTAAAAATATCAATAATTATTCATTTTCTTCAGTCTATAAATCTTTACTTGATGATAATTATGGCAAATTAAAATTAAATAAATTATAAATATTTTAAGCATAAGATTTTAAAGATATTTAATCACATCCTCGAAAAAAATCAAAATTCTTTTAAGCTTGATTTCTAATTTGTGTTATTTGTCGATGATTCCTTGAAACAGTCTATTAAGGTTTTCGATATTAACCGGGGTTACCTTAGCACTAATGTTGTTAATAGAGATTAGCAGATAGATGTCCAAGCCTTTCTAAAATTATGAGTAAAATCGTTAGTCTTGCCTAATGTTATTTGGTTATAATCTTAATCGGGCCGATTTTTTAAATCTACCCAAATCGGGCTTTTTAACAACACTAATAATCACTAGCCCTTTAAATACTCTACCTAACATTTTATTCAATAATATAATCATTCCTTCTCACATTTTTTGAAGAAATGACAAGTTTAGCAAGACAACTTAAAAATTTAACTGTACCCCAAACCACCTTGTTTAATGTACAAGATAAAATAAGAAATTCATTAATATTTGATCCAAAAGAAGCAGCTAACTTTGATAAAGAAATATTCTTTTCACTAGGTATAAATTTTTATTATTTTAGATAATATTTTTATATCAAGGAGTAAATGGTTTGCAAGAATTAGAATTAATTGATCCAAATTTAATAGAATATGAAGAAAACCTATTTGGGGAAGTCTATAAAACTAAGCAAAGAGTTGTGGAAGACATCAAATTTAACAAACATTTAAATGAACTAATAAAAGAATATTTAATTAAATTATCACCCTATTTTATGTTAAAACCATCATTGCAAACATTAGAATGGCTTGTTTATAGGTTGAAATTAGATTCTTGTAGGATATATATTATTTTATGATATAGATATCACATCCATTTACTTAATCAAGATGAATTAATGCTTTATGCATTACCTTATCACAACACAAACTATTTTGTTAGAATCATTCAACTATTTGACTTTAAAAATACAAAATCTAATTGGGCTTGGCTAAAAAGTTTGCAAAAAACTGGATTGCCACTCAATAAAATTGATCTCTTTAAGCAAATTTTAAATGATAATTCATTCTTAAAATTTATAGGGAATATGCCATTAGAATATATAAAGGTTATTGATGAAAATTCATAAATTTAAGTTTATATTGAATTATAGATTTATAAAAATAATTCTCAATTGCTCAAAACAATATTCAGTTTCTATACTTCAACAATCATCGGAGCCATAAACATATCTGGCTTATCAGAAAATTTTATTTCAACACTTGCTATATTCATTGAAATTGGTTTAAAATCAGAAATTACCTATTATAATTTGTCCACTCATATGATTATATGTTCACTATCTAACAAAATAAAACTCAAAATCAAATTTTGGAAGACTATAGTTAAAATTATGTCTCAAGTAAAATAATTAAGCTACCATATTTTATTTATAGAAAATGCAAACAATAATATTTTCATTGATTTTTTTATATATTTGATTAATTTATAGAATATAAGAGAAAATATTTTTCAACACACATTGTTATGCTTGATAAATATCATAAATAATCAACCATGCCAACCATTTACTTCCAAGTATAATCATATATATTTTTTATATTAATTTAATTTAAAAAAAAAATTATTATTATTATAGATCCATCGAAAATCTCTATCTAAATCAAACAATACTATTTTGTAATACCTTAAATGCCATTAGTTCACAATATGACACATCAATATTTGTCACCAAATTTGGGCAGGCCCTTATAAAAGCCTATTTTGACATTTTAGCAATTTGCGATAATACGCTGGAGATGGACATTAGCAAAAATACAAATAGGAATCAGAAGAAAATGTATGGCCAAGGAATGATGAAATTCCTTAAAAATATAATATTATCCAAGCAATCTACTCAAGAACAAATTATTAAGTAAATATAGTTACTATTATTTTCTTCTGGTGAATCAGTTTACTCATCAGAAATACTCTCTTATCATCAAAATAAAATACAAATATGATGTTGTTTTTATAATTCTATTTTTAACTTATATCCACATATAAATACCCAAGATTCTGTATTGACAACTATATAAAGGCATGCCAAAATAACCCCCATCTCGTAAAATCCAATGCTAAAACGTTGGCGAAAATATTTAACCACTTGGATAAGAGGTATCCCAAAGCCATGGAAACAGTCCTATCCACTTATTTTTCTGAATCTTTTGATTCAACTGTAGATCCTAATGGTGATGCAGGCAAAAAGGCTCTTAGGACATTGGTTAAGATGGTGACCTCACCCAAATATATGGTTTGTGCATGATACAAAAATTAGTGTATAATTCCTTCCATTATCTATTAGATTTTGGATACTTCCAACACCACTCTTCATTTGAGTTTGAATCATTTCAGCAAGGAGATAAGATGCTTGGCTGTTGATACCCTCGTTAAGTCCTTTAGGAATGTTCGAAATGTTTCCATAGAAACTAACACTCACGATGACAAACGGTAATTATTCATATATATATATATATATATAATTTTTGGGGTTGTAAGAATAAGTTGGAAAAATGAATAAATTAAGAAAAGAAATTATTTAGGGGCCATGCCATGTCAAATCAATAATGATTCTGGGATTTGAACTAAACTAGACAGACATAGCTAACTTGGTGTTCAAATTTTAGCATTCCTAGCTTTTTATTTTTGGAGATATGAAAGGTCAGAATATGTAAAATGACGTATTTTATGCTTATTGATTGTCTTTCAATCCAAGATGCAAAATAAATTAATAAAATTCTTTTTTATTTTTTAAAGTATTTTATTTACATTTTTTTTAATTGTGGCAGTAGTTTAAAATCTTTGTAAAAAATTTATATAAAAATTTTAAGTGTCACTCATAACCAATTATATAAAAATAAGTTGAATGCCAAGTTTTTCCTTTCACGAGAAAAATCTAAAAAACACTTTTAAAAAAAAGAAGTTTTTCTTTATACCAATCGTATTTTGAAAGTGTATTATATTAACATTGAGACGCGTTACGCTTTTTTATTAATCGCGCGGCATAACGCGAACGGTAAATATTTTTAGTTATTTCTTATATTGCGTAAATATGTGTTGTAGGACCATAATAAGGCGCATGCGTGCATTGTTTTTTTCACGATTTTCATAAATTGCCCAATCTCATCGGAAACGTCATATGTTCATTTTTATGTAAATAAATGGAATAAATTGACGTTTAAGTATATCGTCTGTTGCCTAGTCGGTGATCACGAATCCGATAGACCGGGGTTCTAATCCAGCAAGGTCAGTTTTTTTATCCCCTGAAGCCAACTCTTGGTGGTTCCACACTTTCAGACTCGACCACGTGATCCCGATTAGAAAATAAATGAGTTTTATTACTTTTCGACAAAATTTGATCAGATGGTTTGGCACTCACTATCTTTATTTTTTTAATGTATATTAACGGAATCACGTGATCGAGTCCGATTTATCACCCCCCCCCCCCTTCCATCGGGCAGGAGAACTTAGTTGATTTTAGTAATAAAAAATGGTTCTTGCTGGATTTGAACCCAGAACTATTGAATTGAACGACTTAGGCCACAAAAACTTACTCAAAAGCATTCTAATATTTTGATTTAAAAAAATCAATAAAGTTCAACTCCCATGCATCATTACCCCATGATAAACGTATTATAAAGATATTTTAACTCGGCATTCCTTTTATTTTTATACGGATATAGATTGGTTTTAGCGATATTTTCTTAAAATTATATGTAACCTGATGAAATTCAATAATTTTACTAAGGTGCATAAATAGTGCTGCTAAACGGCTAACTCAATATTTTAGCCAGAAAAAATATTGTCTAAGCCTCGAGATTTTGATGATAGATCTCTAGAGATCTTTGTTCCTTCTAAGAACAAAATCTTCAGGGCTTGCGCATCATATTTCTGGATAAAATATCGAGAGGGCCGTTTTTAAAGAATCGGTTCAAAACGACCCATTTAAAAATGGATCTTATACACTTGTATTTTGATTTTAAGCGTAAAAAAAGGTTATTTTATCAAACTTTGACCCTCGATATCTCAAAAAAAAAAAATGTGAGAGATAGGATGGATGCTAAAATTTGGATTTTTTTTGTTAAGTGCCAAATTTTGTCTCCAAAATCCTTAGGAATTCCTGGAAAATCTTCTTCTTTTTTTTTATTATATCATGAAAAATGATTACTGAAGAGAACTCATCAAAATGCGGGATTGGGTATAACGGTAGCCTTAATCAAGTTTTTTAACGGTTCAAACTTTTCTAACCCCATTTTAAAATATTCTAATCTTGAATTTATTCTTCAAGGAAATTCCAAGAATATTCTCTTTTCGTGAAACAGTCGTTACGCGATAAGCTTAAATTCGAGACCGAACCCTCTGTCCTCAAGAGGTTATTCACTACCTTCAGGATCGAAGAGTTTAAATCGCTCTTCCTCGTGGGTGATGGCGACGGAAACGAGTTATTTCGAATTTTGTTGACCTTTTTGCAGTCCGGCCCTGTCATGGAGAAAAAGATATGGTTTTTTTTAAAAAAAAAAAAATTTTTTAAACATAATTTTTTTTGTTTTGTGGGTTGGCAAAAAATCATAATTTTTATTATAAAAATCAAAAAAAAAGAAGAGATTTATTTGATTAATTTTTGAATTTTTTTTAAAATATTTTAATCAAAAATATATATGGTTCTAGAGCAAAATACCTCCTGGGATAGATAAAGTTATGCTCTTATTTTATAAAATTGAGCATCGGTTTCCTCGTTGAAATTTACGAATAAATCATCATTGTTTAACTAACTATAAAAAATATTTTATTAGGCGATTTCCAGGTTTACCCAGGTTGGCCAGTTTTCTCTCTAATTTAATCACGAGGAAATTTTATAGCATGGGTTTTATATCGGATGCCCTTCCTGACATTATCCCCTTTAGGTCCACGTCGAGGAGACGGTGATCCTATTCTAGACCCAGACCACAGGGAACCTTTTAGACCTACATTAGCCGCCAAGAAGTTGCCATTCCCCCTCCCACACTACGACAGCTGAATGTAGGATTAGGGGGGAGGGGATATTTAGCAGTTGCCCATTTATAATAGTTTTTATCATGTTCCGAGTGGTACAATTAAATTTTTACTGTGTGCAATATTTGATTATTTTTTTAAAACTAGGATTAATATTTAAGAAGGGCAAAATAGTTCTAGACATTTTTTTATATATTTACTTAAATAATATTAAAATGTAAAAAAAAAAAAAAATTATTAACACGACATAAAATCATTTATAGAAATAATACTTGGCGGTTTTCGTTTGCCAGATATATAGTAAAATAAAATATCAAACACAAGCAAAAAATAAAAGTGATTTAAATTACGATTTTTTTTATTCAAATAAAATTATTGATTTAAATTATGTTACTCTTAGAACGGTGTCAGAACCGGACCTTAGACCTTTCGCTAAACATTATCTAAGGAGATTTTTAAAAATCATAAAATTTTATTTAAAAAAAAAACAAAAAAGGCTGAAAATTTATAAAAAGGCACTCTACCTGTTGGCCGAAATCGGTGCCGGAAATATGGCTCATCTATCCAGCGCGCCATCTTCTTTGGACGAAGAAGTGTCGGGCAAGAATCGGAATATTCTAGGCTTTTTCGTGACGGTTTTACCGTATCTATATGCCAACGACGACAATTTGAAGTTGTTGAGAAAACTGAGTTGCACCGATTGGGTTAAAAATTTCGCCCTTTTCCGATCCCTGGATCAAAGTTATACTCCCCAAAAGAAAATGTTTATTTTATTCAAAGAAAGAAAGGAAAAGAAAGGAAAAGAAAGAAAGAAAGAAAGAAAATATCGAGTAATTTTTTGTTTAAAATGTTATATCGTTTTTTATTGTTCATTTTTCTTTCCTAGGCGAATGGCGGAGCTTGCTCACCAACAAATACAATTTACGGTCCGCTAACGAAACCCTAATCGCCTGCGTAACAAAAGATATTTTAGCGTCGCTACCCGACAGGGAGCTCATCTACCAAATAGTTTTTTTTTTATTTCTCATAAATTATTTTTTTGCCATCAAGGAATTTAAATCTCGATATAAAAAAAACCACCAAGAAACTAACTTTAACGGACCCCCCCCCCTTTATTATTTACTATTTAAGTTTCGGCCATTTTATCTATGATTTACGAAACTCGTGTGCTCATTTATTCGGACCAGCATTTCTGCGGAGGATTCGTATTATAAAAATTATTTGATTGGTTGGTTTGGCTCTTAGGGTCGTTACAGAGACATGTTTAGCCAGACCCTATAAGAACTCTTTTTTCTTTGTAGCTTCCAGGTGAGTATTTGGTAATTGAGTGAATTGTTGGAGTTATTTGATTGGAATACCCTTAGTTAATGTTAAGTTCTATAGAATAGAATATATACTTGCCGTAAATGATTTGTTTCACTTTAAGGACGTAGCTTAAAAAAAAACTATAATAAATAAAATGTTAGATTTCGGCCATGTTGCTTAGATGTCGTGTCGATTTGAAATCATCACCTATAAACGTTGACCAGGATGGCGGTAAAATATCTAAGATTTACTTAGAACTAGTGTGGTCCATCATGACACGCATACTGATGACCAGCTCCCATCACGAGATGTTGTTCGAAAACGGAAAAATCTTTGAAGCTTATATAGATGGCGTTAGGGATCTGATGACGTATTTGGCCGCGATCTCTGATAAGGTGACTTGTTTATTTTTTTTTAGAAAATTCTCCAATCAAGATCTAAGAACTAAGAATTTTTAGGTCACGTGCTAATTAAAGGGGCCTCGAACGGAATAACCATAAACTCGATTTCCTATACCCAAAATTTTTTTACCTTTGAAACGATAATGTATCAAGACGCAACAGCTGTCTATATGTGGAACTTGAACAACGTTGAGACATTTGGGTTCAATGACGTAACTGCACGAAACTGCAGAGGAATAGGCCACCTCTGTTCCTCTATATGCAGAGGAATAGGCCACTTCTGTTCCTCTATATGAGGAAATATAAAAAAAAATTTTGAAATTTGCTCTACTTGTGTGTGAATGGAGAGTAGTGCATAAATACACTTTTAAATGTTTATTTTTTATTTTTTTTAAAAAATATTAATATTATGAATAATGTTAAATTAAAATTATAAAATAGAAAAATAATTATATGAGCCCAGTTGTAAATCAAATCAATTAATTTATCGCAATGAATCTCAACTTGACGAAATAATATACAATTATTTCTGCAAAATAACGAAAAAAATGGAGTAAATTCTTTTATATTTATTTAGTTATATTTAATAATTTTTTAAAATTATATTCTTCTTACATTTGTAGTGTACAAATTTTACATTTTATACCATTTTCACCTATCCGATATTGGTTCAAAACCGATCCGATATTTATATCGATTTTTACCACCCCCCTTTGAACCAAATGTAATTAAGAAATCAATATTTTTTTATGCGAAAAATCGAATTATGCATTTAATTACGGATATTGGTGGTATTAAATGGATTTTTCATTATTCCTCTCCGTGTGATTAGAATTCCGCAGATTTGCAAAATTATCTTTGTTCTTATGTAAAATATTCCCATAATTCAGATACCATATTTAAAAAAAAATTCTTATAATTATTTAAAAAGATTTTAAAATAAATAAAACTATGGGTGGACCTTTCTATTTTTATTAAAAAAAAAATTTTTTTTTAAATACTATAAAATCTATTTTTTTAAAAAAATAAATATAATTTAAGGGGGTGTTTGTGCATTCGCATTTGTTTAAAAAATAATTATTTAGAAAATATTATCAACGTAAAATAAATATACATAAAATAACACGCAAAAAAAAAAGAAAAGTAAAAAGATCGGATCGAATCGGTTTCTTTACAGGTATCGACCAGATCCGATATTTAATATCGGCACAGCCCTAATTTTATCTGATTCAAACCCCATGTTATTATACGTTGATCTATTATTATAAGCAAAAAAATATTAGTCCTCAAATTTTATTGTGGAGTATTTTTGGTAACACCCTTTTTAGGTTAGCTTCATGCTGCCCCTAAATTTTGGGTTGCAAAAGTAGGCCTGGCCCGAACCCAGCCCCCGAGCCTAAATTTTTTTTAAAAACCGGGTTCGAGCCGGGTATGGTTTAATATTTTTTAAAAAAATTTGGGCCGGGTCGGGTCGGGTTTTGGAATTTAAATAGCCGAGCCGGTAAATTATTTTAAAAAAATTTTCGGGTTCGGGTCAGGCCGGTAAAGATTTTTTAATAATCTCTACTACGTGCCGGGTCGGCTAAATTTTTTTAAAAAACCGGGTTCGAGCCGGGTATGGTTTAATATTTTTTAAAAAAATTTGGGCCGGGTCGGGTCGGGTTTGAATTTAAATAGCCGAGCCGGTAAATTATTTTAAAAAAATTTTCGGGTTCGGGTCAGGCCGGTAAAGATTTTTTAATAATCTCTGCTACGTGCCGGGTCGGCTAAATTTTTTAAAAAACCGGGTTCGAGCCGGGTATGGTTTAATATTTTTAAAAAAATTTGGGCCGGGTCGGGTCGGGTTTGAATTTAAATAGCCGAGCCGGTAAATTATTTTAAAAAAATTTTCGGGTTCGGGTCAGGCCGGTAAAGATTTTTGAATAATCTCTGCTACGTGCCGGGTCGGCTAAATTTTTTAAAAAAATTTCGGACCGGGCCGGGTTTGAAAAATTAGGCCCGATGTAGATCACTAGTCTCTGGTACGCCCACTGTGTTGTGTTTAAATACATTATTATCTTTTTACAAAAGTTTTAAAGATGGATTTAGGAATCTAGGAAAATAATTCCCCGGAAATTACAAAATTAATAAAATAGGAGGAAAAATTTCCTATAAATATTTCTTTCTTTCTTTCTTTCTTTCTTTCTTTCTTTCTTTCATCCATGGAATATAAATCATCAAATATAATATATTTAAAATTTTTTGATAAAGTCAATTCCGGAGATATTATTTTCTAAGAATTATTATTGGGGACTTTTTTTCTCCCGAAATTATTTTCCGCTTACCGGTTTTAGGCCTAATGATTATCCTCAATTAGGAATGGTTATTTATTTTTTTTTATTGAGCAGCTGTTTCATATTTTTATATTTTTTTTAAAAAAAAAATTCCTCAAGGAACGATATTATCCAGATCCTCGTGCCTTCTCCAATCTCTTTATCGCCAACGACGGAATCGACGCCGAATTACCGCGTTCTTTCTTATCCGTATCGGAACACGTTTTACGATGCTTCTCTCGATCGTTGGGTGTATTGGGACATATATATCGGGCACTTTGCCCGTCTCGATCTCATCTATCCCCTTTCGATATCATGCCTCGTTCACCGAATGGTCAGTATATAATTTGGATACCCGCATGCGCGTCCTAGAACGGCCCAAATTAATGCTACGTTTTTAAAAAAAATTCTCTCCGTCACCCATATATCTATAAATTTTTGTCGTATCCGCCCGCCCGTCCGCCTAATGTTTAAAAATTTTTTTAACTCGCCCGCCATCCGCGCCATGTTGAAAATATTTTTATGAACCCGACTTTGCCCATTCAAACCTCTAGTTTAAATTATACCTTCGCTAGTGCCCATTTCCCATTAGCGATCTTATTGACCATCTCTCGCGAAGCCACGAAGAGCTCCGCTAGGATAGTTGAATTATCGCGCAATTTCTTTTAGTCATTTAGAACAAATTTGCCGATAACGGTTTCCCGATCGTATTTTTTTTTTAAACATTCACGCCATCTCGTTTATTTGTGATATTAATTATTATTAATTTTTTTTTTTTTAATAAAATATCAACGCGATTGCCCTTTTCGAATACCTTTATATAGATGGCGCTAATAACTCGAGCCGCAAAATAACGGCGCGTTTGTTGAGGAAGATATCGATGGAATGCTTACGGTTTATCGTGATCAAAGGGGCCGAATGTAAGCGCGATTTCGGAACGATCCCTGGACAGAATGACGAAGAGAAGAAGGTATCCGTATTCGAGGCCCTACTTGATCGAGTGCTTATTCAAGTATATTTTTGTATTTAAATGAAATCAAAACCGCTCCGAATCTGTAAAAAAAATTTATCTAAGTTTTTATGAACAGAACCGTGAACCTGGAAATAGAAACTGAATTCTCCGAACACGGTTAAATATGACAACTGGAATCAGAACTGCTTTTTTAGTATTTTCAGGAACCGGAACTACTAGAATTGCCTTTCGAAAAATATTCAGAGTCCGATCTCCTTTACTTCGGGTTCTAACATTAGAAGAAGGATTATAACTAGTTGAAGAATGGTGTGATTTAGGTCGATTTTTTAAAAACGGCTAGACGTTGAAATAATATTAGGAATGCCTTGAGTTTTGGAAAATAGACGTCTAAACCTTTAGGGCATCTATGGGCAAAATCTCCAGACTTGCTTTGGATAAAATGTCACTCATTCGGGTCATTTTCTTTAAAATCGATCACTGGTTGCCACTCATAACAATGATGGAGCTAAAAATGACATTGAGATGAATCTGTTAATAAATACTTTTCGAAAAATTTGCAACAGAAAATATTAGGGCCAGACCCCAGCGATTCCGAGATTTTGAAGTTCCTAACCCATTTCAGTCTTTGTTCATTACGCTCCGCATCGAATTCCGAGATTCGAGACGATCACAATTCGGGACTCATGGATTGTTTTGACCGAATCGTCGGCTTCGAAATGATGGATAAATACCTGATCAAAGAAAAAATGACAAACGATAACGGAGGCGGTCACCTTGATATATGGAATAGCAAAATGTTTTGGGATCATGGTTCGGATATTATGCAAATACAAATATATTTGACTTTTTAAAGAAAAATATTTAAATAAATAAAGAAGAAAATATAAATAAAAAATTGTAAATTATAAATTATAAAATAAAAAATTGGCGATAAATATTGGATTTTTAAAGTGTACCTTCTAGTTTTGAACGGTTGCTCCAATCCTCACGAAAGCGTCCGGAAATCGGCTCTCCGATTTTCGCGTTCACTCGCAAACATCTCCAATTCCGCTAAAACTGATACCCTCTTCGAATCCTACTCGAAGCTTGCCTCCAAAATAATCAAAAAATCCGACCAAATATGCAAAGATAAGAATGCCATATCGCAAGTTACATGATACTTATTTTCATATAGAAAGAAAGAAAGATAATTTAAACCAAATATGCAAAGAAAAGAAAGAATTTAAACCACCGATATATCTATTAACTTTCTTACACACTTTAAATGTGTAAATTTAATTCGATCAAAATATATCAATGACATATAATAATACGTAGACTGCGAAGACGATGCCTTCATTTAAAAGTGTACATCGAATGAAAAACAGCTGGGGACGCCATTTTGATTACATCATATCATTATTTTTAAAAAAAATTTATACGAGAGGCCAATTTATTCCTACGTCTCGACGCAAAACTTTATTGAAGAATCGCCCGATCATCGAGATAATAAGGAAGCGTGTTATCAATTTGATAGTAGTTTTTTTTTAAACATGAGAATAATTGACTATATGGGTTTATCAAAATGGCGGGCCCAGCTGATTTGGAATTCAACGACGCTTTCCGCATAGTCAGTCTAGGGTATTATTATATGTAATTGTATGTTATTAATATCTTTCAACGGGTCCTGTTGGAAAACGTGGAATGCGCAAAAGCGAAAAACTGAGAATATTTGTTATATATTGTCTAGAAAAATCTTTAAAAAAATAAATAGTATTGATAGATACTAGGAAAAGTGGGTACTTATTTTGTTGAGTTTTTATAATGATATTTCGAGAAAAAAAATGGAGATTTTCTTAAGATGTTCTTGATTGATATTTCTAAATTTAGGATTAAAAATCTACCCCATATTATCTCCCACGCCCATCGTTTGTCGATATTATCTTCGAGAACTTGGAATATTTTCCGTTTTCGATATTTTTAAATTTCGCGTTTTCCTACCTTCATACCAACCCAAATAATAATTAATTGGCTCAATTCATTTTTTTTTTTGAAATAGACACCTTAAATATATATTTTTTTTAAAAAAGAACCAATTAAAACCCCGTATTTTAAAAGAACCAATTAAAATCCGTATTTCGAAAGGTCGCATTCAGATAAGGAATGTTAGGTTCACCCAAAAGAAAAAATATAATTCTAAATTGATTTTATATTAATTTTTTTTTTAAAAAAAAAGTCAAATAATTAATAGATCAAATTTTTCTAAATTCATAACTTTAATAAAGGGTATAAAATTTTATTTTTTAAATTCGTTTAAAATTTTTGATTAAACTTTTAAAAACTTGAAATTTTATAAAAAAAAAAAGTAATAAAATAATATATTATTAAATGATATAAATTTTATTAGGTAATCAATGGTTGTCGTAATATAATGTTACTACGATTTAATGGATGTAAAATTACACATTTTTTCTATTTAAAAAATGTATGGATTTGATTCAATTATTATTAATCTAGTTCCTGAATTTTTCTGCCTCCTTGTCGACAGGCGTTTTACTTACATTATACAATTTTCCGTGGCCCACTTGTTCCCTAGGCTGCGTTTTGGCATCGCGAAATTCGTCTTTATTTGAATTATATTTTCTTGTTTTTTTTAAAAAAAAATAAATATTGTAGTGTTTTCCTTTGATGATTTGAGAGAATGGTTATTTATATTTCACTTACCTATCGCATATCAAATATTTTTATTATTGTAAATATTAATTTGGTCATTTAGTAATTCCTTAGATTTACTACATGTAATATACTGTTCCACTGACTGAATTCTAGTATGGCTATGCTTTAAAAAACAAAGGAAAGTTAAAGAATCATAAAATGCATAAATATATTTATTATTTTAATAAATAAATGGTTGTAATATGATATACGATTAATTGACGTAATTACTGATTTTTTAAAAAAAAATTGATTTGGTTCAATTGCTAATCTAGTTTCCGGGATTTTTGATTTGGGTAATATAGTAATTCATTAGACTTACTAGATGGAATATACGGTTCCACTGGCAGAATCCAAATATGATGACTCTTTTAAAAACGAAGGATTATTTTATTCAATACTTTCATATAAAAATAACAAATAATTACACTACATTTAAAACGATAAAATATAACAAAAAAAACGTTATTAATTTATCAAAATGCATAACACTTCTTTAATAGTGTTGTTAAACGGCTAGCTCAACATTTCATCCAGAATAAATATTACGCGAGCCTGAAGATTTTGCTTGTAGAAGGAACGAAGGTCTCTGGACATCTATTAGCCGAATCTCGAGGCTCAGGCAATATTTTTCTGGCTAAAATATTGAGTCAGCTGTTTAGAAAAATCGGCTCAAAACGAGCCGTTTAGCAACACTACTTCTCTAACACCAATCTCCACTATACCCCTCTCTCGTACACTCACAATTGCAACAGTAAACTTAACCAGGTTTTAAAATATAGGAAATTTTAAAAAAAAATTTGAAAAATATTCGAATTTTTTAAAAGAAATATTCATAAATTAAAATAATACTTTTAAAAAAATTATTTTTTATAGTTTTTGCGGTCAAAATTTAGTGACGACAATCCCGTTTCGCGCCAAATCTTGAGCTCCTTGGCATCGAATTTATTGCCGAATTGGGACGACGATATCGGCGGCAGTATTCGCAATCTCGTTGTCGACATTCCCACCGTAATTCGAGTGAAGATAAGAATTCTGGAAATTTTCGGGGAAATTGGGAACGATTTGGTACACAAATTTTGCAAATTACGAATTATTTATAATGTGTCTAATTGAGACCTGAAAACGATAATATCGTTGCAAATGTAATTCACAATGAGGATATTTTTTTAAGTTAAACTGATTATTAAAAATTGCGATCTTTAGTTACCGAATGGTAAAACAATGTGTAAATCGTAACCAAAATGATTTTAACATATCATTCTTTAGGGCTTGAATATAGACCTCCTTCCCCCTTAGACCCCTTGTGTGTTTTCAGCTTTTTATCTTGTAAGTCTTCAATACCCATTCGAACTAGGTAGGGTTCTAAAAGAAATTATAAAAACCGGACAAGGGCTCTGACTCGAGAAAAATACTTAATTGATGTTTTCGTTTCCCCTATCATAATTAGAATTTCTTTGGGATCAGGAGAAAGCAATTAGTATTTCTATTTTTTTTTTTCCAAAATCATTTATCGAATTTCGGAACGAGACCTTAAAATAATATCGGGTGGATGGGGGGGGGGCTTATAAATTAAGAAATCGAATTTGCGGGTAGCGTTCTTATATATTTATCCAAGTTGGGAAAATACCAACAGTTCTATCATTCTCTGCTAGCCATCTTGTTCGTTTAATGGCGATTGCCGGGTTTTATCCAGGTTGCCCAGTTTTCCCTCTAATTCAATCATCAGGAAATCTTGTATAGCAAGGGTTATGCCCTTCTTGCCTGACATCAACTAGGTGGTTTTTACAACCGGTCGAGGAGACGGTGATCCTGTTTTATACCCAGACCACGGGGAAGGGTTTATTGTAAGCAACTTCTTTTTACTTATTTTATCCTTGAATTTTAATTTTGGCTCCAGGAATTTTACAACGTATTCTGCTCGCCTTTATTTGCTTCCGTAACCTCCATCTTGTGTAAAGGCCGAAAAGATGACGGCTTTGAAGAAATGAAGCGATCCATCTTAACTCTATTTTCCCTGCTTACGTCTAAATTAGACGTTCGTATAATGGGTTCCACCCAGGAACCCCTGAAATGCATGAAGTCGATTTTGGATCACTTTAACCAGGGATCGAATGAGGAAGACGACACTTTGTTGGAATGCATCGAAATTCTGTGCCGAACGGTAAATATCGTTATTTTTCTCGATATCGTTTCGTCTCCGAATCATATATTGACTAGAGATCTGAAAAAGTAGGTCTGGCTCGTACCTGGCCCGCGAACTCGGGTCGAATTTTTTTAAAATATTCGGGCCGGGCCGGGTTTGAAAAATTAAGCCCGATGCAGATCACTAATATTGACCCAACATATACTATGGAGGAGTTCTATCTAATCCCAATAAATTATTTATTTTTAAAAATATTTAGATGACCCGAGAAATCTTCAATTCCATCCCCGACTCCCAATCTCGATGCCAACTCTTCGAAGCCCTGCTCAAGGTCAATACTGGGCGAGCCGGCCACTCTAATTTGGACGAGAGGCTGGGCAGCATACTCGCCTCCAACCCTGACCTCATATCGGATACGCTGAAACCTATGGTGGCGGAAGCATATGGGGGAGCGGAAATGGTAATGACGGAATCGCCGGCCGGCATTAAGAAGATCAGGAAAAGTCTGAAACTCAACAAAGGTTTATTTGGTCTTTTAACGACTAAATTTTCGTACATTGTCCTCATCACTCCCCTAACCATAAAAAACTCGATTTTTGATTTGGAAGAGTATTTATTCTTGTTCCGCTATTAAGCACCTTTCCGGGTAATGCCACTTTTTTTCCTTTCCGCGATTCTGAACATACATTGTAAATAGTTCCTATCTCCCTAAAATTTCTATATTTTTAAAATTAATTTTGATAATTATGTTATTCAATCAGCCAAAAAAAGGGAATTGAAAATTGAAAATTTATTAACCACGAGCTGGGCCTATATTTTAATTATATCACCCTTGAGCCGGGCTGATATCATTTTTTTTTTGCTTGTAATGAAGTTAGGATTCTATGTGGTTCGCGAACAACAAATTTCTAGCAGCTGGTGTTATATTTCGCCAATGGTGCTCGTTTCTCCTGGTATTTTCTGAATTCTGCACTTATAAGTTATAATAATTACCCCTCGTCTTTCCTTAGATTCTCTTTTACAAACCTTCCGTTATCATTGCGTCACTAAGAAATTAAGTATCAGTTATAAGGTGAGATACTTTAGAAATTTTTAATTATGATAAAATTATATCTTCCTATCCACTCATTATATAATCTAATACGCGAACACGCACAAATTTTAAGCCAAGGTACCTATCGAATTTAGCGGGGATCGAGCTGTTGACGGAAGAAAAGATCTGCCAAAAAATTTGACGCGTGTCTTGGAAATATTGTGCTTAGGTGGCGCAATGGATGCGGATAATATCCAATCATATTGCGATGTCGTGATGCCCATTTGCTTCCATATTTTAGATCGGTAATTAATTATTGCAACATAATTTGTAATAGATAATATGAACTATCTTCAAGTACAATCATTAGCATTTTGTTTCCATTCAAGACTTGCCCATTTCTGATATTACTTTACATATATATGATGCTATATTTTGAAGTTATAACGAAACGACCAATCTCCGAACACAAAATGATACTCATGTCGCGTGGCTGGCTTTGAAACAGCTGACAATGATAACGTCCCACGCTCGGCCACATTTGGTCGAATCTCGCTTCAATATGGCCATTTTGCTATCGTGCTTGCGAACTGTTGACCAATCGGAACACGGTAATACAATAATCAAGGACGCCATTTTTGACGTTTTGAAGCGAGTCGTGCCCGTCTTTTCGGAGAGGATTACTCATAACGTGGTATCGCTATTTACTTTTATGGGAAATGCCGAAAAGTAAAATATTTTTATACATTATTGTAGTCACCACTTCCTGTACATAGGATCGTTTTATAGAACTTTTTACCACGTCTGATATTTTAGTCCCCTTCTCTCTCAAAAGTTTTATACAGTTATTGTATATCAGAGACCTGCAGAGGTCCCGGGTACTCCCTGATTAGGGCCGGACCATCAGGTCTCTGCTGTATATTCATTCATTTAAGTAAATGTTCTGTAATACTTCAAGCTTCTAGTAACGGCTCTCATGATTTAAACGTATTTTAATAATCTAGTAATTTCCTTCTTATATATATCTTTAATTTTGTCGTTCATAATATATTTATTTATCGTTCGTTTTTAAAAATCAGAGATGGAATGGTCAGAGATGACAAAAATACCTTCGACACTATATACAGGGTTATAGATGTGTTGGTACCTGAGCTAGTTCGGCATGTAAAACTAAATTATATATACCTTTATTTAATTATTTTTTTAAGAAGGAATTTTTTGATTAAGTTCACAGGTTTTAAATTGCTGAAACACGAGATAGTTACAAAGCTTTAAACAAAATTATTTTGTCGTAACAAACCAAACATTGTTTGCAGAAAAAAGGAATTTGCAATTTATTTTTGTAAATGGCATTTTTTTTCTTCTGAAGTTAAGTAACGATCTCGATCTACCGTTGGCATGCGCCACGTTCTCCCAAATATTTAGCGACGCCGTTCTTCATATTCCATCCCACAGACGATTCCCGCTCTTCCACAAACTCGCTCAAGTTTTGGCCTCATTGTCTGCCTTACCTGTTAGTGAATCGTCTGCTTTACCCACCGAGAATATGGACGATGCGGATGGATCGTCTGCCTCTCTAAATGTAAATTTTATCATTTATTCGATTTTATTTGCCTTTTGAATTCTAAAAAATAATATAATTTTATTCTTAAAAATTTACCCTTCTAGTTAAACAAAACACCTGATGATGCCACGTTATCGGAAAGCGACATAAAATCGTCTGCCATCGCCACTTCGGAAACGTTGATTCGTTTGGTCGTGTTCTTGTATTCCAATGCAACAAAAGTAATTTTTTTTAAAAAAAATCGAGCTATTATTTTACGATTTAAGTCCCATCTTCTAAAAACAGTTAATATTTCGCCTCATTCGCACAATTTTTTTCGCGAAAATTTTTCAAAACATACTTTCAAATATTATAATTTGGCGAATAAAAATGTGGTTTGATTTCGCAGTTTTTTTATAATTTGTGAATACGTTTCGGTGTTCAAAATATTGATTGTCTGTAAGGGGATCTTATTTCATAATTATTTTACTGGTCTGCAGGCCTAACATTTACTAAATTATATATAGAATTACCTTATTTCACACACAATTTCGCCCAATTCTCTGATTGGTGAATTTGAATGGGGGTACGTTAACATTTTTAATCATAGGTGGAGCCGCTAACAGAGTTTTACCCTTCTCGGTAGGTAGAGTTACAGTGTCAGATTAGAAAGATAATCACGCTATAAGATCTGAAAATCTATATCAACCATTTATACCTTGATATTTATTATCTTTACATTAGAGTCCTCTGGGCCCTGAACACTGCCGGTTAAACCCCGAATGAGCAAAAAAATCCTTTGATTTTTAAAAAAATTGGAGCTGGTCTTATAAAAATTCGGGCTTGGCCAATTTTTCACGTGAAATTTTTTTTTTACCATAAAAAAAATAACATTTTTATGGTTCTAAATTTTAATCATGTATATAGAATTTAGATAACCAAGCTGAAATTCGCCAAACTATAGCTGATCTCTGTTCGGATCTTATTTTGCGAGCCGGAAATCAGGTTCACAACGATGGATCGGCGGCGCTCTGCATGCGTAGGTTGATGGATCACCTATCCTTCCTCATTTGGAATTCGAATGGCAAGACTCAAAGTTGGGAAAATAAAATACAATTATTATTGATTAAACCAAGTATCGTTTTTAATTTCAATAAAGTTTTAGTGATCTATTACTAATCGAGCAGTACTTTTACAGAGCTCGGAACCAGATAAAATCCTAAGAACCAAATTTAAATTTCCAGGAACCAGAAACGTCATTTAAGAGCATATTATAAATTTTTCCAAACATTTTTGAAATTTTACCTTAATCTCAGACCAATTAAAATAAGTTATTATTTGTCAACAAACTAGCCAAACAAAAATCAAACGTAAACCGCGAAGATGAAAATGATTGGAGCAAATCAACCAATTTGGATTTCCATATTTATCAAACTCTAGGTGTATTTTCCTCGGGAATTGGCGCCAAAAACATTTTAGCCGAAAATCTGAGCCACTTGTTAGTCGAGTTATTAACGATCGCGTTTAGGCCTAGAGAAAGCCATCCCATAAAAGATCAAGTTTTTTTTATTATATAAAAATTATTTATCATTTTTTATAAAAATAAAGGGTTCACTTGGGTTTTGTCGCTTTCGTGTACGCAAAGAAGATACGTATCTTAACAAACGTCTCAAATGAAACGATATTTTTCTATAATTTTAATTTTTAAGGAAAAAATGTCTGATTTTTAACAATCGCGAATTGATAAATAACGCAAATTTTTCTTATTAGCTAGTGTTGTTAAATGATCTGTCAAGTTTTTATCCTAAAGAATTAGTTCCAATTTAGGTTCAACTTAGAGATTTCAGCCTATTTTTTAGGCTAAAAGTTTGTCTAAGCTTTATTAGAATTGTGTATGCGACATAACAACATTATTTCATTTTTTAAGAAATACCCAAGATTTACTTATTTTTAAAAAAAAAAAATTATTATTCAATACTGACTTATATTTGGTCCACTTCGATTATTTTTTTAATTAATCAATTCCCTTTTCCCACAGAAGAACCTAATAAATTTATTAAATTTTGATCATCATTTCCCCTCTCCCTTTTCAAGGAAAAATTGTCGAAAAAGCTTATGTCTCGTTTGACCCAGTGTCAAATCTACTTGGCTTCATCTTCTGACAACGACATTCCTGCACCAATAACGCTCTTGAGTTCCAATCTGGGTAAGGCTCTCAAGTTACTACTAAATAAAATCAAAGTCAAATTCGTAATTAAAACTTTGGCTAGCATGATGGGCCAGAACTGTGCATATTTGGTAAATTAATTATTTTTTTTGACGATTGGTTAATATCCTTATAAATTTTAAAAAAAATTTCCTAGGAAGAGGAAACCAATCTTATCGGCCGTTCCCGCGCAATGCTTAAAAAATGCCTAGAAATGCTTAATCACGTGCTGGTTTTTAAGAGAAACTCGCTTCAACTATCAAATGAAACAAGTGTTAAAAACGATTCTCCTTCTCTCATAAGTTCACAAGAAGTTAGTTGTATATAATTTAAATTTTTATAAAGGTGATTAGAGTTTATAGGGTGAATTATTATCTTTGAATATTTCGAGATAATCATCATCTTCACAAATTAAACGCTTATTTTAAAACGTTTTCTTTTTATTTTCGCAGAAAAATTTGTACCTCAAAATAATCCTTCCCATCCTGTCCAAAACCATCACACATTACTTCCGTTCTCTTCTCGACAACCGAATGGAGGCAGATCTGCAGGAAGGCTCTGACAGAGATATGGATGAGACGAGCGCCCAACTTTCTTTGACCTGCATTAAACTTATTCTTCCTTTGATCTTTCCGAATTTGGATGACGTGGCACAAAATAAACTTTTGGTCGAGGAAAATAGGAATACCATCGAATCGGTATGCATTATAATATTTTGATTTCTTATACGGTCTTCGAGACCAAAGCTAAAAATTATGTTGATTCATTTGGCAGATAAAATAATTTTAAAAATTAGTTGTTACTCTGTAGATGACAATATCAAAGTCGAAATATAACCAGGAAAATTGATTTCTCAAATCTTTTAATTCTTGGGCACTTTTTCATTTTATATAAAAGACGTCATCGATATTATCATGTAAGTTATAAGTGCCCAAAAATAACCCTTATATTATCGAAATATGATATTTTTTGATTGCATGGTGATTTTTCGTATTGATGGATTTTATTTTTTTACGAATGCCAGATCCTGGAAGCTATTTGTTCCTTGCTCCCATTTTTCGAATCTTCCACCATTGATTTTCTCCCAAAGAAATATTCGAATCTTAATCTTTCCCTTTTGCTTTGTTTCGCGGAGGCTTTTCGCCTTTTCCCGCTCCATTCAATCTTATTGACTCGTGCTTCCGAGTTCTTAACACTTGCGATCGAATGTTTGGTAGTGGATGATCAAAATGAAGGTATTTCAAGTAATTTAATTATCGTGGGAGTTATTGTTGTTATCGTTTGCTAAAAATTTGTATTATATATCATTTTCAAGTTTTTTGAGTTCCTTATAAATATTGGCTTAATTTTTTTTTTAAAATAAAATATATAAATTTAAGAAGAATTCTAAATAATTGACAAAAAATGTTTGGGTGGGTAGGAAAACAGTATTACTATATTAGATTTTCCGGAAATGCTTTTCATTTATGGATTTAAATCTTATTTTGATAGAAACAGGACCGGATCAAACCGCGAAATTAATGACACGAATATCTTGCGGGCTTTCGGCGCTTAGCAAAGTTTTAGCGATTAGAAATGAAAGCATAATTGATTTGGCCATCTCACCTCACGCTGACAAAATCGTAGAAAAGGTATGACGTTAAATAATTTATTATAAACGAATTGATTGTCATTTCCCGCGATAAAAGCGCGCCTATTTTCGTTTTATCGTGATTATTCATGATTTTATATCTCGATAAACCCAATTTTTTAAAAAGCTCACTTTATTGACGGCTTATTTGACACCTAATTCTTCCCCCGCTTCCTCTTCCGCTCTCAAATGCAATTCGGCTTTAAAAGATCGCGTCCATATTTTGACAACTCAAATGACAAATAAATGCGTCATAGATCCTAGACTTTACGTTGAAAGTCTAGACCGTGCCTTTAAATGGCTTAAGTCTAATAACGAATATAACGTCGGTTGGATCAAGGCTTACTTCCATATTCTTAATCGTTATCTAAAAACCAATCCCAAACTCAATAAAGTAATAACTATGAGTACAACTGTTAATAGCGATGACCGAATTATAGGTGCTAGGATAAAAGAAGCCTTTCTAGAAAATTGGCTACAGATCACCTCCTTACACGTAATATTTTATTTGAATTGATCAAACGAAATGGATAATTTTAATCCAAAGTTTTTAATTGAGATTTTGTTTGATCATTATATCCTATCCCTGGTAAATTAAATTGGTATAAAAGATAAAATTGTGATAAAATGCATCAGCTCTGCTGCGATTTTATATAATTTACTTTTCAAAGGGTACCAATAATTTGCCTTGTTTGCATTTTGACTCTAAATTATATGATTTTTTAAAAATTATTTAAGCCAAACATTAGCTTTGCCGAAATATTGGAAATTCACTCATGGATTATCAATGCGTTAATTACTTATTGCATCAAATTGTCTGAATTGACTCTGAGGCCATTCCTTCTAACTGTAAACATATAATGTAATCTCTAAATAATTTCAACGATGTTAAGGCGACGTCTCTTAGGATTATATTTTTTACGGAAACCTGCAGGCCTAGCCCGAGCCTTATTATAATTTTTTTTAAATAACCAGGCCAGCCTAAAAAATTATTTTTTAAAATACCCAGGCCAGACCGTATATTTTAACCCAAATATTTTAAATCGCCATTAGCTATAAAAAATATATATATTTTAAAAACTAATTTTTTAATAAAACTAGACTTCATTTTTTTTGTATCTTTTAACATTGACACCAATTAATTTTGGCTTCATTGACTAAGATGCAAATAACTTGTATTTTTTTTAAACCTATTAGTACGAAGCCAAAATGTTTTAATATGTTAGTTTAAAAAAAGGAAGATATATTCATAATTATTCACTGAAAAGCCACCTTTTTTTACACATTTTATATTCATATAAAACAGATGAAGGAATGGGCACTGGCTGATGGTACCTCCAACGTGAAATTCATGTTATTTCTAGATTTTATGGAAGCTCTAGCCAAACACTTGGGCGTGTTATTTTTGTTGTTTGCTGATATCGTATTTGAACCAATGTTAGATATTTTGAGCAAAAGTAATTTTTATCAATAATTTCTTTTAAATAAGTTTATTTCTTAAGCTTAATTTAAAAGATTTTTAAAATATAGGAGACAACTTAAAACATTAGTTTTTAACTCTAATTGGGTTATAGATTAGTTCCCCTTCCCTCTGACCTGTAAAAAAATAATTAACACTTATTTATTGGATTGTATCGTTTTTTTGAAAAGCGTGTGAAGGCGAAGAGAGTTGTCATATGGTCCTATGTTCCTTGCACATTCTGGCCATCTGTATATCCATAGACGATGGAACATTTTTGACCAAGGATAAATTTAACCATCTCGCTGGACCCCTAGTCGATCAGGTTTTAAGCTTAAAACGCTCTACATTTTGTATAAATAAGTTTGTCGATTTCGACATAATAAAAACCCAAACAAAATGGTATTTATATTTTGTTTGCAAAAATATTCAGATATCAGACCGAGAAACTTCGATCAAGGATACTCGTAACCATATTATAAACTCAACCATCCCCATTTTGGCTGACATGATAAAGTCTCACAAAGACGACATCGATTGGAAAAATATCAACCTACTTATATTAGACAAAACTAAACACACCAACCCTATGGTTTACATTTGAATATAATATTTAGACCAGTTGCCATATTCATCTCGGAAAACGCCATTCACAAGATAGGGGTTATATAAGTTTCATGAAAGAAAAGAGGATCGGATTTCCTATCTTTTTGTTTGCTAAAAAAATATACTGTTTTCCGGCAACCTCTACCACTAAGTTGGCGTTGAATTTAAAGAGATCATCATCTCCTGAAAATTTTAATCAAATTATTATTTTTTTTATACAATCGATTTTGAATTTATGAATTTTCTTTTAAAGATCAAAAGATATGCCGAGAAATTAGCAATTTTAAAAAAATTTATACCGACGCACCGCCTGCCGGCCACTGATAGTTTTTTTATCGACCACATATTCAAATTTTAATCCTAGAGTAATATTTCATCTGTTTTTTTATTATTATAAAATTAATCAGGTAAGAATATCGGCCATTAGATTGCTCAAAGATGTGTATACAAAATGTAGCGAAGATTATCTCACCCTTTTGCCTGACATGACTGGCCATTTGGCTGAATTGATAGAAGGTATAATTAATATTATCAAATCCTTTGGCATACGATCTAAATGTTCATTATTAATCTTTAATCGTAGATGATGACATAGAAGTGGAGAAAGAGTGCCACTCCTTGGTGAAAATTATTGAGAAGCTGTTAGGGGAACCGCTGCAAAAATATTTTTGACAAATTTTCGTACATTTTTTATTTTATGTTTTAAGATATATTTTCTTAATAATATTAAATATTATTATTACATGTGTAAATATGATATTATTATTTTTTAAATGTTTGCATATGTACATTATAATCAACATAATTAAATAAAGTAAATTTACTTCACTTTTAAAAATTACGAAATATGGTAGAAAAAAAATTGAGACAAAAATAACTTTTTTAGATTATATAATTAATTTATTTAATTCTATATAAAAATTATATAATATGTACAAACCACCAACACAATATTTAAAAGTAATTAAAATAATCGTATAACCCAACTCTGATCAATTGTTATGATGATATATTTATTTGAGGAAAAATCGTTTTAAGATGAAATTCCTAGATTATTTTTTGTGATGCGATGGGATCAACTGAGGAGTTATATTTAAAACGGCATCTTGTTATAATAAAATATAGAATATTTTAATGTTTTACAATGTATTTTCAAGTTTTTGATCTAATTCATATTGAAGATTAATTAATTGTACTTAAATTTTGAGAATGCTGTGATTGCAATGGTTCCAGCGTTTTATACTTATGAACGATTCCTTCTAATCCGCCATTAAAGGGCGGGACTATTCCAGGTTTTGTGTTATTTCCGGGGGAGACCATGGAGGGCGGAAAAAACATGAATGAACTGTTGGGCGTAGAATGGTTATTGTTGGATAAAGAGCCGCTAAAGTTATTCAGGTTAGTAAAACTGTTGTAGTCCAGGGTATTGGGGTAATGGTGAACACTCCCACTATTACTGTTGTTATAATTGTACATTTGGAAATTAGCATTATCGGAGGCGGCATAGGGTAAGTGATATTTACTGTTGGCGGAGCCGGAAGAAATCGCTTGAGGCAAAGGAGGCTTGTACATTAAAAAGGAGGGAGGAGGTGGGCCGTGGTGAATATTTCGGGTTGGGTAACGAATCTGGTTATTCGAGGAGGGGTTGCATGAATTGGGGTTTCCGATATTGTGATGATTTAAATGGTTGCTCAAGTGATAGTTGACGGTGTTGATTGAATGATTAGTATTGTGGGGAAGTGAATAATAATTTGCCCCAGGCAAAGAGACCCCATTGTAAAAATTTTGGCCATGGTGGTAATCGGTCTGCATGCCTATTAAAGGGTATCCACCGTTGGTAAGTGACGATGGACAAGAAATTCTTGGGGTATTGTTCGAAGGGGGTGGAGCATTCGCCGTTCGTTTCAAGACGTTTTCGATGGCTGCATCAACATTGTTTTCTTTTTCCGTGGCATGAATGGTTGTATTGGTAGTATTCTTAGATAAGGTAACGGAGGAACTGGTGTTACAAGTACTGATAACGATACTATTTGAAGAAAACAAGGCGCCATTCATATTCAACGAAGAATTGGGTAAAGTGAGAGGAGGGGGCGGCGGGCTGACACTGGGGGGTGCCGCTAAGCTAGACGAATTTGATTCATTGCAACAGTCTCCACTATTGTTATTGTTGTTGCTACGTTTCTTGAGAGGCTTGTCCCGTTCTGAGCCCACAGACCGGACTGACCGGTTTTTAACAATAACCGACGGTTCCGATAATTGCTCTTCAGTATCAGATTCGGTTTTTGAATCCGTTTTGAATCCCACTTTATCGTAGCCATGGGTATATGAAAATGATGAGGGGAGTTCCAGGTAATGAGGGTCTGTGGTAGAAGCGCGTTTTAGGTGAGCTAAGGCAAGAGAGGCCACCATTTCCATGGCCGAAGTATCGACTATATTTTAATAATTTTTGAAAGAAAAAAAAATAAGCTTAAAAATCAATTAATTATTTAGTGAAAAATTAAATATAAATATTAGTCAGTATAGTTGTTAGATTATTGAAATGTTTTAACACTTCGTATAAATGGTTTAAGACAAATTTCAAACGATTTAGTTAATTTTAATTCTCATATATAAATCTAATCAATTTTTATAATAGCTTTAAAATAATCCAGAGGCTAGTTTATATATAATGTACATATTACAGTTCACTATTTAGTGAAAAATTAAATATAAATATTAGTCAGTATAGTTGTTAGATAATTGGAATGCTCTAACACTTTGCATAAATGGTTTAAGACGAATTTTAAACGAAATGTTATGTTTATTTAAACTTTTACATTTTTATTTTATTAAATAATAAATATATAATATCAGAACTAATGTTATATTGAAGTTATAATTATGGTTATTTTTTATATCGTTTTATGTCATAAGAAAGGTTAAACGATATTTAAAATAAAGATATAATTGGTATTCTATATATGTTGGAATATATTTCAGAAAAATTAAATTATTTAAATTTTAATATTCCACCATGTGTAGAATACCTATACTATAAATCAGATAATTTGATCACGAACTTGTAAATCACGACTAAGATTTAAATCAGACAATGCGAATCGAAATTAGATGATTTGACTATAACATACATATAAAATGTAAATGTAAAATGCATGTTAATTGATATAATACATTGAGTGGTAGAAACGATTTGTGAGGGCATGCATAGAGTAGGAGGGAGTGGCGAGGTCGAAAAGGTATCCAACTTATCAGCCGGAATAGTCCCTTCTTCCATGCCATTGACGATAGAAGTAGGCGTGAAATTCCCGTTAGAGGAGTTAAAGTTTGGAGTAGGAGTAGGCGATTTGAAGTGAGTGCCCGAGGAAGCGTAAACCAGGTGATTTAGCTTATGGCTTGGCCGACTTTCCTTGTTACTTCGCTTGAAAAATTTTTCGCCTGCTCCTACCATAAGGGGTTGTGGCGTGATTTGCTTAAAGAAGGTTTTGTAACTTTTCAAAAAAAAAATTAGAACAAATTTATAATATATGAAAATTCTAGAAATCTTTTGGAGATGGAAAGAATCGAAGTTTTATTTATTAGGTATAGGGCTGCACCGATATGGAAAATATGCCAGAGTCTAAAGGAGGGGGATGCCAAAATCAGTAATTGGATAGGCGCCGATATCGGACTTTTAAACAAAATATAGGATCGGACGATATTCTTTGAAAATTTAGATACCGATTTACATTTTTGAACCAACTTTCCCTTTCCCGTAATAAATCTTCATAACTCATAAAGAAATTGTGGAGGAAGGAAAGTTTATAAAATAAAATAAGACATTATTTACTCTACATCTTATAAATACAAAACTTTAAAAATTTACTTTCAGGTAAGACATATTTTTATTATAATTTTTAAAAAAAAAGCTCCGAGGCTTTGTCCCGGTGTGACTCAATCTTGATACTTTAAGCTAAACAGCTGTTTAGTCAGGTCGCACCAGGATTAATTTCAAAAGTGGGGATAAGTGAATATTTTGGTTAAAAACGTTTTAAAAAAAAATAATATAACAGATTTTTATTATTCCATCCTCTTTATTAAATAAAATGATTATAAAAGGCTGTTTAGGATAAATATTGGAACGGATCGGTGCAGCTCTATTAAAACGGTTAATAACATTTTATGAGCCAATATTAATTCAAAAATCAGCACTTTCATAGTTAAGTTCAATGTTATTTTTGCTGTGAGCATACATTGTTGATAAAAAGTTTTTATAAAAGGACCTTAAGTTTTAAAGTTTCCAGAAATAACAAAATTATTCATACCTCATTTCCTCGTTTAATGAGATGTCTGAAGATGTGGTTTCCATAACGGTGTCCTAAATGGAAGAAAAAAAATATTGATGGTATCAATTCTTTTTTTATATGTCAAATTAATTTCCAATTCCCCGCAAGCAGCAAAAACCACTCAAATCATATGTAGACCAATTTTTTTAAAATATTGACCATTTTTGGTTATTAGGTAGAATTGCAAAGACTGTCAGGGCTGGAACAATGCCAATATTTTCTTGGTTTTTAAAACAAAAGCTGATAAATCAATCCAAGAGCAATAATTTACATTGACAATATCAATCTATTATTCAAAAAATTAATTAACATCTTATATTAGATTTATTTGGTAACTTTTTGGCTTTATTTCGCGAAAAACGCTATATGCCTAATTTACTAAGTGATACCTTATTTTTCAATTTACCATAAAATATAGTTCAAATATATATTTAGAAATATATAAAATCTAGATCCCTAAATTCTACACTGGGAAATATTTAAAAATTAAAAGTGTTTCCTTATTTCAGGTAAAAAAAATAGAATCGAAATTAAAAGTCATCTATAAAATTGAGACTATTACTCACAAGGCAAACTTCTTAAAAATATAAAGTTACCTTAGAACTTCCCATAACCGCAATTCTTTCTTCGGACTTCAAGGTGAAAGCTAAGCAGGTTTTGGAAGCAAAGGAAATAACCGATTTCCCGCTGTCGAAGGAATTAGTCATATTGCTATGCTTAAAGGAGGAAGTGTTGATAGTACCCTCGAGGCCATCTTCTTGAGAAGCCGAGGTCACTTGAGTCGGCATTTGAAGGACTAAGAGAAGGGGACGGGACCATAAAATTAAAAATATTATTAATAAACAATTTAACTTACGGTCATATTCATGACAAGTCAGGCGACCCCCTTCGATTTTTTCAAAAATTTGGTAAAAGTTAATAAAATTGTCGCCAAAATTTTAGCCTCAAATTAATCTAAAAATAAAATGTCACTATACATAAATTTTTACATTTAAATTTATTATTTACAATTATGTAGTTTCTTAGGAAATGTTTAATTGGATGAAAGGCTTAAACTCTGATATCTCTAAAAAATATAAATGTTAGGAGGCTAAATATTTTGGCTATTTCTTAGTTATATTAACCACCTTTCTTTGCTTACCAAATTTTTTAAGAGGATTCGCCGAAAATCTTATTCGTTCTCGCTCATTTGACAATGGAATAACAGTAGTACAACATGCTGGTCACCCAATCATTTTTATTTGTAATTATTTTAATAATGAAAAATAAAAATAAATTGAATTGCACCTTGAGTCACTGTACCGTTATCGGATATCGAATTATCGATTTCGTGCTCATTCAGGTTTACGCTAGTGCCCGGTTCCAATACCGATACGAGCGACGAAGATATCGGAGTAGCGGCTAATTTGAACGTTGGCTAAAAAAAAAATTTTTAAAAACCCATTTTAGTAACAATGTCCCTTTTCCAACATCCGGATCTGATCAATATCCAGAAAAGGAAACTATGTTTGGGAGAACATGTCGCTTAAAAAAAATATGTTAACGTCAACGTGAAATTTCCGATAAATTAAAAAGGAACTCTAAAAGTATCGTTTTCAAATTTAAAAACGGCTTTCCAAATTATTTTTTACTGTTCAAACTTAAAATAACAAATTTAAGCGCGTTTTTTTAAGGAAATTTGATTCTGCCACAAATGTATTTCGGCGAATACTTGTAACAAGTAGGGGAGACAGGGAAACCCTAACAGGCGAACGTCAATCAAAATTAAAACTACTTGATAATATTGAACAAATAATTCTCATTTTATTTCACCTATGGGAAGGATGAGGTATACCTACAAAATAGCCCTCACGGATTGTCGATCGTCATATTCAATTAAATCAATCTCATACTTCATGTTGGAAGTACAACATTGAACACCGAAATTCGCTACATAGTAGCACCCAAGAAACCAATACTTTAAAATTTCCTTGGAATATAAACAACTAAACAATGTTCCGAGTTGAAGAGTATTCTGCTTTACTAAATTATTTACACAGAGACGAGAAAATGATGATTATACCTGAAAAAAACAAAAAACACGCTTTATTTTTCTTGTATCATAAAATGAATCAAAAAGTTATTTAGATTTTATTTTGCAAAACCTGAATTCCTGTACCATTGTCGATAAAATTCGAAGATGTAGTGTTGGGATTATTGCTATTATAACTACCGGAGCCATTTTGCCCATTGCTGAATTTCAGGGTAGCCGGCAATTGCTTGGGAAATAGGCATGTAGTCGATCTGGATTTGTTAACACTGAGGCTCACTTTCGCTCCAGCCAAATTGGAATCGTTCTGCTCGAAAGATTCCTGACAAGATGTTTGAGCGGTTTTATGGTTGTTAGAAATATTAGGAGATGTGGACTCGGAAATCTCGCAGTTATTCGTTTTGACGCTGACTTCTTTATCGATGTCGCCGAGTGCTGTAAATAGTTAAGGAATAATTGATTTACATAACTTTCAAAACGTATATAACCAACACACCATGTTTCATTAATTTCTAAAAAAAAAAAATCGGCCAAATGATTGGTTGATTTGATATGGAATTACCTTTATCATATTTAAAAAAAATGATTAAAAATTACCATTTTGAGAGCTATGGTTGATGACTAAGTTTTCGGCATTCTGAGCCTGACATCTAAGGGTGCCGTTAGCCATGGGCAAGGAATTGGCCAAGTGGCTCTCAATCATAGCTTTCGCTATCACGTTTCGCACGTAAGATGCGCACGCACCCTGGTCGACCAAATCCGAGAGGCTGCCATTGTTAGAAAAATTAGGGAGACTTCCTTGAAAGGTTCCTATCACATTTCCGCTGGACGATGAAGTGCTAGAATTATTGAGAAGCGGAAATGAGGGTTTTTGACGTTCCAGCTCTTGCATGAGTTTGGTGAACAAGAGTGTCTTTTTGTTGTCATTGATTTTATCAAGACCGGCCGAGTTATTCGGGTTCAGGAGGTTAAGCGGGTGGTATAGGGGGTTCAAGTAGGCGTTACTCAGGTTACTTAGATTGTTGGTATTATCTAAACCGTTGAAATTAAGGAGTAACATGTTGGCCGCTGCCCCTTTCATCGCATTGGAATTAGAAATGACGTTGGCATTGTTGGTGAACGAAGGCGATTGGGAATTGGCTGAAAGTGGAAGGAGCGTCGAAAAATTGGTTAGGAGGTTCAACATAGGTGGCGCCTGGGGTGGTGGGATGAATACGTTTGAACCATTTTGAGGAACGAAGCTACTCGCAGTGGAACTATTAAACGAGGCTAGAGCGGTGAGGGGTAAATTGCAGAAGGTGGAAGAGGAAGATGAAAAGGGGGCCATGAGCCGAGAAAATTCGCCGATCCGATCCTTCAACTCCCGATTTTTTGTGGTCAAGTAATCGATTTCGGTGTCGGCTCGAACTATGGATGATTTGAGATTGTGCTGCAGATTCACCACGTTTTTGGCAAAGTGTGACAAATTCATGGGCTTCGTTATGGATGAGTCTAGTTTGTTCATCTTGAACTAGGGTAGTAATATTTGATTTATTATTTTTTTAAGAAAGAAGAAAAATACGTACAAACTTTCAATGCCTGTGTTTGATACTGAAAAAATCTAAACCATCACATACCGTATCACAGGGTATATTAGTAATATTAAACAGGTTCTTCTAAAATTTTACCTCTATTCCCCTCCTATTAAATAAAAATTAGCAAAAAAAATTATATCCAAAATTATGCCTTACATTATGTGATGATAGCACCTTCATAACTATCTAACCGAAATGTCTGGTCATTATCTTTTTATAAGTAACTTTAATTTTTCTAAGAAATTTTATGAACCAATACCACAAGCCTAATTCGCGCTTAAAATTTGACTATTTACTGGAGGGATTCTACTTCTTGATAATACACAGCATATAATATTTCTATGATAAGGTTTACAAGACCTTAAGTAATTTTGACATAACCGTGATATTACAATCAGCTTAAATCATAAAATTAAGGAAAAATATCACAGCTGACGCGGTTCTCGGTCCCATAACTATCCCATCTTAAATAGGCCATGCCATAGATGGATCGATTGATCACATGGTAAAATAAATGTTAGCAAACCTGAAGCAATTTGCTGATTTCAGCGACCATTTCCCTTTTTGCCTGCTCCGCTCCGACTATTTTGTTGTAGAGACCCTGATTTTTGGCGGTTTGGGAGGAGATTTGATCGGCAAATTTTTCCATGAGTCCGCTATCGTTGTTGTTTTTGATTGCGCGGGACAAAGTGCCGTAGAGGGAGAACCAATCTTGGAACAAGGTTTCTGCAATTTAAAAAAAATCATTTAATCGTATATATTATAAAGTAGTAATCAACCAATGTGCCCTATTAGTGGTGTGGGAGTCTTCATTCACCAAATTCAGGAACAAGGGCTCTGTTAAAAAATGGTTCAAGTGCGATTTTTTTGAAGGTATTTGTAATAAGTCCCCTTTCTTATAAATTGGAAATCTCGCTAAAAAAATGCACTAATAAATGCATTTGACTAAATAAAAACAATATAAACAGATATGATTGGTCTTTGCAAATATGTGCATGCGCATCAACATTCTGGCATTTTATTTAGGACAAAAATCCCTTCACGTCTTATTTATGGGAATCTAAAATTTTACGCAGCATTTTTAGATACAAAAAAAATTTCTTTTAAAAATAAATCTTTTATTAATATAATAAGCCCTTCATTTAAATCAAGCTTATTTAATATCTAATAAAATATTATATAATATTAGCTCCCATTTCATCTTTTGTTAATAACAATAAATTAATTCCAAAAAAAACAAATAAAACATAATCAAATAAAGAATAAAAACTTACAAATGAAAAACTTTTTTTTGAGGTGAGAAGCTGGAAAATCAAAGAATAATATGTGACGAGAAGATGAAGACATGGTAAATTTTTTTATAAAGGTATCAAAAAAATACTGCCCTACCCTATTAGATATGGCACAAATCTGAAACGTTAAAAGATATATAATATGACTTTTATAGACAACCCAAAATGTGAATATTTTTTTCTTTAAAAATAGTATTTTGAAATACTAAAAATTTTCTATTCGTTTCTCTTTTTTTTCATTTTTTTTTACTTAAGTATTAATAATAAATATGACGAAATTTTATAAAAACGTATTTACTATATATTTAATTGTGAAGGTTAAATCAAAAACACGTGTCTTTTAGGAGATAAATAGAGTCCTGAAAAGTGTTTCACGTGAAAATAAATAGTAAATATAAAATAGGCATATGTGCCTTTTTTAACTACTTGGCAAAAACGTACCCTTTTATGGATGCAAAATTGGGACAAAAAATTATTTTAACGAAATTTTGAAACACTTAAAAATATATTTATAATTTATCTTTCTCAATTTCATCTAATAAGCGAATTATAAAAAAAAAATGCAATAAGATAGTTGGTAATAATATAATTATATAAACTCTAACCCATTGCTTCTTTGATCACCCTGAACTGTTCTCCATCCATTCCGGCTGGCTTAACCACCTTAAACACGCTACCATCATCTACGTTTCCCGAAATTGGTTGGACGAGACAAACGTTGTCAGGTTTAGGGCAGATTTTTTGGCTCTGGTGATCGCTGATAATGTTGTCGCAAATGTCCCTTGTGGAATTAGAGGACGATGCCTCGAGTCTGACGGAATTAAGTGTATGCTCGTGGAGAAGATCTAGGGAGGATTGAAAGTCTGGCACAAGTTTTTGTATCACGTTTAAAGGAATTTGTGTGAATTAATATTTGAAGAAAGTAAGGTATATTTGAGATTTCCTCAGTTTTCAAAATTTATCTTCCAACAAATCTCATTCGAAAGATAAATTGATGTTCCTTTTTTTTAAATCACTACATAACTAATTATTGGAGAGAATTCACATGCCATTGAACAATTAGATTTTAAAGAAAAGTGCAAAATTAAGGTGGAAGAAATGGTCTTAGGAAAAAAGGAAATATCTTTTTTTTTCGTGGCATATATAAACGAGGTAAGGAGGCATGAACCTGTCTGACAAATAAATGGTTGCCCAGTCCTGAATAAACTATGAAGGAAAGAGATATAATTTTTAAAAAGCCGATAAAAATATTTTTCAACAAATTTTTCCGATTCAGACCAGCCAGAAAATCTTTTTGTCAGGTCACCCCGTGCTCTAATGCAGATGTAGGACAGAGGATATTATTCCAAAGTTCCGAATCATCTCTGTCGCTTCAGCCAAGAGACGGAAATAAAGGTGGAATCAAATAGTGGCAAGCATATATATATATAGAATGGAATATTCTAGATTTAATTCTTTACCTCCTTTCCTTTTCTTGCCTTTCTTGGCGAGGACCGTGTTTGATTGGCGCGTGGTAGCGTTTGTAGTTTCTTCCAACAATGAACCGGTGGTGGCCTCGAAATCGGAGAAATGGTCTTCGGTTACGTGATTATTATTTGGGTGATAGATCGAGTGAGTTCGACTTGCGTCAGGATCGGGCAAAGCGGTGACGCCTTCGGTTGCGCGGGTAAATAGAAAGGAGGGAAGGAGAGGGGACGAAGGGCCCTTTTTCTTGAGATATGTTTGTTTTTTAAAAAAATAAACAATTCTTAATTTTCATACATTTCTTTTTTCACATTTTATTTATTTTTAAAATTGTGGCCTTTCGTTTTTTTTACCGTGTCAGGGTACTTCCTGTTTTGTTTGGAATAATTTCTCAGGCCCATCTCAACGACGGTCTTGATAGCGCTTCGCTTCACCACCTTCTTGTCTCTCCCGTCTGCCAATTCTAAACGAGCGTAAGAATATTCAAAAAAAAAACCATTTTATTTATTATTAGGCTTTTTCATAAAATGTAAATAAGAAAAAAGTGGAATTGAAATGAAATGAATGAAAATGATGATTATGGCTAACTAACTACCTATAGTGTAATCACTGTGATCGGAAATCTTTTCGACCGTTCCCTTCCGGGAAAAGAAGTCATCGTTTCTTATAACTTCCACCAAACCTCCGATCTTGAAATATTAAAGTAAAAAATTTATACATAATTAAGTTTTTGCGTCATTGAGAGTTGATAAAAAAATAAATTTTTTGAACAAAATTAAAACGAGATTAGAAAAATGTTACTTCTAGTGGGCCGTTGATCTGATCTTGATTGAGAGATAAGAATTTGTTGTCCTTCAGCCTAATCTATTTTTAAAAAAACGAGTCAAATAATGAAGAACAAAAAAAATCTATCTGGCATAGACTATACATATCGATTTTCACCGTTCCTTTTCCATACAGTACAATTACAACATAGACCATTATTTTAAATTATGGCCAGTCATGCCGATATAAATATTGGATTGGGCCAATATTTTCAAAAAATTTGTAACGAGAAGAGAATTTTAAATAAATTTAACGAGTCATGTTCGGCCATAAATCGTCGGCCTAGAATTGGAGTGATCCACTTGCGCAAATGTTTAAAATGAGATAAATCAACATTAAAATCTTATAAGAGGAAAAGCCTTATTGATCAATTTTGTCAGAAGGCTATATCTTTGGCAAAAAAATTGATATTTATATATATATATATATATCGAGAATAAAAATAAGTTGTTATTCACTTCCAACTCAAAAATTTTGAAAATGTCGAGTGGGAGCACTCCAATTCTAGACCGACGAAATATTGCCTATATTTTAACTATTTTAAATGATTAACCTTTAGGGTATTATAGAAAAATACAGTTTTTAATGCACCAAATAATAGTCTTAGCTAACGAAAAACGGAACATCCATTTTCTTGCTCTGTTCAACATAGTTTACAGTTGGTTATTATTTTTTTTGCATATAAATAATTCTTTTTATAATGACAAATTTTGATTGATGGGTCCGTAACTGCCCCCTTTTAAAATATTATACCTTAATTTTAAGGTTGAGGTGGACCTTGCTGATTTTGGCTTTGCAGGGGCCGTCGTTTTCGATGATGACTTTGGTTCCCTCTATAAAGTATGGAATGGACGACGCCAGGTGCGTGGTTGGGGAGCATGTCGATTTAGGTGGCATCTATATATTATTTATAGTTCATTTAATTTGTTTAAATTAGGATGCCATTCAAGAATTTTACTTACCTCCCCCCCCCCCCCAACTCCAAGTTTATTTTACTAAGCTATTCCCACAAGTCCAGTTATAACCACAATAAGCTTTACTGCTGAAGACTACTTTTTTAAGATAAAAAATGAGCAGTTTGAAAACCTTTTCTACGTCTACGAGTCCATTCATGCCCGAGACCACTTTTAACGGTGTGTTAACGGATAAATCTTCGATATCAACAGCGTCAGTGGGAATAGTTGGAGTTACGGGCTCGAACTCTTCTTCGATCTCCATGTCTTGTATCTCCATCTCCTCCCTATTTTCACTGGTTCTGCCACTCGTTTCCTTGATTTTAGGATTGCGAGTGGTAGCAATGGTGGAAGCAACCACATCAATCTTACGGTAAGAAGGATCAAAGCTATTGAGCGTTGGTTTGGGAGAATTGAAGAGCGGTAAACTGTCCCTACTGTTGGAATCCCTTTCGATAAAGGAAACGGGTGAGGAGTGAGAAAGAGAGTCACTGTTGAAGATAGAGAAAATAAATGTTATTATCCTTTCACACATAAAAAATTAAATTTAAAAAAAGGTGAAATCAAAAATTTTGGGAAACCTGGGGTCTGCTTGAACCAGCGTGTCAGAGTTGTCCCAGGATGAATCGCTGCTGTATACCGTGGGTCTTTTTTGAGCCGAATTCTTCCCTATTTTTCTAGTTCTGGCCATTTTTCTGGTTTTATTCCTATCGCTACGACCACTCTCACCGACTGGTGGCTCGACCAATTTGTATCTTTTGCATACCCTTTTTTCGTTCTTTTTGGCCTCGGATTTTTGGGCAATTTTTTCTGATTTGACGAAATTTTTGGGCATTATACCATGTGACGCCATTGGAATACGCTTTCCGTTAATTTTTACGCCCTTCTCCGGGTTTTTGTGTTGGGAGGGGATCGATTCGAGGGAGTCGACGGAAGATAGGCGGAGCGATTTTTCAAGCAGTGGCTTAAAACTGGATGTTAATGTAGCAACTGAGTTTGGATCTAAACTGTTGGAACGATCTGTGTGATAAAAACATAATTATAGTGGTAATTATTTAGGTAACGAAAGCAATGATCAAGTTTGCAGGTATTCAAAATTATTCAATTATTAAACACATGTTCCTTGAGGAGCTTTTTACTTATTCTTACGTTTATTCGATCTCTATTAAATCACTTTCTAAATTTTAATAATCCATTTTTGAAAATATTTTTAAACAATATAATTTTCTAATCGAAATCAAATATTCAACACGAATCAAATATTGGGTGAATAAAATCGAATATCGTTTTTATTATTCGTACGATTACGAATATAGAAATATTCGATTAGAAAAATGTGAAGTGAAGAATAATGCAAATATTCGACTCGTATTTTTGTAGGTATAATTAGAGTAGACGCCAATACCCAATCGTAAAGAAGAACTTAAATTAATATAGTATGAAATTGAGCATGCGCGTTACTCGTTTTATTGGAAGAGCTAACGCTAGAGGTTTCCGAAATGGAATCAAGGGTGTCCAATCCCGTCTGGGATGAGGAGTTCTCGTTATGGAGAGAAGATTGAAGTCCGTTCACTAGAGTAGTGGGCTTATGCTTTTTGTGATGTTTGTGGTGATGGTGAGTTTTTTTGGTTTCCTGGCGAGGGTAATCGGATGGAAGGGGGGCGAAATATTTTTTTAAATAATAAAAATATGTACAAGTAGGAAAATCGGGATCGATCCATCGATTCGGAAAATATGAACGGATCACAAAATTAGCATATCTGTTCAAAAATCTCAACTAAAACGTTCACCCTCACGATTGGAAACGAAAGCGATATAGGTTAGGGTAAGGGTTAGCGATAAAACAAGACCCCTATCAAGGGTTAATGGTTGAGGAAAGTGTCATTTCTTAGGGTTGGGGTTAGCGATAAAACAAGACCCCTATCAAGGGTCAAGGGTTGAGGAAAGTATCATTTCTTAGGGTTAGGGTTTAGCGATAAAACAAGACCTCTGGTGTTTTACCAAACATTATAACCAACCCAAATTACGGATCGAATCGGTCAGCCTCACCTACCCCATTTGTGTCTGGTAATTACTTACTTAAAATGAGTGATCATCGGTCAAACTCCACTTGAAAGTTTAACGAACGTACTAAAAAATAAGGATGTTCCATTTTACCCCAGCAACCTCGGTAATTCGAGGTAGAGAGTAAGGCGAGTAAATAAGCAAAACGAGAATAAGGGGGGGGGGGTAAAAATATTATAAATTGGTATCAGTGTGTGTGTGTATATATATCAATATCTATATAAGTACTTACGTTGATGTTTTTGATGTCAAAGTATTCTTGGAGCTATATAACAATATTTTGTTAAATAAATGAAATTATTGAATTTGAAATATAGATATTAATAATATCGGGGAAATAATTCGGTTTAGTTTTTAGCGAGATTAAAATCAAATTTATTACAATGGCGATTTTTTAAATTTTTTTCTATCTTTTTTTTAAAATAAAAATTATTTGATTTTCTTCTTCGTATTTAATAATTAGCTTTTTGAATTCAAATATAAAAAAAAAACATTTTATATATCTAAATTAAAATAATTCAGATATTGTTTATTAACATTAAAATTTAAACTAACATATTAAAAATGACGATTTATTAAAATTATTATAAATCGGAAAATTTTAAATATTGGTAAGAGATGATAAGACTGATTTCTAGTCGTTTCAACTGCTATCAATGGTTTATTTGTCAGAGACCTGCAAACCCGCCTCTTATTTTAATTTTTTTAAATTTATCCGGGCCGGGCTGGGCCGAGCCGAAAAAATGGTACCTCTGCAGGTCTCTGATAAATTCACAACAGGGAAACAGATGTTTAATGTAATAAAATTAACGCGCATAACTTCGTCTTAGGTTGTTCTCCTAGGCTATATTTTAAGTTAAATTTTTGAACAAAAAAAAAATCATATTTGGCACCCAAGGAAATGAGGATATAATAAAGATCGATCATATTCGAGTATACATTCCAAGTGGATTCATGAGATAATAAATAATTAACCTAATAAAACCAATATATTAAAAAAAACATATATAAATAATAGTGAAACCAAGCTCCTGTCTATGATATGAATGTAGTAAGGAACTGGGCTTTGTGTCCAGGAAAACGCTCCGTCATCGCTCATGTATTTCGATACCCGCATTATGGCGGCCGGATCTGTGATGGATGATTATTTTTTTTTTATCATATAAAAATCCAGTTTCCTTTCATTGTATTTCATTCTCTACGAAAACTCTTCTAACTCAATTGTATAAAAATGTTTTAAGAACAGCTGACGTGGCATAAATTTCTTTCTAAAAAACATTCTAAATCTAAGAAAAATCCGCTTACCGTCTAGGTTCCTGTCCGATATCTTGAAATATTCCGTCCTGAAAGGGTACGTGGAGACGATTCGAGTGTCTGCGGTAATAATAAATAAATCGGGAAAACAATGTTAGTTAACTACATTAGTCACCAAAAAACGTTTATATTGAATACGCTACGTGTTCGTTTTTAGCTCATTGGATCTATTAGTTGAAAGATTCGAGTCAGGTCCCAACTCTTAATTTAGAAAGTAATAGATCCGATCTGACCTAAAATAAGATCCAAAAACCACGAACTCCATTTGAAATTAATGGGATTGAGATTATTTTTTTGAGAATTGGTGTTTTTCTAAAAGAATATTTTTAAGGGGCATTAGGAAAACAAAATAATTCAACATCTCGTCAGAATCCAGTCCATCTAGCCTGAAGGAGATTTCAAAAATAAAAGTCCAACCCTGACCCAACCTAAAACGTCTGTCCGTCGAGTTCGAAAGGATAAGAGTTTGATTCAGTGGCACAAGTAAGTGAAGAGCTAAAAATGATAATTTTAAAAAAAAAATGGTATAATTAGTATTACTATTATCCAGATTGCCGAAAAGACCTTTGAGCTTGTGATTGACTTCCCGAAAGGCGAAATTATTGACAAAAATGATGGTAGATTGGTAGATGAGATCAATGTGCTCGGCATCTAAAAAGTCGCCGTTAATCAGCTGAATTGTAAACAAGAAGAAAAAAAATAAATAATTTTAACCGGAAATCAATATATTCCACGAGACAATTAAATGTAAATGTCCGACTTTTTAAGATTTTCCTTAAATCAAGTAAAGTAAACCTGGTAATGATGAAACTTTTTCCCGAACCATTTCATGACGACGCCGAATTGCTTGTCCATTTGAATGGCGTAATGGGCCCTGGTAGATTCCTTCTCGATCCCAACACATGACCTGCATTGGGTAGAGGCCGCCACCTGCAGCACTATGTGACCGATGCCTTGATTAGATACACATTTTAATATTTGATAAATTATGCTTTGTTCACGTGGGGTTAAATGGCACACAATAATAAGGCAAGCTTTAAAGATGGAATTAGGGGGTAAAACAAGTTATAACTATTTTTTAAGTCGTACCGCTTCCCAGGTCGATGAAGGTATCGTCGGGTTGAATGTTCAGCTTCTGTAGAATCTTCTTGACTTGTTCGTAACTCGTTTCCCCGTAAGTCTTGATATTGAGAAGAAATATTTAGAAGAAATATTTAGAAGAAATAAATTTATCTGGGCCCTTTAAACCCGGACCCATTTCTCCTCAACTAGGGTAGCCTCTTAGAGACCGACATTGTTAGGGTCGATGTTGACCGCTAGCGGCCGAAAGAATAGTTTTTAATAAAGAAGTTGTCGGCTTTTATCATATGGCTTAAAAAAATGAATGGAAATCTAGTTACTTTGCTAGCTAACTTGACAAATTATCGAGCGGTCTAAGCCGGTCCTGGCTGAAATTGATCGACAAGACCGACCCGATATTATATTATCGGTGCGCCCATTCCTACTTGTAAGGATCGCCAAAGATAAATGTAAGATTAACCACTGGGGCAAGTTAGCGGTTGGCAAGAAAAACCTCAAAACTCTTCGCATTTCGTTGTTCGAGGCCTTACCATTTCTCTCTCGTTCGAAAAATGTACAGCCGATAGCGAATGAGTTGGCGAAGTTCCAAGAATCACTCCCAAGAGAAAAAAAAAATTACCTCTGGCAACGAGTTGGGCTTGCATCTATTGAGAAGCAGGGGTTGCGATATAGCCCTCATGTAGACGAAATCCATTATCCATTTGAGGAGCTCGGAGGAGGCGATGGGATTGCCGCACACCATGGACGTTCCTTTCGACTGAATAGATGGTAAATAAAAAAGTTTCGGGTTTTTAAGGTCCGGTTGGTTGATTTAAAAAAAACCCAACATTTTATCCAGTCCGGGTTCTAGTTAGGGTCCAAAATAAATCACAGGGGCCCAGTTCCGATTTCTGGTAATTTGACTTATATCTTAATCAAACCGGTCACTTTTAAAGGGGGAACGTTTTGGCCAAACATAGACGAATGGTGGAATAGTAAGAATTTTAATGGCCACTTGGAAGATAGTCGTATTTTAGAGTATTTAAAGTGGCCAATAAAAGTGGCGCGCTTTTTAGCAATCTTGAAAAAAATAATATTTTAATTTAATATTTTTAAAAAAAAATGATGAATATATATATCTAATTTTTTTTTATTGTTTTATTTATAATATTAACATTTCTTCCATCCTTCCATTCATTCATGACTCATTAATAAATCGGGGATAAACTTAGCCGTTCCGTAGATTAGTTCATCAATTACATATATAGTAATCTTCATACTCAGGGAAGCCTAACAAAGCTAGAAAATCTTCTGTTTTTTTTTGAAGATATTCCGATGAGGATGATAAAGAGATCATGCAAATCGGATCTCTTCTTCTTCTCCGCCTTATGGCGATTTCCGGTTTACCCAGATAGGCCATTCCCCCCCCCCCCCCCCGATTTTTATTTTACATTCTTGACGGTCCTGAGAATCAATATTTGTAAGGATCACGCTTCTCATATCCGTCGCTATCACATCTGTTCGCGTCATCTTGGGCCTCGATATCTCACACTATCTAAAGATTCGCCCTCCCCCCTTGCTAAAATGACTTATCATAACATGTAATACCCCCCCCCCCCCTACTCCCATCCAGTTCTCCTGTCAGAGGATATTTATTGTAAAAATTAAAGAAAGAAATGAAATAAAAAATTTAATTTTACGATTTAAAAAAACAATACATAAACGCGATATTTTAAATTTGGAGCTAATTTTTAAGAGTATACATTTTTCAAAATTTAATAGCGATAAGCGCGCCATTTTTGAGAAAAGATACTTTTTATGGAAGTAGCCGTAGCTATTATTAGCTACTTCTAAAAGTAGCTTTAACAAAGCCTCGTTATTTTTGTATTATTTTTTTATTATACGGCATTCGTTCAAGCATGCAAAGTAAAAAAAAAATAAAATAAATAGTATTATAATAAATATGTAATATTTTCGATATTGTAGTATAAAGAGAACAAAAAAATAAGTGGCAATATAAATATTTATACAAGCCATTCATCCATCCATCCGTTAACCATAAAATACTAGTGAAGTGTTCTCGTTTTCGTGGTGGATGTATCATGCGTGAATGCCATGTGAATGCAATAACATTGGGCCAACAATATAAAATTTAAAAGCAGGCCAAAACAAAAAGGAAATGAATGGAAAGAAGAATCTAGAAGATTGCAAAGACGTTTGACGAAAGAAAGAAAAGAATAATGAGGGGGGTGCTCGAAAATCGATATTTTTTTAAAAAAAAAAAATTATCAAAAAATCAATACATTTTCTAAGTTTCGCGCTATTTTTATTTTTTTTTTAATATAAACTTTAATTCAAGAAAAAAAAAATGAGATTATTTCGCGTAGCCTTAAGGAGTGCGTAGCGTTGTTTTATAGTGCAGTTCTCTTATTTTTATCGTTTTATATTGCGCTTACGATTTTTGGATAATGACGGATGCGGATATTGGATTTTTTTTTTAAATTTTCTTTTATCGAAAATCGATACAATTTCGAAAATGGAATAGAGGGAATGAGATGAGGGAAAAAAAAAATGTTTTACGGGGATGACGAATGCCTCTTTTTTTTGCCAATTCGCCAGAAAAAAAAATGATCGAGGACTTAAAGTCTCCAAGGGGGAATCGGAGATTTTTAGCAAATGCTAAACAAGAAAATAAAAATAAATAAATAAATAATTTACCATGGACAGAAACGTATCTATGACGTGGTTGAACCTGGCGCAAAGAGCTTGCATATCATCGTAACTATTTATATAAAAAATGGGTATGAATAAAAATACTCGGGTAGCTTATAATTAACCGACCTCGCGGGTCGGGTAGGGCTTTAACTAGTCTCTATCGTCTAGACTCGGACGTTAAACGATCCGAACTCATGTTTATGGCGAATAACGAGACCTTCTGGCAATACTACCCCCCCCCCCCGAAATTTAACGAATCCCTATTATTTCGTCTATCCGTAATCGTTCTCTCTCCATTCCGCTCCAAGGAATGGAATGGAGAGAGGGGGGAGGAAGGGAAGAGTAGGAGTGAAAGAATGAAACAAAATCAATATAAATAAAAAAAACTAAGTTTCCCCGGGAAATCGAAAATCGATAAATAAGTAAGTAATGGAGGAGAAATATAATATTTCTTATTTTTTGAATATCTATTATTTTTATTTTAATATCATGTTATATATTTGTTTAATATTCCCGCAAAAATTTATCAAGATTTTTTACAAATATGAATAGCGTAGCGTCAATCTTTTCCACGTTATGAATTATTTATATTACAATTTTTTTATTGTACAAAAAACAAATAGAGAAAAAATAATAATAATATGGCATTCAAAAATTCGTAATTATAAAAAAATATAATTGTAAATCTTATCTAAAAACTTGATATTTGTTCACTAAACATATGATTTGCTTGTTAGTCTTCGTGTTAGGAAGACCTAGAATAAGTAAACCCCATTTCCCCCTTATTTTCGGCAGGAAAGCCGAGATTCTTAGGCTCGGTGGCGGCTTTCAAGTAAAGATGGAAGCCAATTCCTCCATACATATTATTATGCTAACTGTAGAACCCCCCCCCCCCCAACAAGTTTCCGAAGCCCCCGGTTAGTGTCATTTTTCAAAAACCGGTTGGGCAAGAATTCAAGAACCCTACCCAAGGTCGGACTCGGGTTATAAAAAAAATGATTCCGTGGTTGACTATCCCTCATTCCTTGATGGCTAAAACAAGAATTGATTGGTCACGTTCGATTCATAAAATTTTAAAATTATATCGTCGATAAGATTTTATCGATCTCTTTTTTTAGAGGATAACGATAAATAAATATAAACGGGTTTAGTTTTGGATTCGGAGAAATCCTGTATGTAATGGCAGCTACCACAACCATTACGCGCTTCGCGTATCACGTGTTAAGCGTGATAAAAGCAGCTACCACAACCATTACGCGCTTCACGTATCACGTGTTAAGCGTGATAAGCAAATATTACGCATTTTAGATTATGTAGTAGAGAAGTAAAGCAAAGGTTCTAAAAGAAAGAAAGTCTGTGGTAAATGGAATTAACTTTTTTTCCCTTGGAATATAAATATCGTGCATCTGGAAAAATAGCAAACGGAACTACAAAAGAAATGGGGGAGGGGGAACACTGGACGAAGCTGGCATAGAACATATGTTTTACCGGTCCGATTATATTGGATAAATAAAAATCCAAAACACTATAATACGAGTATTTTCAAAAGATTCAAGTCAGATCCCAACTCTTATTCTACGAAGAAAAAAAACCCGCGAGTCTGACGATCCGGGAAAAAGAATAAAAATATTACAGAGTAAGATTTTTCTTCTTTTCCAAGGAACGTTGGACAAAAAAAAAATTAATGTTTTTCCTAGAAGTAATCTTATATAAAACGATCGGGAAAACAAACTTACTTAAAATTACGAGAATTTTAAAAATAAAGGGTAGCCCCGACCCGACCAGAAAGTCGGAGAGGATCTCCGTTAGAGGCGCGGTCAGGTTTTTCCGATTCTCTAGAAATGATATTAGCATCGAATTCTTTGTGCCTTGGTTAGAGCTGAGCAGTTCCGGAAAAATTTATCGTGCTTCTTAGATTATAAAATAAAATGTTGAAGATAAATTATGAATCGCGTCAAAATTTTCGAAAAAAAGGGGGGTTAAAAAAATAATTTAACTCTGTTAACTTAGTTCCCGCCCTATCAATCACGCGATGTTGCCTCATTTATATTATATCCTAAAACTTCGGAAAAATTTAGCGCGATAAAATTACCGTTACTTGTTTATAAATAATTTGGAGAGGCAGCGCCCTGTCTCTAAAATATATTCAATCCATATCTTAAATCCAACTCCAGTTTAAGAGTGGGAAACAAATTTTGCCGGATACTTGCATTCTCATTCCCAGTTAGAGTGAATCCTTTTAACTTAACCCCTAAAATAACATTAGGCCAATCAGGGAGCCACGAAAATCATAGTTAAGAGTAGGTCAGAAATAATATTCCCAACACCCTAGATATCAGCGGTTCCGAACTAAAGCCCGGCCCGTTTATTCAAATAAACCCGGGTCAGACTTAAATATCAATTAATAAGAATTCGGGCTGAGCCGCCAACAAATATCGGATCGGGTTTGAAGGTGAAAATATTCGGGCGGGTAGTAATAGCTTTATGAAATAACCAAGCTTTCTGATAATAATGAAACTCAGTATTTCTAGGAGGTGCTCTTAGCTTAATATATTTGAAAAGCACCATTTTACACGATATTCGCGACATTACTTCATCAAAAATTTCTAAATCTTACAAGGTGCTTCAGGTACTTTGGATGCAAATTTTACTACGCCATCACAATGCTTAGTTAGACATTTATTTCTGCTAAACCTAAGGAGTATTTCAGATATTTTGATACCAATTCTACGACATCGTACAATGTTTATCAGATCTGTAAAACGTGGATATTGAAATTTAAGGATTTTCTGTAACATCGGATTTAATATGCCAACATCATAACAGAGTAAAATGTATACCAATCTTTCGATGTCTTAAATCAGAAAATTTAGCTTAGCAAAAATATTTTTATCGCTGGGTTACTACTATATAAACGCAAAAATAATATCTATATGACCCATCCATCTCGACAAAATAGCATTCGGAGTTTAAATCAGACCATCATGCCCCAAGGCCCATTGGGACCCCGGTAACTAAGATTACATTTAATAGCGAGCCTAGTTTTTGGGAAAAAAATTTAAAGGGCTTGGCCCAATGATATATAATACCTGGAATGACGATGCATTCATTAAAAAGTGCACATCAATGAAAACAGCTGGTGACGCCATTTTGGTTACCCATATCATCGTTAAAAATTTTAAACGAGAGGTCAATTTATTCCTAGACCTGACGCAAACCTTTATTAAAGGATTGCCTGATCATCGAGATAATGAGGAAGCAAAGTTATCGATTTGGTAGTAGTTTTTAACACGAGAACAATTACCATATGGGTTACCAAAATGGCGGGTCCAGCTGATTTGCATTCAAAGACGCTTTATTATGAATGCAGTCTGTGTAGGTATTATTATACGTCATTGGTTTGGCCACAAAAAATTTCTAACCAATCAAAATTTTGGTTATCGGTTTTTGGGACAATTTTTTGAAACTTGTTACGGACTCGTGAATTTTTTTTTAAGATTAAACATCGGCAGGGGTTAGATGACTAAATAATTTTTTTAATAAAGCCCAACCCGGTATCACGAATAAAATGAAAACCGGAGCCGAGCCCGAGTCAAGTCTAAAAAACCGGTTTTAAAATACGGGCCGCCGGGTTCGGATGTGCAAAAAAAAATAAAATAAAAACTAGGCTTGTAAAATCCTTAATCACGGTTTAAAAACTAAATGTCCTCACAATATTCCTATTTTTTTTAAATTTTAATGAATGAATGAATGAATGAAGAATACCTACCCTAAAAGAGAGAAAATAAAATTATTATCGATTTATTGATTTTTCTTCTCGCGATATCTAATGTGTAGTAAGTAAGTAGTTAGTAGTAAAAAAAATAAAAATAAATTATACGTATAAATACAAAATAACAATTTCATTTACGAAAAGTTATTTAAAAAGTTTATCGAGGCGTAAAAAATGAATTTTATAAAGGATGATTATAACAAAAAAAACCACGCAATAAATAAGTAATCGCGGTTCGATAACTGAAAAAAAAATCCTATCATTTTTTTTAAATACTTAATTTGGTGTTATTATAACCACTTATTAGCGCCTTTACATTTTAGATTACAAAATAAAGTTGTCGGCATGAAGCGTGGGAGGTAGAGAGGGGGGGAGCTATCATTTGGGAAGAGGAACGGAACGGAATCTAGGAAAGAGTACATAAAAAAAAATATCGTTTTCGAAAACTACTGAAAAAAATCCTATCATTTTTTTTAAATACTTAATTTGGTGTTATTATAACCACTTATTAGCGCCTTTACATTTTAGATTACAAAATAAAGTTGTCGGCATGAAGCGTGGGAGGTAGAGAGGGGGGGAGCTATCATTTGGGAAGAGGAACGGAACGGAATCTAGGAAAGAGTACATAAAAAAAAATATCGTTTTCGAAAACTACTGAAAAAAATCCTATCATTTTTTTTAAATACTAAAATAATTTGGTTATTTATAACCATTTATTAGCGCCTTTTAAATTTTAGATTACAAAAAAAATCGGTTTAAACAATAAATTTTAAAAAAATATAATTAATTACGAGTTGTTGACATGGAGCAAGCCGGAAGGAGAGATTGGAATGGGATCTAGGGAAGAGTACATAAAAAACATCCTTCAAAAACTGGAATTAAATACTCAACATTTGGTATATTATAACATTTATCAACGCCCTTTAATTTTAGATTGCAAATAAAGTTGTTGACATGAAGCAAGTCGGAGGGGGGGGGGATCATTTGGAAGAAGAATGGAACGAGATGGGATTAAAGAAAGATGACGTAATCATTTTTTTTTTTTAAAAAAAAGGGATTCGTATATAAATATATTAAAATTTGTATAAAAAAATATTTTTCTTTTTACCTGGACCTGTCAACTTGTCGAATGACTTTGATGTCTATGATGGACTTGAGTACGGAATACTCTTTACAAACCCACCTGTAACGAATGTAAATACATAGATATAAATGATTAATATATGCGTAGAGGCGGATCCTTAAATGCGTCGCGAAATTTGACGCGACCCCTTGAAAATAAATCGTAAAATTTTTGTTTCCGGATAACAAACATCTACCATTTTTCTTTGTTTACAGTCGATTTAAAAATTGGAAATATGCTATTTCCGGTTAAGTTGCGATGGTTAGAACTTTTCGATAAATTTGACTTTCCGTTCCAATTTGACGCTCGAAAATAAACGAATAACCCTAACCTCATTTTATGAACGCTAAATAACGCAATTTTAAAATAAAGTGCGAGTTCGCGGTTCACCCGTAACAGCGGAGAAACGGCGCACCTATAGTTTTACCCGTTTTTTGACAAATTTATTAAACATCGGAATAAACCGATTCAATATCGAATATCTAGATTTTAATTAGACCGGTCCTCGGGTCCGCTTCCAAAACCCGAGTAGGATAGACCGAGAATTAGGCGCTTTTAAAAATTTAGGAATCGGACCCTTTTTTAAAATAATTTTGTTTTAAAATCGTATTCCATTTCCGTTTACCACTCAAACCGGCGGCGCGAATGGATGGCAGCAATCCAAATAAATAAAAACAAATTAAGGGACTGCCACGAAGACAAAGTAAAATCTCGAGATATCAGCTGACCCAAGTGCAAACGTATTATTTCATAATTATCATTTTTAATTTTAAAACAAAACGTAGAATCTTTTCGAGGTCATAAATTTATAATTTTAAGGTATTTTTAAATGTCACGTGTCCATTGAAACTAAATCTTAATGATCCAGTCACGCCATTCATTCGAACATCTGTTTTTTAACCATTCATTTCCCGTTCAGTGCATTTTTATACCATTATAAATATGTCATAAAAGATCACTGCAGCTAGAAATCGTAAAATCTCCTATTTACCAAACCTTATAGGATTTTCCATCCTAAGCTTATCACTCATTCATTTCTGTCATAAGAGTTCAGTTTAACTATTTCAATTTTGGGAGTTAAATTTTGCATGATTGCTACTTCTTTTCCACTTTTAAAAGAGATTTTTATAAAAACAAATTTTCCGTATTATAAGTGAATAAAGATTTTGGCCAAAAACGTTTTCAGAGCTCCTTAGAAAATGATTAGGAGGTACCATCATGACTTACTGAATGGATATCGGCTCTGTATGTTTATTAAGCCTAAAAGTGTCCTGTACAAAAAAAAATGAGGTCAACCATCTCCAAAACGTTATAAAAAATGGATACACGTAAGCACTGCTCTATCAAGTTTTATTGAGTGCAAAAATAAATGTCCCGGTTTCGGTTTGCATATAAATTGGTATCCGTTTAGTCCGGTGTTGCGTTCGAAGGAACTGTCCAACCAAACCGAAACACCGAATTCGGGTTCGAAGCCCGAGCATTTTACTCAAATAATATTAATTTACAATATCCGCTTCTGAGTGTCAGTGAGTGAGTTCGGCGCGATTGACCCATTCATTATTTTAAAATTATTTTTTTTATCATTATTCAATTCATTTAACCGAAAATATTTGTATCATCATCACACACAAATACATAAAATAAAATGAATGGTAAAAAAAAAATAAAAAAATTGTTTGATGATATTACGATGTGTAATGTAATGTAATGTAATGTGTATTATGAAGGGAATGATAAAAAAAAAATTTACTAAAAATAATACGAAAGGTTGATAAAATATAATATTACATTGTACACACATATTATATATTATTATTATTGTATGTTGTGTAGAGTAGTAAAAAAATAAACTTTACCTCCAGGCAGTTTTATATTTTTATATATATATATTCTTTTATTATTAATACAAATATTTCCTTTTATCGGAGCGGAGCCTATTTTATTTATATATTAATTTATATTATATTATTAATATTCCTTGATTTATTTGTAGTATTTTTGTATATCGTACCAAACCAACCACACAAAACATGTATTTATTAGTATTATTATCATCATACATTATATATATATAAAATACCTAATAATAATAATAATACTAACAATAATATACGAAAAAAGATTGAAATTATATATGATTTTGAAGGTAAGAAAAGAAAGACGATGATAATTTGATAAGGTATTTATTGTAAATGTAGAAGGAAGATATAACATTATATATTATAATAATAAGCTCATCTCAAAAAATAAAAATAATAAAACTATTAAAACTTGTATTCAAAAAAAATAAATTTTATCAGCTGATAACAGCTGTGAGGGCTTTATAAATAACTCATGCGTTAAAAATGAAAACACTTATATAATAACATAATGTAAAAAAAAAATATTAATATTATTTTGCTTGTACTAAAAAAAATAATTAAAAAAAATAGGAAAAACACAAGTTTTTAAAATTAAATTAAAAATTAATTAAAAAAATGGTTTTTAATAAAAAAAAAATCAAAGTGCATAATAAATTAAAAAATTATTTGCAATACTATTAATAATGAGTGAGATGGTGGTGTGGTAGTACGTTATTTTATTAGATATTAAAAACGTTAAAAAATTAAGTTGTTTAAAACTTTAAATATTTATAAAATACAAATCAATCAGTAGCCAGATTCCGGTGGTGGGAAGGGGGGGGGGTGTAAGTTGGGACTATCGGGGTCTTTTGATAAATTTATAACCGGAAATTGTAAACAACTCATCTAGAAAATAGAATAGTAATAAATGTGAGAGATGAAAGGGATGAAAAACAAAATCCTTGAGATAAGTCCTTAACCAGGACTCGAGCTTAACCAAAGAAAGGAAGTTTATTTTAGGGTTAGCCCCTCTTTCGGATCTTGGGATTTATGGTTATTAATTTTCTCGTGCTTACATCCCGAATGCTTCCAGAAGATTTAGCCTTTTTTCGTAGTGCAATTATGAGGTATAGGGCAATGTTAAACTAGGTTTTTTGGCTACTTGGAAGTATTGCTAAAGCAAAGCTAAGTTTTGGCTGTTAAGTTCTATAATCCATGTTTTCAAAATAAAATTGCTTCTAGAAATTCGGGCCCGAGCCCTTGTTCAGCGCTACGAGGGAAGAATAATCTTCATATTGAAACATAATATGGGTAAACAAGCCCATTCTCTGCTTTTTTGGAGTTGAAAAAGGTGAGGATGTTTGCTGAATTCAGCCAAGCTAGGCAATGTAGTTTCTGACTCCTAGCTCTAGATGGAAACCGTAAATTGAAAGAAATTGGGAATCGTTCATTCCTGAAGTTTATCCACTTATGGAAAGTATTCTAACAGCCTATGATTCAATAGAATATGCTGCAAAGATTCCTATGAAATATAGTTAAATCGTGAAATTGCGCGAGATTAAAAGATAAAAATTCTCAAATGAATCAAAAGGGTTGGATTGCAAGGTTTATTGACTCTAGATTGTTTCTATTTTCAATGTTTACCGAATCTTCGATATTTCGCGTTAAATTAGCGATACGCATAGACGTCTACTCCTGCCTGGGTATAGTTGGTTAAAATCTTGTACTTTTCGATCTTTTTTCAACCTGGTCCAGGTTACAAACATGACGGTTGGTTTGATCTGGGCAGTGCCTAGTAGTTTCTCGAAAATTATTTGCCACGCGAAGAGTTTAACGTTTTTCTCGATCCACCTCACCCTATCGCGTTATCCCGCGATATTTAGGCTATCGGGAGGGAGGGGAGGTTATAATTTACCTTTTAATTAGTGAATAATACATTTCGTATCCGAGCAATTAACCTATTTACACAACCTTTCGTGAATGAGAACAGAATAAAGATTAAATAACGACTATATCGGTAATTTTTTTTTAAAAAAAACCTAATAAGAATATGATGAAAAATAAATAGAACGCATAAAACGCAACAAAAAAAAGTATGAGCCGTAATTAAGAGTGCGCCAGTGGAGCGAGAGTTGCGGCGGATGGTTCGGATTCCGGTTCGAATCCGTCCGCTCTGCGCGGAATTCGCGTTCGGATATCCTTTTAGAGACCATCAATCCAAATATATCACGTGATAAAGGATGGTAGTCTATCGTCAAAATAACGAATTTTTGACGAACGAAAATAGCGCGCTCTGTATAACGCGCCCAAATATAGTAAGAAAGCCTAATTAACGTCCAACTTTGTAGAGTAGAGGCTTCCCAAAATACCGACGATTTTGTAGAAATTATCGCTTGACCCGACTTCCCAAGTGATCACCCGATGAATCGGCGATTAATAGGGCAAGATACGGATTCTAAATAAAAACCGGATAAAGTCATTCATAAAAAAACCGACCCGAAGCCGAACTTTGCTAAAAAAATCTCAAACTATATTTTAAACATAATAATGCATACTACACTATGCTATGTATGCTATGCATAATAAATTAATTAAAATTCGCCAAATTCGTTTGTAGGTTGAAATGAAGGCAACTTTTATAATCGTTTTTTTTAAAATATTTTTTTTTCACTTTCAAAAAAATAAAATAAATAAAAATACGACTTAGAGCCCCCGGGGTTAGTTTGACTCCCTTACCTATGTTATTATATTATCATTTTAAACATCATTCATTTTTATTTAAATTTATTTAATCTATTCAATCTTGGCTATGAAGGTTCGATTTAATCTTCTTACGTGAAAACCCCAATTTTAACATATGTTTTATTTCATCGTTGGATGATCCAATCACCGCAAAGCAAAAAAAAAATTACAGAGGGCTAGGCTGCAATATGCTGAAAGCCAGCGGGCTTACTACATCTAGAATACTCTAAGCTAGTGCTTAAGGACTCATCGTAATCTGGGATGAAAGCCGGTCAATCGACCGAAGTTATATTTAGCCGGTCAAATACTCTGAAATGTTATTTTTGGTGACACTTTGATAGATATACAACATTATTAAACAGCTGTGTGTGCTGGCACCTTGACGAATCAGATCTCTCATCCCAACTTAAAATGACGTTGTAGCAGTTATATCATCGAAATCAACATAATATCATTTAAGTTATTTTGTGTTAGCTCAAAGTTGGCTTTCATCCATAAATAGTTGCGAGCACTAATTTTGGGAAAGAGTGAGTTCTAAAGGGCAATCATTGCTGTATGCTCAAAATATGAGCATCCCTCTCCTTACCAGAGAACAACTGAGTCTGAATACTTTAACCTATCCACCCTGTCCCGGTAAAATTTCGGCGACGCCAATGTTAAAAGAAGGAGAAATTTGTGTTGCTTTTAAAGGAATCAAAGTCTGCTTTTTCTTTGTCAGGAAATCTTCTCAAACTGGAAATAAGTTCAGGTCTTCTACCTTCGCTGACCTATAATTTTATCCGGGGCTAATCTAATTCACGTAGCGGGTGAATCATTGCTGATATAGTTATAAATGTAATCAAAATACAAATTGTAAACAATATTTCAACTGTATACCTTTTATATATATGCAGGATTGCATCCAAAAAATGCAAAACTTGTAATTATCTATAATCGTTATCGTGGAAGTGAGATATCCCAAATGTTCTAAAATCGAACTAGCAACAGGCTCCATAACATTATAAGCTCATAACCCTAACCATACAATATAGATGAAAGACTTGTCATTATCCGAAAATCTCTGCAATTAGGATTCATCAAGATTCTCCAAATTGGTTATTCTCCTTGATAAGACAATTAATTTCAAGCTGTAAAAAAAAGTTCCATCTTCTTACGACCGTTTTACTCAGCTATCTTCTTGATTTATCCTTAAAATGGCGGAGCAGTTTCGAAACTGCCATGTTTATTCCACAATTGAGGACATAATATTTGAGTTGGTGGGACACAATTTCATAAGGTGTAGACTTTGTACCCTTATTTTATTTATTGGCTTAAAAAAATGTTCCATATTGGGACCAGGGCAGGTTGAATCATCTTTTATCTCAGGTAATATTGGCATAGTATTTTGTATAAGAATATTATAAATCTTGATTGATTCATTAAAAATATTGACTGAAAATTTATGGTGGTTAATCTTAAAATGACGTTACTTTAACAGCATAAGCTACGACACATAAATTGAGAAAGTTAGGAAATGGCAGTTGTTATAGTATCGAAATACGAAAATGTGGTATCATCTGTTTTTAGATACTTTTAAAGATACATTTTGATTCACTTTATAATTGAGTATTATGGCCGTATTGTAATCCACTGCAACTCAAGGATCATTTTGATTGGACGATTTTTATTTTCAAATGGGAACGGTTAAAATTTAGACTAATATTTCTAATAGTAGTGAGTGATGAAGGAGGAGGAAGAAGAAGATCGGCAATCTCAGACATTAATTTTCCATGGCCAATTTGTGAAGCATATTTTTTTTATAAAAATATATCAAAATAAGCGCAATTACATCTCCGATAACATTCATGTTTACCATATCAAAAAAAAAATTCACAAATTTCAGTTCTTTTACTATCGCAAAATAGATACTAAATAAATATTTACAAATTGTAATTTTAAGCTTTAAAAGAAAAACGGAGTTTTTTTTAATGCCTCGAAAAAAATAAAAATCTGAAAATTTTTAAAAGCTTAAAAAAAAATTTAACACCAAAAATTATTTGTGTCGCATTTATTTAGATGGGAAATACAACAAGAGATTTATCCAACGGCAAAGTCGATGTTCCCAAAATCAAACAGTCGTCAATAATGGGGTTAAAAAATATTTTCTCGAGGCTGCTTTATTTTCATGCCATATATATTTTTTAAAATTTTTCGTGATAAGTTTAGCATCTACGATTAACAATATTATTATTGTAAATACGAAAAAACCTTTCATATCAATCATTTGCTTTTGACACCGTAATTGAAAATCAAAGATATAAAGAAATCAATGCTTAAGCAATGCTGACTCTAAACACTTCTTCTAATGTACATGGAAAATAAAAAATCTATCTTAAGTCAAAAAATAAAAAACAAACTTCCTACCAATAAATCATATATAATGGTGATACAAATATAAGGAAAATATTGTTTAAACCAATACAATAAGTTTGTAACCAATTACCAATATTTTGGTATTGTAATCACCTGCCCTAGTCTAGTTAGTGACCAATGAGATGACATAAATAATACCTAGACTGACAATAAATTCATAAAGTGTACATCAACGAAAACAGCTGGGGACGCCATTTTGATTACCCGTATTTAAAACAAATTTTAAACGAGAGGCCAATTTTTTCCTATGCTTTGGCGCAAAATTTTATTCGAGAATTGCCTGATGATAGGGATACTAAGAAAGCAAGTTATCGATTTAACAAGTGAATAACTATATCTATCAAAATGGCGGCTCCAGCTGATTTGCATTCGACGAAGCTTTCAAATGCATCGTCAGTTTAGGTATTAATTGTATGTCATTTTAGTGACTAACCCCCGCCAGACACACCTTAATAATTTGTTTGCCGACTATTTTTAAAAAATTTTTCGTACACACGACCGTAATAAAAAAAATATATATTAAATAAATAAAAAAAATTTTGGCGGGAAAGCGTAAAATTTTTTTTTTGTCATCTTAAGTTTACATTTTATTTTATTTATTCTATTTTTTATTCCATTTATTTTTTTTGAACTAATTTTAATTATTCGGTAAATTTTTTGCTTCAGGGCCAAATAATTATTTATTTCTGGATAAAAAAAAACAATAATTTGTTTTGTTTTAAATGTTTGATAAAAAATATAATGTCGAATTACAAAATATGGTTACCTAATTTATGGGACGAAGTGAAGGAATGGAGGGGGGGGGCAGTGGAATTGAGTTAGGACAGGCAGGTATTAACCCGTTCTCCCGCAGCGCAAAGGAGAAGTGTTAAAAGTCCCTCGCGTTTAACTTCACAACGAATCTTTCGGATTTTTTTTAAAAAGGCCAGTTTTAGCGCCACGAGATGCTTATTTCTCCGCGTGCCAAAAAATTAAATATTCGCTTCTCGAAAAGCGAAAGCGGCAAAATAAAAACATATGTTTAAGATACGATATTTTTTTCCATTATTTTTTTTAAAGTTCAAAAATTATTTAAATTGTAAAATGAATAAAAATAAAAAGGAGTTTATGTGGTATAACCAAATACGATTTACAAAATTCTAGAGAAATAAAAAAAAATATATATATCTAATTTTACAAAATGAGAACGCAGCTGAAAATCAATTTATATTGATAATAATATCAAATATTAGAATATTTAAAAATTTACGCCATTTTTTGATATTGTTTTACGTGCTCCGATTGGACTAGATGTAGACACGTGATCATGCCCTTAAGATGAATGTATAGCGATAGAAAAATCCATTCTCTCCGCCACATTTTTTTCCCCCGCATTTAAAATCGTAGAATTAAAAAAAACGCGAGCGGCTCTCGTAGGTAACCGTTGAACAAACAATGTATCGCGTTTTCCCTTCAATTCCTCGCGGCGATAAAAGATAATAATCAACCACTCGTTCCGCAATCATTTCCGAGATAAACCAATATTCAAATAAGGGAAGAGGGATTGTATTTTATATCTTCTTTTATTCCGTACACAATAGGAGAAGATGAAATCGTGAATTGTTAATTAATCTAATAATAAGTAGGAGGGGGGGGGGGATAGATGAAAGGATTCTCTTATACAATAGAATTTTTTTATGACAAAGGCTTTTAACAAAAAAAAATAATATTATTATTATATTTTTTTTAAATACCATCCGAAGTCTTACTTAGGAGATCATTTTACCAAGTCAATCAACTACGCGCATGCGTAAAAATATATTTAACTCCTAAGAACGCGAATATCGTTGTTCGCATGATGGCAGACGATAATTAAAAACGAGGATTCGTTCATTTTCGTCTGCCAAGATTCGCCGACACCAATTAATTTTCCGAGATCATTGAAAAGATTCGATTGTTCAAAAAGAATAGAAGGAATAATAATTTTTTTTTTTAAAATAAAAAAACCGAACAAAAAAAGATGAAAAGATTTTTTTTTTGATGAATACATTAAAAGCTGAGCTTCATTTTTTTTCGAAATAAAAAATAAATATTTTTAAAAAAAATTATTCTTTCCGAGAGGAGCATTGTTTACTTCTTTCTTTTTCTTTTCTCTTATAATTTAAAAAAAAAAAAAATCATGTGATGTTATTTTTTAAAAATAATTTTTTGGACATCTTCGCGCAAGATCATGCCACCGACCAATCTCGAATATTGTGATTGGCCGAGTCGGACGTGGCGCGGGCTAATTCGATAAAAATTTACACCGGAAAATTACGATTGGCCAAATATCCGCTGGAGCAGACCGGTGCTTTTGCCATACCGACCAATAAGATCGTATTGAATGTATCATTCCTTCGATCTCTTTCCAGTTGGGGTTCCGAATTTAAGAAAAAGCTAAAATAATAAATGACAAAATGTAAGTTAGGGGGGGGGGGAGCGGTTGACAAAACTTTGCCTTATAAATGTCAAAAACAAACCTCGTTCTTTGAGCCCCTGTAAATTTCAATCAACTAAAAATATTATCGAATAAGTTTAGTGGATAACGTATTTTTAAAGACATAAATTTGGTGCGTTCATGGCAGGTCCACATAATACCGTAATATTTTTATATTTTTTTTTTCCAAATTAAATAAAAAAAATTATCGATTTTCTCGGGGATAAATAAAATCGATAAATAAATAAATGTATTTTGTAAATAAATATTATTTTCGTGTTGCGTCATCTTAATATTTTTGATTTTCTTACCCTTCCTCCGAGCTGAAACATTTGATTCTTAAAAAATGAATATTCCAAATTTTAATTAAATCTTCCCTTTTTTCTTTTGTCATATTTTTTTTTAAATCCTTAATTATTAAATTGACACTTTTATGAGCGAGAAAATCTGCTGGATAATTAATTAGTCGACAGAAATGGTTTTTTTAAAAAATAAAATCGGTTTCTTCTTTTAGTTATTGATTGATTGATTATTGAAAGTATTTTACGATTCCTAAAAAAATTTGTGTCCTCCAACTTGACAGAAGGTTGCAGAATACTTTTTGTTAATATTGTTCGTTAAGGCTTCTCTGGGCACCGTTTAATAAATGCTTTTCCCATTCTACCAACGTGCATATTTTTTTAATTAAATTTATTTCGTATATTTGGTAATATTAACAAACTAGAATAAACATTAAATAGATTTCAATCACGATTATAATAAACTCGTTATATACCCTAGTTAAGTCAACTTTAATTAAAATAGAACTCAATCCCATATTTAAAATTATTGATTATTGGGCATAGTTAAAAATCGATATTCGTCAAGAAAGAAAGAAAGAAAGAAAGAAAGAAAGAAAGAAAGAAAGAAAGAAAGAAAGAAAGAAAGAAAGAAAGAAAGAAAGAAAGAAAGAAAGAAAGAAAGAAAGAAAGAAAGAAAGAAAGAAAGAAAGAAAGAAAGAAAGAAAGAAAGAAAGAAAGAAAGAAAGAAAGAAAGAAAGAAAGAAAGAAAGAAAAGAAATACTTAAATTATAAATTTCAAATTGTAAGATTATAAAAAAAATGAAAAATGGTCAATAATTATGTCACCTCATTAAGTATTAAATATAGTAAAAAAAATTATTATATTGAACTTACACAACATTTATTATCATTTAAATGACCTTGAATGTATGCATATATTTTTTTTTAAATATTAAATTTCAATTTAATTTTTAATTTTTCAATGTATTTTAATTTAATTTCAATGGAAAATGTTTTTTTTTAAAGTAATAAAATAAAATAAAACAAATATATTGAATTAAAATTTTGTTTCTCAATAAGCTTATATAACATACTTCTAATTGATATGTTCGGCATCAATAATAAAATTTTAATACACGTATACCTTGAGGGTGTTTTTCAAAATTATGTAATTTTTTTTAAAAAAATAAATAGAAATTGTATATTCTAAAAGGATATATTTGTCTAGCTGCAAGTGATGATGTACGCCACATAGTGTAGAACAACTTTGCATTATAAGATTTGTTTTGCCCAATATTTTGAAAAATTTTTTTAAAAAATTGTAATTTCAATCATGAAAGATTTTAAAAAATCACAATTTAAAATACTATTTAGAATGAAATGTAAAATTTTATCATAAAAAATTATTAGCCTTCTTAAAATCTTAATTTTTTTGACATTTAAGCATTTTATCCTCTCTTCTATTATAACTAAGGTAACTGGACTTTTCTTATTAAATCTTAAAGACCAAGATTATCATTTTATTGGCAATGTCTATAAAATGTAAGCCAAAATATCTATATCTATGCTAGAGATCTGCAATGGTTTTAACCAACAAGAAATTAAGCCCCCCCCCCCTAAAAAAGTTCTCATACATACGTCTGACCATTTATACAAAAAATTTACTTAACCTGGATGACAAAAATGATTTTTAATAAATAGAAGTCTATTATATTCATTTACCAACAAATTTATTTAAAATTTACCAGCCCATCACACATCAATTTTTAAAAAAATAGTTTTTACCCACCCACCATCCACGCAATGTTTAAAATATTTTAGCCACATTACAGACCTCTATACTGTGCATCTCAGCAGGTCAAAATCAATAACAGCAAAATAGTATTTTTACCAATTAAGATGCAATTATTGAGAAATTTATTCTAGGGTTACTAGTTATAATATATTTGAACAATATTTTAAAGTTAGGAACAACTTGTGTCAAATATTTTATGGGCTAGGATAAAATTCGAACAACATATACACATATTTGCATTGCAGGGGTGGGGGAGTGGTATATACAGAAGGTATAGGCCCTTCATCTGGGGGTGGGGGCGCCCTTTAAAACTCTGTATTCATTATTAATTAAATTATTTAATATTCTAGATCGTTAGTAAGCGTCATTGACCTGAGGAGATGGGCATCAAAATGCCCTAATTTAATATTTTCAAAATATTGGTAATATACAAGGCATGTTTTATAAAAAAATAATATTACCGTATTGTTTCCATAATTGAATCTGAAGGAAGCTTATTGTTAATTGATTCATTCCATTCAAACGATAGGTACCCTTGCCCACAGGGACTTTTTAACTTCAGAGTTTTGAACTCAGTCATTTATAAATATAGAATAATATCTTCTGCATCAAATAATAGAATCCAAATAATATACAACATGATATGATCCTCTATTTACATTTAAAAAATGTTCGAAATGAATATTATTTTTACAAAATAGAATCTATCATTACATATTAAACTAATAAGTGTTTTCATCTCGGATCATATTAAAGTTATTTATTTAACATCTTTATATAAAATAAATAATGCTTTGAAAATATATAAGTTACATGTAATTTCTAATTTATTTTATACAATAGTTTTGAATACTTTATCATCTTTATAAAGTAATTTATATTTAGTATCTATCTAATTGATATTATTTGAAAATATGTAAATTTTAAAATGATTATTCACAAATAAAGTAATATCTTTTATATAATATATATGATTAATAATTTATTTTTTATAAAATCATTTTGAAGATATACTTTAAATCTCTATTATCCCAGAGTGATTTTTAACAAATAAATCTATTAATAATAGTCCATTATTTATGATCATTTTAGTTTGAGTTTTTACACCTTTGGATATCATTTTATCTTTCTTATTTTTTAATAATTCATTCTCATATCTTTTTTAATTGATATTATTTGAAAATATGTTATTTTAAAAAGATTTTTTCAATCTTTTTATATATATCGTATTGGGATACGGAATCATCTGGGATTCGAAATTCCAACGTGGGATTCGAGATCTTGAATCCCCACGTTTTATTCAGAATCTCTTTTTTAAACAATTATATTTTAATTTCTAATCATTAATTAACTCATTTGTCAGGAGAGAATATATTTTTGTCAAAACTATGAAGGAGCATATATATTTTCTAAAAAAAATAAGGGGCGGGTTGCCTGCCCTCTCTAAATCTACTTTATTTAGATCTATAAAAGTAACTTTTCGCATTATTCATATTTCTCCTATAAAATATGACCAAATTTCTCCACCGATTTGAAAATTTTGACTTTTCAATTTACTCAAAAAAATGTAAGAAAAGCGTGAAGTTATTAGATAACTGTGTTTATATTTTTAAACAACTTTAAGCGAATTACATTAGCTTGAATCGTTGTATACTAGCCAAAGAGCTATCCTAGACTCATTCTACTTCTTTTTAAATTTTTTGCACATTTCCCCATTTAATTTAGATTATAAATATGCGCTCATATTATTCATTATTGGTATTTTTATAAAAATATATAAATTCGTATAAAAAATTTTAGAAATATAAATTTTATGTAAACCATTCTAACAAAATTTATAAATAACAAAATTTAAATTTTATATAAACTACTGTAAACAAATTTATAATTAATAGTTGCTTATTTGAAAAAAAAAAAATAATAATATATAATACCTTTTCTTTCTTTTTTTGCCGTCTGGCTGGCACCAGAAAATTTCCTTTTTTTAGAGTTATATTATTTTCTCTATTTGTTATAATAAAATAACTGATATAAATTTTCAATAAAATTATTTTTAATATGAATTAATAATCGTATGAGCGGGATTTTTTTTTATGGAATTTCTAAGTTTTTACATTTTGAAATGTTCGTAAATCATGGAATTTCTAAATTATTATATTTTTAAAATTTTGTTTTTGTAGATTTATATTAATAACATTATTTTATTTTTAAATTTAGTTTAAATTATTTTTACCCAAAACTGATACAGAATATAGTTTATTTAACATATTAAATCGATGGTTCGGTTTTTTTCCGGTATGATGGTGGATTATCTTTAAAGTTGGAAATAAAGTACTAGTATTATTGATAAGTTATTGTACTTTATTTGTACAGGTTCTCACTAGTGTTGTTAATTGGCTAAGTCGAGTCGACTTAGCCTAAAATCTATCGGCTCGATGAATCGGCTTCAGAGTCGGCTCGATGAGTCGGCTTCAGAGTCGTCTAAGGTTTATTTTAAATCTGCCTGCTATTATTATTTACTCCACGATAAATATATTAAAAAAATTTAACCCCTATGGTTCGAAAATTTTTTAAATTCGAAATGTATTATTTTAAGAATATGACCATGTTGTTATTATTATTATCTATACCCCGACATTTCGCTGATAGATGTCTAAACTTTTGTGCCATCTATGACCAAAATCTTAAAGCTTACATAATAGCTTTCTGGATAAAATGTTGAGTTAGACGTTTTTAAAAATCGGCTCAAATTGAGCCGTTTAACAACACTAGAAAATATACCCGGGCCATGTGGTGTTTTACAGATCCCTAATAGGTATACAATTTTTTATGCTACTCTATACTTTGTAAATGGTTCCAGATTCATCGTTTAAAAATGGATATAAATATAAATACATCTGTGATGCAAAATAACCCATTTGAGCTTATTTTTAAAAATGGTCAACTAAATATTTTCAAAAAAATTACCTAGCTTAAGATTTCTAGTTATGAGCAAAATCTTCAGGCTTGCATAATATTTTTGATGGATAAAATACTGAGTTAACCATATTTATAATTACTAAATACATCTTTTAAAAATGTATCTACATATCGATACATCAACTATTGAATATCAATACAGAAACTGACTTAAGAAATTTATTGAGCTGATATCGCATCTATATACAAATATATATAATTAAGATAAATGATTGTTAGATTTTAATGCTCTGAGCCCATAATTTGGTTGTAAATTTTACGACTAATCAAATTAACACTATACATAAGTCATTTTGAATTTTAAAATATTTAAATTCTCGAACCATAGTGGTTAAATTTTTTAAATATTTTATCGTGGAGTAAATAATAATAGCAGGCGGATTCAAAATAAATTTTTTTCGACTCTGAAGCCGACTCATCAAGCCGACTCATGCAGCTCATTGAGCCGCTCAATTTGAAGTTTTGCGACTCCGACTTGAGTTCAGAGTCGTAAAAACTCGACTATTTAACAACACTAGTTCTCACTACACTAATTAATAGTAAAATTAAATAGCCAATATAACCCTTCATAATCAAAATTTTTTATTTAATCGGGCATGGGCTTTTTTTCCTCTCCTTATATTTTCCATGGGCGTTTAAGCTAGTGGCTTTGCCTCATTCGCGCACAGGTAACCGTGGCCTGCCCAAAAAAACGTGGATGATCCTCTTAATTATTTGCCCCAGTTTGATGAGTCTTTTCATGAGAAGGGTTGCTCTGTTGTATATATAGGACTAGTGCGCTTAATATTACGTAAAAACATCCAAATACAAAATATTACCGTCAAAATTAAATTTTAAATATTTTCATATTTATATTTAGAAAACGAATCTTTATTTTGTGGAAAAAAAATCCCCATTATTAAAATATCCGTGAAGTTGGCCGAACGATTGGAAGCATAAAAGTTGAATCCATTATTTAGTTCCTCAATTAATATCCAATATTTAATCAATATAATAATCTTCCTTGTGTTATTACAATTAAAAATATTGAAACAATATACGAATCTATACAAGAAATTTATGATTTAAAAATTAAGTGAGTAACCCTCAACAGTAAATTTTTAAAGTTTTTTATTTTAATTAGACCTAAAACGAATTATTCTTTATTCGTTATTCGACTCGATTAATTCGATTTTTACGAATACGAATAACACAATTATTCGATTCGAAATCGAATTCGAATAAGGAAAATATTTTATTGGACGAATAATTTTTTATCTGTTATGTGATCGAATTATTCGATTTTAATTTTTTTAGGTCTAAATATTGGAAAATAATATATTATTTGAAGAAATTATTTAAAATATTTTTATTTAATAAAATTTCCTAGTGGAAAAAAAAACATTTTATATTTCTAAAATTGTAACAGCTGTTTTTATTCGAATAACTTCTTAATACTAATTGATTTCCATACATTCACTTGGTAATAAGCATCAGGGTAATGATAATGCACGGTAAGCGTGCACTATTTTTTTCATGTTTTTCATAAATTTGAAGAATATAAGTTCGACATTCATTCAAAATAGCATGGCTTTAGAAAATTAAATGTCATTCCTTTGATTCCTTTGGCTAGAACAATGACAAATTCTTAACAAAAATTAGAAATAAGATTAGATTTTGTAGCTTGAACGTTGATCAAATGCAGTGATAGAACGGTAAATATTATTTTATTTTAATCATATTTATTTACAGATTCTATGAACATTATATCACAATATTGATAGCAATTATAACTTACACTAAAGAAATTAAGCTTAAAATCAGCCATCACCCACCTTTAAAGTAATTAAATTATACTGTAGTTCTCGGGTATAGGCTTTTTCTTTGTCCCACTCCTTTTAAATTAAAGTCTATAGAGGTTTAAGCAACATTTTTCGAAATGTTGTGCCTATAAGTACGTGCGGCTTGCCCACAAACGTGTGGAGGGCTCCTCATATTTTTACTTTTATACCCAAATTAAATTGTTCCAATTAGATGGAAATGAGGAAAACCTAGCGTAGCTCTGTTGTGTATTCAACGTTAGAGGGCGATGCGCTATATATCACGTATCACGTAATACTAATTTACTTCCTAAAATTGTTTTATAAATTTAAATATGATGGAGATGGACCAAGAAAGTATGTGAAAGTTGTCTTTCTGACCAGTCAAAGCTTAGTATGTATTGACTGGCTATTTAACTGGCCATAATATAATATTTAATTATTTTATTATAAATATGAAATACTTCCAAAAGATCTATCTTATATCCTTCATTTTTTAGGTAAATAAATATTTAATTATATACAAATTTAATTAGTAACAACTAGATTTTTCATCATCCATTTTGTTAATATTTTATAAATTAATATCTCTTTTGTTAAACATTCTTATTTCAATATAAAATTAATCACTTTATATGTAATGATTTTATATATATGTTAAAATGATTATTTTAATAATTAAATCACAGCAATTTATAAATTTATGAAGCTAAATAAACTAAATTAGACATTAAATTTTTTAAGAATTTTATAATAATTATGAAATATTACATTTAGAAATATTTGCAAAAGACCTATTTTTCATATTTAGTTAATAAAAATTTATTTATAAACTAATTTAATATTAATATCTAAATTTAATATCATCCATTTAATGTTAAGATTTTATAAATTAATATCTTAATTATTTTGTTAAACAT